TGCCTTACCTATATATTTTCTCTTGCATAAGATAAATTTGTCAATAATATTGAGGACATCAAAACTGAACTATTTTCTTACTATAATAACCCTTATTATAACTTGCCTGCAATCCATTGTAAACTGCACAAATATATATTAAATATTAGTGCAATATAGCCATGCTGGATTAGTGCTTTCTTTTGGTAATTGTTTACTCTCAGTCTATGGCTAGGTTAGATATATGGCCACACAACATTAATTCACGGGTACTTAATGGGGGGAGGGGGGGGGTGATCTGTGCTTTACTGTCAAATTGCATTGTCCTGAAAACAGTTTCTTGTAGGTTATCCTGATTTTTATAATGATTGGAAGTGGGTGAAGTAACTATGAGTACAACATTAGGGGCCATTCTACAAGCTAGTGTAAGCTTTTTGTTTTAGTTTCCAGTTAGACATGTACTGTATTTGCTCCAACTCATCATTCTAGAAAGTGTATGCATAGAATAGTTTGGTAACTTACTAAGAACTTTTCCAACAGGTTAACTATTTCATTAACTATGCAATAGGCTACTTACCCCCACTTCTAGACAATTTCTGCTAACTTTCCTGAGATATTCAGTTGTTAAATATACTGTATTATTATATTCTTTGAAGTAGAAATGTCCGTTAATGTTTTGTGACAATAGAATCATCATCTACCTTCAAGTGTTTTCAGCCCTCCTATATTTATTGATCCATAAAATATTTAAAATGTTTTGAGTAGACTCAGTATTTATCAAGCAAGCTTTTATCACTTTAGCATTTAGATAACATCAAAATGCATCATCTGTGCTTTTACTGTAAAATTTCTTTACCATTCTATTTATTTACATAATGCAAATCATTTGAATTATGCAGACAGTGAGGATGGAGCATACAGCCACTATTTTGGGCATGAGGAGACCTTAGCCCAACCCAGAAAGCCTCCTCCTCACGTGCTGACCTCTGGGGGTGTCTCGCCATAAGACCTGATAACAGTCCAGAAACCTGGATTTTTGCTCTCATGATTCCACATGTTTTTTGCATATCTCTTGCAATATTTGTGCTGGAACCGTTGTGATAGTGCAGATAAAATGACAATAGAGCAGAAAAGGTCAAAATGTACAGAAAGAATAATCAAGAAAGTGACGGGTGTTTTTGGAAATGCCATGCTTCTGTCAAGGGAACACATGCCTCCAAGAAAAGCTTGATTTCTTCTAAGATTTCTCCTATACAGTACTGGAAAGTATAGTTTCTGAGAACTTTGGTTAAGAAACTCAAGAAAGCAAAACTGTTATGTGAGCAATAATGACAAATTACAAGCCTCATCAGAAGAGGACAAGGAGTCGGCAACTTCACCAAGATTGAAAAAGTGTCAGTGTACTGATCCACATTACTGTCTGAATATATTTGAATACATGAACAAAGTACAACTAGTGAAGAAGTTTAGATACAGAGTATGTGCCAGAAAAGATCCAAATACACCCGGTATACAATCGACTTGAGAATGGTCCAGGACAGCCCGAAACGTCGTCGTCCCTTCACCTTCTAGTGTGTGGTCTGGTCAACAAAGATCCAAAGTTTCAGTGCATGATGTATATTCAAGAAATGCCGGATCAACCTTGCTGTAGTGGATATGTGGGCCTGTGGGCCGCTCCAAGCAACAGCCTGTTGGACCAAGCTCTCATAAGTCCATAAAATGATCACGCCTGGCCTCGGACCAGGCTTGGGGAGTAGAAGAACTCCCAGAACCCCATCAAGCAGGTATACAACTAAGAAAAAATACTGGCAGAAGGATGAGTGATTACTTTCAAAATTCCTTGCACCATATAACATCCAAGAGCATCATTATGTATATGGCAATGTTGTTGTAGAGCACATAGATGCTCTACAACATCCAGTGGTATATCTTGAGGTTATCTGGAGATGATTTCGGGGCTTTAGTGTCCCCGCGGCCCGGTCCTCGACCAGGCCTCCACCCCCAGGAAGCAGCCCGTGACAGCTGACTAACACCCAGGTACCTATTTTACTGCTAGGTAACAGGGGCATAGGGTGAAAGAAACTCTGCCCCATTGTAAGTGAAGAATACTGAAGAATTTGTCATGTAGTAACAATATTAATGTCTTGCAATGTAGTAACATTTCTATGAATAGTAAATAGGAATGTGCCTGGAAGAGGTACATTTTAGGTGTTCAGTAAGTGTTTTAAGTATTAGCTCAAAAAAAAATACTATTTTGCTTACTATTTGGTAGAAGATACATTGGGCAACATAGGCAAAAAATTCACGTTCTAGCATCAATGATAACTTTACAATATCAAATTGAATGTGAACATTAAATAGAGATTTTTTGGTGAAGGTATGTGTTCTATTATAACCTTAGAATTTCTAGATTTTCAACCATTTTCCCAGACGGAAAAACTAATAATATGTGACATACATTCAAAAGAGCAAATTCTGACTACTCATGTCTATGCCAAACAAAATGAGTGAAAACATCTCATACTGGTTCATGACATGCTGTGGTAGTGGTTCATAACATACTGTGGTAGTGTTTCATGACATGCTGTGGTGGTGGTTCATGACACACTGTGGTGGTGGTTCATGACATGCTGTGGTGGTGGTTCATAACATACTGTGGTAGTGTTTCATGACATGCTGTGGTGGTGGTTCATGACATGCTGTGGTGGTGGTGGTTCATGACATGCTATGGTGGTGGTTCATAACATACTGTGGTAGTGTTTCATGACATGCTGTGGTGGTGGTTCATAACATACTGTGGTGGTGGTTCATGACATGCTGTGGTGGTGGTGGTTCATGACATGCTGTGGTAGTGGTTCATAACATACTGTGGTGGTGGTTCATGACATGCTATGGTAGTGTTTCATGACATGCTGTGGTGGTGGTTCATGACATGCTGTGGTGGTGGTTTATAACATGCTGTGGTAGTGGTTTATAACATGCTGTGGTAGTGGTTCATGACATGCTGTGGTAGTGGTTCATGACATGTCATGATGTGGTGGTAGTGGTTCATGATATGCTGCAGTAGTTGTTCATGAATATCCCCATAAACTACCAGTGATTTTGCAAATTACCCAATGGAAAAGTGTTACGTTTTTCTTCTTTCAGCTATGTAGAACAAGCTTGTGCACACATTTCCACATTTTTATTTTTTATTTATGGTGAATATAAATGAGGAATGTTGAAATGTTCATATACCTTCATATATATTCAGTGCTATAGCCCCTTTTTTATATAATTTAGAATATTCATTTGTGAACATTTTGACACCAAATTTATTGTTATAACCCCAAAAATAGCTTGGAGAACTTAAAATGATTATAAACATTTTTGAGTTAGGCCTGCAGTGAGGGTGCTGGAATGGAATATTAATGAAAATATTGTAGTCAGTGTGAATATCAGTTAATACACTTTCCCAGTTCTGGACCTTGGCAAGCTCATGTAAAATGCGATATTATTGATCTGGGTCACAATGGTGAAAAGCTACATGCAGCAGTGTTGTGCATTGCTGAACCACAAGATTGCCAGCACACATTGCTGACTACAAGCTGTAATTACTTATGGCCAATGTTGGATTCCCTGCTTGTTTAATGTCAACATGATGATGTTAACCAGTCATGGAAATGGAAATTGAAAAGTAGATAAATAACATACACCCCCACACAACTCTTCCCCACCATTTCCATCATGGATACCAACCCCTCGTTGTCATAATCCTATGGTTAATATGCCAGTAACTGTATTTTAGTTTAAATAGACTGGTGTGTTGGAAAAAACTATAAAGTTGTAGTGTCTTCATTTATGTATGGTCTTTCTTTCTGTCACAGTATGGGAGACTAATTTTAAATTTTTTTGGGACATGGCATTCTATTGGAGGAGATTCAAAATGGTGGAAGTCTTTTGGCACATCATTTGCACCTAAATTATAAGAGGAAGAGGTGCATAAGATAAGTCAGGGGCATTTAACTTCAACAGTGGCAAAAGCAATATACTGGAGTTAACAATATGGAAGGAAATGGAGAATAGAGCCAGTGAAGAGTAGAAGTACCATAGGCACAATCAGAAAACACTGTATGAACATCAGAGGTCAATGGCTGTTCAATATCATCCCAGCAACTATCAGAAATATTGCCAAAACAAAAGTGGAAGTCTTCAAGAAAAACTGGACAATTTTCTGAAAGTAGTACCAGACTAACTGGGCTATAGTGGATGTATGTGCCTTCAAGCCGTTCCAAGCAACATCCTAAGGGATCAAGCTCTCACGAATCAAATCAAGTCACAAGTCTACTCACAAGGGTAGTAGAAGAATATACTGACTTGATCTGTAAAATCAAGATGCCTGTTATACAAAATGGGAGAGGTTATCTTGAGATGATTTCGGGGCTTAGCATCCCCGTGGCCCGGTCCTCAACCAAGCCTCCTTTTTTGTTACACACCCTCAGGAAGCAGCCTGTAGCAGCTGTCTAACTCCCAGGTACTTATTTACTGCTAGGTTAACAGGGGGCATCAGAGTGAAAGAAATTGCCCATTTGTTTCTGCCTCCATTGGGGATCAAACCCAGAACCTCAGGACTACGAATCCCCAGTGCTGTCCACTCAGCTGTCAGGAGACAATACAAAATTACAACACCTCCAGAATGTAATAATTGTTGAACGTGAGCTGCTGCACGATGGCATGTTTGACTAGACCTCCACTCAGAGAGCTGCTGCATAATAGCATGTTTGACTAGACCTCCACTCAGAGAGCTGCTGCATGATGGCATGTTTGACTAGACCTCCACTCAGAGAGCTGCTGCATGATGGCATGTTTGACTAGACCTCCACTCAGAGAGCTGCTGCTACACTCGACCTCACCTTTGTCTGAATGTAACCAAATCTGATCAACTGTAAATGTGGAAAGTGCATTGTAGTTCATTTTAAGTGGCCTTTAATTTGAAAATATATCTGAGAATATCATATATGTAGTACAGTATTCAAATTGTCTAGGCTTCACACTCTTTATTACAAATATTAATCTGTTACTCCATTTCAGAACTTGCTAATTCATAAAAAAATATTAAAAATTAAAAATCGGCTCTTGATATTTTCCTGACTTAATTGGCACATCTTAAAAAATTATGCTGAAAATAATTTGGCCAAACAACTGCTAAGGCTAATATAAAAGAATAGGCAATATAAATCTATAGCTATGGATTCTTATTTGACTTTCTGATTTATGCTTCTCTTAACTATAATATTTAAACTACAGTTTGTATAAAACTAAAATTCAAATTTCTCTTTAAAATGTCTCTTTGGCATCTGAAAAAATGCATTGTTCCCATGTTACATGTTGTATAAAATCCATCAGTAGTTCTCACACAACCATTATCCCTGAATGAGTTAATTACAGCACAAGTGTGGTGATGGCATGCAATTGAGGCGCTCAAACGCTGCCTTCTCCAGGGCCTCTCGGTGGTCAGGGTGAGATATTTTGATGAGCTCGTATGCCCTCTGACGCAGATTCTTTCCAAATAGGTAAGCAATGCCATACTCGGTCACCAGGTAGTGTATGTGGGCTCGTGTGGTCACCACTCCAGCACCTAAAATAGTTAAACAAAATTGTATTTTAAATTGAGACATCGCCATACTACAATACCAAAGGAAAGCATACACCTTCAGTAAAGTATAGGGGCTCAAGACATCACAAAACCTCCAAATGAAACTACTGTAAAAAAGTATGACTAAATGTACATCAACAATTCCCTTACTAATTAAATAGTGACATATTTATATTTGAAATGTACAGTATGTGCAATACTGCACATGCTCTAATATTCTAATAATACAGTATTACAAATATAGAACAACATGCATAAATCATCTCTATAACACACCTTGCCTTAGGAATGGAACTATCTTTGACTCTCCCTTCGTGGTCACAGAGGACATGGCCAGAATAGGCTTCCCAAGACCATCTCTGCTCACTGCTGCTCCTCTGATAAAGTCAACTTGTCCACCAACACCTGTGAAAGAGTAGAAATATAATAGTTATGTAAGTACCCATCAAGCAGGTAAATATTATAATTTCATTATTTAGTATTATGCAGCACACACACCAGCGACCTCAGGATATGCTCTACGTATTAGGAGACTATGAACGCTCTAATACACTTCCTTTTTATACACTAACTTGACTCGCCTCGGCAAACTCCTTTGGACGATCTTGTAACAGTGTAAATGGTGTAAATGTAGAGAAATACCAATATGAGAGTTGATCTTATTTGTAGATAACATTTTGCCTGAAGGGTTTATCAAATCAAGAGATTTGATTCAAGACTTAGTGACATGTCATCTACAGTAGTCTATTTTCATCTTGGACATGATTGTTAACACTTCTAAATCTCTACTATCAACAGTATATATACAGACGTTTGACCCTCTTCAACACTAACTTTCCATTCCACTCATCACGTTTAAAAAAAATTTATTTTAAACTATAGTACTGTACTGAGAAACTCTTTGACAGTAATGTGGAGATATAAAATATCATGGTGCCTTTGATTACAATATTATTCAATATTAATAATATATAATAAGTATATACGGTAATTATAATATACAATATTATATTAGTGTTCCCACCTGAGTACATCCTCGTGCCAATGGAGTCGGACACTACTTGCCCAGTCAGGTCCACCTCGATGCAAGAGTTGATTGCTGTCACTTTTGGATTTTGGGCAATGATGGGAATGTTGTTAACAAAAGACACGTCACACATTACTGGGGAAGAAACAAAGCAATGATCACAACAAATAATAATGAATGACAGAATTATTTGCAATCTTCAAGGCCTAATTCATATCTAAAACTACTTTAATCTGAGTGACACCAACAGTATATATCCATGTTTGCTGCAGATAGTTGTTTATAAAGTTACGTACATTCTATGTAAACAAATTTCCAGTATTAAAACAAAATATTATAGAAAACAAATAAATTAGTACATCTTCAAGACACAGAATACATACTTACCGACGAATGGGTTGTTATCGACGAAGTCAAATAACCTGCGAGTCCCCACTATGAAACTGCCGACAATCTTTCCCGGATGATAAGTCTTGTGTGTGTTGGTAATGCAGCCATCCTCAACCAATTCAACCACACCATCACTAAACATCTCTGAGTGGATCCCAAGGTCCTTATGACCCTTCAGGGATGCTAATACTGCATCAGGAATGTTGCCTATTCCTGTAAGATATATAATGCTTTAAACAAAATTCAATGCATTGCATAGGCTATATAAAATGTCTTTCACGCCACAGTGAAATGAAACACATGTACAATAAGTGAAATTCATTTGTTCACTGAAGTACCTGTCATTCAAAAAGATTTATTTATCTAACACCAACTCTGTTATATACCTTATCTGACAAGGAAGTAATGCTTAAAAAGTGAGGTATTTTACCCACAGAACAACCTGTAGTACAGAGGTCAGCACAGTCAACTCTCAATTCCGAATCGTTCCTGATCATTGCAAGACATTTAGGCATGATTTCTTACACCTGATATTTTTGCTCACCTAGAATTAAAAGGTATCCAGTAGTTAGCTCAATGTTGTGGATTACACCCTGGGAAAGATCAGTCTTTGGTTATGGTGGATTTCAATAAGCCAAACGAACTTTGCATCACCGACAATGAAACCCATATTATTCCAGTTTTCCATTCCAATACTGTATACTAGTCACCTTCCTCTACCATATGATCCCTTTACTTCATCTATGTACACCCTTCTCAGGCATCCTACTAACATATCCACACAACTTGATTGTAGTGTGCTTCATCCACTCTACATTTCTTTTCCATACATTAGGGCTGAGAATAGTATACCTGTCAATAATTCTGAGGATCAACGTCCTTATGGCCCGGTCTCTGACCAGGCTGCCTGGTTGGTGGTCATGTCAACCAGGCTGTTTGATGCTGCTGCTCGCAGCCTGACACATGAGTATAACATCTCATCCTTTCATTACACAAACAATATTATTGTTTGTGTATCTTTTGTGGTCTGGAATGGATTCGTACGATATACATTATTCCGTATGGGAAAAATTTATTCGGTACTCAAACAGATCAGCACTTGATCAGCCTTCTGGAACCAATTAGGTTTGAGTACCAAGCTTCCATTGTACACAAAAGTTATCTTTTGCAAACCATTGATGACAGTTGGAGGAATTTAAGTGAGAAGGTGGTAATATTAATATATATTGTATGTATGTAATTACCCAAGTAATTATCTCGACCGACGCGCTTCGGTTGAGACATATTTTCTACGAGTGGTTTGCTGGTTACTGGAGCCACTCGTCACTCAAGGTTCCACTGTATTTCTTCAGCAGCTTTGTTTAGTTAAGTGTAAATCTATGACCACTTATTTTTGAAGTTCCAGGTCTCGTGAATTCTTCCCTATCAATTTCATCGATTCCCATTACTATTTTGTACATAGTGATAATATCGCCTCTTTTTCTTCTATCTTCTAGTTTTGGCATATTTAATACCTCTAACCTATCCTCATAACTCTTGTCCTTCAGTTCTGGGAGCCATTTAGTTAAGTGTCTTTGCACCTTTTCCAGTTTGTTGATGTGCTTCTAAAGAAATGGGCTCCATACAACTGCTGCATATTCCAGCTTTAGTCTACTAAAAGTCGTGAACAGTTTCTTTAGTATTTTGCCATCCATGCATTTAAAAGCAATTCTGAAGTTAGAAAGTGTAGCATAGGCTCTTCGCACGATGTTCTTTGTGTGGTTCTCAGGTGATAACTTTTCTATCTAGAACCACCCACCTAGCTCTCTATCAGAAGTCTTTAAAGATTTCTCACATAATATATAGGTTGTGGGGGGGTCTATGTTCTCCTATTCCACATTCCATAACATGGCATTTATTAACATTAAATTCTATTTGCCAAGTGGTACTCAAAACACTTCCAGGTCTTCTTGAGGCCCATGACAATCATCTGAGTTTCTTATCTTCCCTATTATCTTAGCATCATCAATTAACATGTTCATATAATTCTGTATTCCATCTGGTAGACTGTTTACGTAGACAATGAACATCACCGGTGCAAGAACTGAACCCTGTGGTCCTCCACTCGTGACATTTCTCCAGTCCGATACATTGCCTCTAATTACTGCCCTCATTTTTCTGTCAAAAAATTCATTCATGTTAGAAGCCTATATGTCACTCCTCCAATATGTTCCAATTTCCAGTGTGTGTGTGTGTGTGTATTTCCTATTTGTGTCTGCAAATCTAGCTATTTAGCTCTTAGACCTTGCCTTTCTAGCCAATCTATTTTTCCTCTATTATGTCTACTACATATATTTCTCTCTAACACACGCACGCATGCACACATTCCCAGGAAGCAGCCTGTAGTAGTTGTCTAACTTCCAGGTACCTATTTACTGCTAGGTGAACAGGAGCATCAGGACAAAAGAAACTCGGCCCATTTTTTTTTCCCCCTCCGCCAGGAATCGAACCCAGACCATTCGGACTATGAGCCCCGAGCGCTGTCCACTCAGCTGCGAGGCCTGCAAGGAGTATGTGTGTGTGTGTGTGTGTGCTGTATTCACAGAACTGTACTGCATAAATTCAATTAAATAATTTTGTGAAGTACCCATTTGTAAGGTGGCTCCATTCTCTACCAGCTCTTCAGCTATGAGTCGACCTATCTCATTCTCGACATCAGATCTTTCTTTGGGCTCATGCTCGGGTAAACTTTCAATGCCATCGACCATGGCATCAAAATGGCTCTTGTGAATCAAACCATCCCCAAATGTGCGAGGCATGCAGGGGTTCATCTGAAGGAAGACCAAACAGCAGTTATAAGCACAGTACAATATACTCTATAACAATACATAGGTCACTTTCAAATGCAGCATTATATTTTACAAAACTCTGATTTCACTTATCATATTCTGAGCGTGTCTATTTTGTATGAATTTGTTTATTGTGTAACAAGAGGTAGATTATTACTATTGAGGCTCTGACAAATTCTTTAGTTTACATGTTACTTTATATAGTATAGTACGTTACCTACATTTACTGAGAATGTTTACAATACTCGGCTAAAATTTGAAAAGTAATTTAGAATAAACATGGCTAGTGAATGTGTCTTTAGTACAAATGACAATAATTGGAAACAATGTATAACTTACCCAAAAATACTTTCATAATACTATATAATGAATGATGAACAATTGACCCTGTGTTTCCTGGATTCTAATGTACAATAAAGTCCATAAATTTGCATAGAGATTGTCTTGTATTGTGAACAGCTTTGAAACCAAGTTTGCATATATAGAGGGAAAATACACACACACACACACACACACACACACAACTCCATACATAATATTAATGTAAAGAAAACGTAGAAACAGTCATTGCATTAAATTAAAATGTTTTAAGTTACAGTAGTAGCTTAAGGAAATAACATTTAGGAATAAGACTGTATTACAGATAACATTTCTCTCAAAGATCTGTTTTTTTTTTTAACAAGGGGATCTTCAAAATTAAGCAGAGGCTGCTGTTGCTCAGTGATCAGCACAGTGTTCAGTGGATCGTGTTGCTCAGTGATCAGCACAGTAATTACCTAAGTGTAGTTACAGGATGAGAGCTACGCTCGTGGTGTCCCGTCTTCCCAGCACTCTTTGTCATATAACGCTTTGAAACTACTGACGGTCTTGGCCTCCACCACCTTCTCACTTAACTTGTTCCAACCGTCTACCACTCTATTTGCGAAGGTGAATTTTCTTATATTTCTTCGGCATCTGTGTTTAGCTAGTTTAAATCTATGGCCTCTTGTTCTTGAAGTTCCAGGTCTCAGGAAGTCTTCCCTGTCGATTTTATCAATTCCTGTTACTATTTTGTACGTAGTGATCATATCACCTCTTTTTCTTCTGTCTTCTAGTTTTGGCATATTTAATGCTTCTAACCTCTCCTCGTAGCTCTTGCCCTTCAGTTCTGGGAGCCACTTAGTAGCATGTCTTTGCACCTTTTCCAGTTTGTTGATGTGCTTCTTAAGATATGGGCACCACACAACAGCTGCATATTCTAGCTTTGGCCTAACAAAAGTCATGAACAATTTCTTTAGTATATCGCCATCCATGTATTTAAATGCAATTCTGAAGTTAGAAAGCATTGCATAGGCTCCTTGCACAATATTCTTAATGTGGTCCTCAGGTGATAGTTTTCTATCTAGAACCACTCCTAGATCTCTTTCTTTATCAGAATTCTTTAAAGATTTCTCACATAATATATAGGTTGTGTGGGGTCTATGTTCTCCTATTCCACATTCCATAACATGACATTTATTAACATTAAATTCCATTTGCCAAGTGGTGCTCCATCTACTTATTTTGTCCAGGTCTTCTTGAAGGGCATGACAATCATCTAAATTTCTTATCCTTCCTATTATCTTAGCATCATCAGCAAACATGTTCATATAATTCTGTATACCAACTGGTAGATCATTTATGTACACAATAAACATCACTGGTGCAAGAACTGAACCCTGTGGTACTCCACTTGTGACATTTCTCCATTCCGATACATTGCCTCTGATTACTGCCCTCATTTTTCTATCAGTCAGAAAATTTTTCATCCATGATAGAAGCTTACCTGTCACCCCTCCAATATTTTCCAGTTTCCAGAACAACCTCTTATGTGGAACTCTGTCGAAAGCCTTTTTTAGGTCCAGATAGATGCAGTCAACCCAGCCATCTCTTTCCTGTAATATCTCTGTGGCCCGATCATAGAAACTGAGTAAATTCGATACACAGGATCTTCCTGATCGAAAACCATACTGTCTGTCTGATATTATATCATTTCTCTCCAGGTGTTCTACCCATTTAGTTTTGATTAGCTTTTCCAATACTTTCACTATTACACTTGTCAATGATACAGGTCTATAATTGAGGGGGTCTTCCCTGCTGCCACTTTTGTAGATTGGAACTATGTTAGCCTGTTTCCACACGTCTGCTACGATTCCTGTACACAGGGATGCCTGAAAGATCAGGTGAAGTGGAATGCTGAGCTCAGATGCACATTCTCTCAGAACCCATGGTGAAACGCCATCTGGGCCAGCTGCTTTGTTCCTCCCGAGCTCCTTTAGCATATTTTCCACTTCATCTCTAGACACCTCTATCCGCTCTATGTTGTTCTCTGGAATTCTTATTGTGTCTGGTTCTCTGAAGATTTCATTTTGTACAAACACACTTTGGAACTTTTCATTTAATGTTTCACACATTTCCTTTTCATTTTCCGTGAATCTGTTTCCCATTTCCAACCTCTGGATATTATCCTTTACCTGCAATTTGTTGTTTATGAATTTGTAGAATAGGCCCGGTTCTGTTTTACATTTATCTGCTATCCCTTTTTCAAAATTTCTTTCTGCCTCTCTCCTTACTGCTGTATAATTGTTTCTCGCATCTTTGTATCGCTGGTATGTTTGGGGGTTTGGCCTCTTCCTATACTGATTCCATTTTTGTGTCTTTTGGTCTCTTGCCCTCTCACAATTTCTGTCGAACCAATCCTGTTTTCTGGTCCTGCATCTCTGTTTTGGTATAAATTTTTTTGTGCCTTTATCATATATTTCACAAAACTTGCCATACATCTCATTCACTTCCTTGCCTAGCATCAAGTCTGTCCAATTATACTCACTAAAAAAATTTCTAAGGTCACCATAATGTCCTCTCCTGAAGTCTGGTTTTTCAACTGCTTCAACCTCCTTATTTTCTTCCAGCTTATAACGCATTGCATACTTTATTCCCAAAAAGACATGGTCACTTTTACCCAAGGGAGGAAGGTACTGAATGTCAAATATCTCTTCCTCCTTCCTGGTAAATATCAAATCTAGCATGGAGGGAACGTCCCCTTCCCTCATCCTCGTAGCTTGTTTAACATGTTGATACAAGAATGTTTCCAGGATGAGGTCTACAAATTTACAGGTCCAAAAATCTTCTGTTTTAGCTTCATATGCTTCCCAGTCTATGGATTTCAAGTTGAAGTCACCGACTATCAACAGTCGTGATCTATCGTTATCCGCTCTCGCTATAATCTCTCTCATTATTGTTATAAGACCTTCACGTTTACTATCTAGCTCCTCCTTTGACCATGTGCTGCTTGGCGGTGGACTATATGCATTTATCATCATTAGTTTATCATCCTCATAGCAGATCTCTAGTGCTATTATGTCAACTTCTTGTGGATTGGCAGTCATTATTTCCTTCACCTTTAGGTGTTCTTTCACCAGCACAGCAACGCCACCGCCTTTCCTAATTTTTCTGTCCCGTCTCCAAATTGAGTAGCCCCTTGGGAATATGACCTCATTTAAAATTACATCTTCAAGTTTTGTCTCCGTGAGTGCAACAATGTCTGGTGTCTGCAGCTGTATTACATCACTTAACTCCAGTATCTTCGATCTCACTCCATCTATGTTGGTGTATGCAATCTTCAGGAACTTGTTCCCCCTCTCCTTATTCTTCACTCCCCCTCTCTCTATTGATTTTGTTGGTTTGCCTTTATGTACCACTTTACTGGTTTGCCTACCCCTATCACTTTGTAGAAAAAAGAATTTATTTCTTCTTCATTCCTGCTCTCATTTAAATGTTTTGCCTCGGCGAGGTTCAGTTTCAGCTTCTCTCTATCTTCTTTTGAAAGATCTCGTCTTAACGACCACCCTTTCCCATCCTCATCCCTTTGCAATTTTCTAGCATTCCTTAGTACTTCTTCCATCTGTTTGGCACCGTTTAGGGTGATCCTCAAAGGTCGATCTTTCCCTTTTACGTACCTGCCTATTCTCCTGTAGTCGCACACATTCTCTCTGTTTGTAAGACCTTCCACGAGGCCAACAATTTTATCTACTACTTTAGCTTCTTCTACAGCTCTTTCTGACCTAGATGTTATCGCCTTTTCTTTGCAGCCAAAAATGATCAGGGACTTACTCCGATCAACTGTGTTTTGCACCAACTTCGGGTTAGATGCCAATTCTTTCCTCACTTCTAGCCTAATGTTTGTTTTATCTTGGTTGCTGCAGTGTTTGACTTCCTTTACTGCTTCTTCTATTTTTTCCTTCTCCTTGGCCACTTGTGCATAAGTGAGTTGCATATCTTTCTTGCACTGTTCTATTCCCTGTGTAACTTCCTCCATCTGTGCTGACAAAAGCTGTTTCTCCTGTTGAATTTCCTTGCCTAACCTATTGTAGTCATTTATGTTTAAATTTACTTTAACTTCTTCCAAAGCTATTTTTAAGAGTTTATTTTCTTCTTCCATGGCTTTGCAATTTGTTTCCAATTGATTCTTATCCTTGCGCAAGTCTTTCACTAAACCCTCAAGACATAAAACTTTGCTATTCAAATGGTCATTACTTTCTTTCAATTTACTAATTATTTCTACATGAGAGTTCACTATAGTATCTAAATTTACCAACTTGTTATGTAGACTACTAATATCAATGCTTTCTTCATTGAATCCCTCAAAATCAAGCTCTGTTTTGTTTTTCCCCTTGCCAGTGGCCATCTTGAATGTTCTTCTCTGCACTGTAAACACTAGGGCAACTTTTTCTCATCCGATTCTTCACTTCCCTTAGCACTTTCCTGTTATCTCACCTATTTTTCAAGAGCACTATACCTTTATGTTCTGTGGGACACCACTCACTACCATCAACCTGTACTACAATACTTAGGATTGTTGAAATATGCTGGAGCTCCTCTGCTGCAAGTGTTGACCCTAGGGGTGTCACCTTTTGAATCAATGTACAGTGTACGGTGAGTCGTGTTGCTCAGTGATCAGCACAGTGTACGGTGGGTCTGCTCAGTGATCAGCACAGTGTTCGGTGGGTCGTGTTGCTCAGTGATCAGCACAGTGTTCGGTGGGTCGTGTTGCTCAGTGATCAGCACAGTGTACGGTGGGTCGTGTTGCTCAGTGATCAGCACAGTGTTCGGTGGGTCGTGTTGCTCAGTGATCAGCACAGTGTACGGTGGGTCGTGTTGCTCAGTGATCAGCACAGTGTACGGTGGGTCGTGTTGCTCAGTGATCCGAACAGTCTGTTCAGAAGGTCTAGTAGCACAGTGGTCAACACAATGTGTCCTGTTGCTCAATGGTCAGCAGAGTCTATTCAGTGGGTCCAGTACCATAGTGATCAGCCCAGCAGTTCACTGGGTCTTGGAGTACAGTTGTTTCAGAACAGAAAGGTCCTGGAGTTTGAGTAATGAATGATGGAGACGTTTGGTCACTATTCTTTTCACCAGATATCTCTGTTTACCTAGCAATAAATAGGTAACAGGAAGTTATGATAACCAAACCACACACCAGAAGATGAAGAAACGATGACGTTTCGGTCAGTCCTGGACTGTTATTAATTTGACTGTGATGAGAGAGAGAGACTGATGAAGATTCAGCCACCCAAGAGGTGGCACAGGCACGAATAGCCTGTAAAAGGGTGGGAGAGAGTTGTTCTTTTAGATTCAGCTACGCGGAATAAAAAGTTCCAAGTAGCACGGGCTATGGTGAGCCCGTAGTGGACCTACCCGGCACAGGAGCGGAGCTGTGTGGGAGAGAGGAAGGCACGGTCAATAAATACGGCAAGAGTGAGGTGGGAAGCAGGTAAGAGTAAGACTGAGCCTTACTCTTGCCTCTTCAGCCACGTTATGGTAGCTCATCGTCTGACCCAGAGGTTAGTCAACTGTTGCCGATTGCATTCTGGAAAAGGTCAGTCATTGGCGAAGAGAAGCTTTAATTAATAGTAAAGCCTATAAAGGCCCCATGTCACCTGACAATGTAAAACAAAATCCATATAAGCTGTAATGTGCGCTGCCTATACCTGACATATGGAACTCATTAGAATTAATTTGAACTAAAGTCCTGTGCACTGGCAAGACCAACCTAGTGTAAAAGAACAGGAGTGTTTGGCCTACGTACTTGACCAATGATGTGTTTAGCGTTCTGCACAGCTGCACGTGCACAGTCAACACTAGTGCCTAAGGAGCAGAAGCCATGTTTGTCTGGGGGCGAAACCTGTAAACAAACAATTTCAGGCAAAATAGTCTATATATATTTATGGTAAAGTTTAAATAAAGTTGATATTGAAAGTGATAGATGCTCGTATACTATTCTCAGAGAGGGATATTGTGTGTCCACTATATGGACCACTATTATGCACTGATATAAAACATACATTAAACCAAAAAGTAAAAAAAGTCCTGATAATTAAGCAACAAATTAAATAACACAACTGTACCTTGATAGTTGCCAACACTCGCTAGAATATTAACACTTCTGGTAATAGTGCTTCATAGATGTAATGTTTCAAGGTTACACTATATATTAGTAATTTAAGCATAAACTATTTCTAAGGCTGTAAAATAAACTGTGTATTAGGTTAACCCAGGAGCCCATAATGCTGTTAAGAAGGCCCTGGTCCCAAGTTCTTAACATGTTATGAAGTGCTGTGCTGGATATCTTTAATTACCTCCCAAAACTGTGCCTCCTAATGCCTAAATTACCTCCTTACCTGCACTAGTGCAACATCAATGTTAATAATGTTTCGATGGAATAGCAGTGGGATCTCCGAGAGGAATATGGGCACAAAGTCTCCTCTGCCATCATTCACAGCTTCCCGACAGTTAGAGCCAATGAAGAATGAGTTACTCCGAAAGATTCCTGTGGAAAGAATTATAAATTACAGTAATACATATACTGTACAATGTGTGAGAAAGCTGCATGAACGCGCAAGCCATATATTACTAAGAACTCTTTGACCCGGCCAGGATTCGAACCCATGCCGTCCAGGATCACCCCTAAACGTACACAGTACCGTGACCACCGATCATTGGTGCGGTGGTCACGGTACTGTGTACGTTTAGGGGTGATCCAACAAAAATGTAAAAAAGTAAAATCCAAAATGCCCAACAAAGAAAATCCAAAATACCCAACACACAAAAATGGTACCAGTACAGTATTTAAACAGGACAATACCAGTATTAAACAGGACCGTGTAATTATCAATCAGGACAGTGCCAGTATCAAACAGAACTGTGCCAGTATCGAAGGAGTGTGTACAGTTCCATGCATGTTGTACAGTACCATGCACATTGCCAGGTATGGTGTATAGGGACCACACATTACACAGTGCCACTCATGGTGTACACGGACCACACATTACACAGTGCCACACATGGTGCACAGGGCCACACACGTTGCACAGTGCTGCAATGTGGCGCACATGTTTGGTATATGACCACACCCTCCCTCATGCAGCCTCCACACATATTCCCTACTCCAACAACCATTCCACTGTCTCTCAATTACCCGTCCCATAACCCCCCCCCCCCCATCCCATCACAGCCCTTCAACCACTATGCCCCTTTTGCCCTCTTACTATGCAGTATGTTATGCATATTGTATCTTGAGATGATTTCGGAGCTTAGCATCCCCACGGCCCCGTCCTCGACCAGGCCTTCTTTTTGTTACCCACCCCCAGGAAGCAGCCCGTAGCAGCTGTCTTAACTCCCAGGTATCCATTTACCGCTAAGTGAACAGGAGCATCAGGGTGAAAGAAACTGCCCATTTGTCTCTGCCTCCACCTGGGATCAAACTGAGAACCTTAGGATTATGAATACCAAGCGCTGGCCACTCAGCTATCAGCCCCTTACACTAACTTGTAAAACTGGCATAACTGTTATATATGTTCTGTGAAGACATCTTTTACTTGCTAATTAGGACTTAAAATTTCAGCATTAACTTGTATAAGCACTTAAATCACTTTTCGTGGTTGAGTGCCCCTTACCCACTACTATATGCAGTATAGAAATTATCATAACCCAGTCTATGGATGATGATATTGTTAAAGATTCAGCTACTCGGAACAAGTTCCAAGTAGCAAGGGCTATGTGAGCCCGTAACATACCTGGCACAGGAGTGGGGCAAGTAGCACGGGCTATGGTGAGCCCGTAACTTACCTGGCACAAGAGCGGGGCAAGTAGCACTGGCTATGGTGAGCCCGCAGTGGACTTACCTGGCACAGGAGAGGTGCTGACGTGTGTATGCTCGCTCTATGAATGATGTCTGTAGTAGAGAATATACTGCTCACTTGCAACCAACCTGTACATGCTTCTATGGCGATAATGTCCACTCATAAAATGAGTGGCGCTGCCCAATAAACTCGCCCCTCGGGGCAAAATTTAAACAAAAAATTTAACCTTGACAGTCTTGGCGGGCGTAGAGCGCCGGGCCCTCAGTGTGGATATGGCAGATGCTGACGTCTCTGAGTTGCTGAGTCTTGCCATGCTGGGTCAGCGCCTCCACCAGCTTGAGGGGCGTGGCCGCTGCTCCGTGCACGAATACTACATCACCTGTCCCACATATATAATATTAATCAACACGTACGTTAATATATATTTATACAATGTAAATAAGACATAATCGAAATACTATAAATAGTCATATAATTCACAAGGATCAAATACTAAATATAATTCCGTAGCAAGCAAGTTCACCATCTTGAGGTTATCTTGAGATGATTTCGGGGCTTTAGTGTCCCCCGCGGCCCGGTCCTCGACCAGGCCTCCACCCCCAGGAAGCAGCCCGTGACAGCTGACTAACTCCCAGGTACCTATTTACTGCTAGGTAACAGGGGCATTCAGGGTGAAAGAAACTTTGCCCATTTGTTTCTGCCTCGTGCGGGAATCGAACCTGCGCCACAGAATTACTAGTCCTGCGCGCTATCCACCAGGCTACGAGGCCCACCATGTAGGTTGTTTTAATACACAATGTACAGTACATAGAAAATACACAACGGTCAGAGTTCACAATCTTCTACCTGCGTTCGTGGCTTGGTTTAGCACTTTGTATTCTGTACGTAGTGGAAAATCAGGGAACAGGCTGAATTTTTGCCTATTTCTACTACTAAGACTAAAAAAGGATTACCAAATGGATGAGTGAGGACGAGAAATAGGTGTAGGAGAGTTGAATTCCTACATGAAGTGAGGTCTTGCTTTTTATATCATGTCCCGCCTCCCAGATACAACCACTTGGGCTGGACGGTAGAGCGACGGTCTCGCTTCAGGCAGGTCGACGTTCAATCCCCGACTGTCCAAGTGGTTGGTCACTATTCCACCTCCACCCCCCCCCGTCCCACCCCGAATCCTTATCCTGACCCCTTCCCAGTGCTATAGTCTAATGGCTTGGTGCTTTCCCCCCTGATAATTCCTTCCTACCGCCTCCCAGATTTTCGTTCCTGGTACCTTTTAAATCTATAGACTGCTATACATTATATATATTATATATATATATATATATATATATATATATATATATATATATATATATATATATATATATATATATATATATATATATATATATATATATATATATATATATATAATGACAGTGTCAGACCACGGAGGAAAAATGAATCAGGAATTTCCTTAAGTACTTTCGTATATTAATACATCTTCAGAAGGAGTCCTTCTGAAGATGTATTATTTTCAGTCTAATACAATTTAAATTTAGTTTCATCACACTGCATATCTTATATAACTTTAATTCACAAATATACTGCAAGAGACAGATCAGTCGATTGCAAGACATTTCGTGTATTACGCATTGAACATAATTTTCGTGCATTCTGTTCTATTTGCATGGAGCTTCCTGCTGGTGACTCCGCGGCTGCCAAATGTAACAACCCTTAACTTACAACACATTTATATCGACTTTTCTATGTCGGTGAAATTGTAATTTAAATACAAAAATAATGACACCCATTAGGCCTACTTTAATACTCCGTACAGCATAAGAAACCTCGATTAAATTAACATAAGAACAAAGGCAACTGCAGAAGGCCTATTGGCCCATACGAGGCAGCTCCTATTTATAACCACCCAATCCCCACTCATATACATGTCCAACCCACGCTTGAAACAATCGAGGGACCCCACATCCACCACGTTACGCGGCAATTGGTTCCACAAATCAACAACCCTGTTACTGAACCAGTATTTACCCAAGTCTTTCCTAATTAGAAAGTGATAAGTATCACTGCCCAATAAAATCGGCCTTTAAGGCATAATTACTATTTAGTCAAAAGAACGCACGAAGGTAGTTAACTTAATTGTTTCATCCTCACAATACTTGGTCAACATCAAACATGTTTCAATCTCCAAGACAAACAGCTGCGCACACAAGCAGTGTACACATGAGCCACGATCAGACTCTTCCCGTTGCTAAAATAATCTCCCTAGATTTCAACACAGACAGTCTCATATCAAGAATGCTGTCAAGTGCCAGTTGCTTGTGACAGCGAAACATGCGAGGTGCTGTAATTCACCCCGCTGTAACCGGATGGTACAGCTGTACCTCGTTAACATCTCGTTGTAACGTATTTATTCATTTATATACAAGTAGGTACAGTGGGTTGTGAAAGTATACATTCGTGACTGAGTGGTACATTCTTGCAAGGCCACTAATACACAGCCTGTACCTCGCCACCATCTGGCTGTAACTGGACGGTACAGAATTATCGTCTGCACGACATGAAAGCCCCCAGGACTATCAAGATGTCTTGAGTCGCCGTAACTATTTTAAAACCATTATTGCTAGTGTATTATTTCTATGATGACAATAATAAAATATAACTTTTTAGGGATTATGTTGGCAAGTTAATGATGGCCAAACACAAAAACTTGCTCTCACGGAGGCACGAAAATATTATCAACATAAAATAATAATACTAATTTATTTGCAAGAAGGTACAATGGGTTGGTGAGATTGCATAAGATTGGTATTTTTACATTCCTGCAAAGCCACTAACACGCACAGCGTTTCGGGCAGATCCTTTATCCAACAGATGAAAGGGTAAGGATGACCAGACCACACACTAGAATGGTCCAGGACGGACCGAAACGTCGTCGTCCCTTCACCTTCTAGTGTGTGGTCTGGTCATCATACTTTAGCCACGTTATTGTGACTCATCGCCTGCAGATGAAAGGGTACATTGTAACAAGATTTTTATATCAACAAATAACTACAAAACAAATTGACAGAAGATTACACTAGTAAGAATATATGTCTTAAGTACTAAAAGAACTGATATACAAGCCATCAGTAACTATTAGGATATTTATTTTCTCTTATTAGGAGTGGTTATTATTTATACTTTTTTCTATATTGTTATAACAACCATTCACTTTACTAGTATCAATTTGATTATTAACAGAGGCCACCTTTCACCTCAGTTGGGGATGGACACGCAACTGAATGACTGGCTCAATTATATCATGACACAATATATCATGACGCAATGCCAATTGTGTAAATTGGGAAATTGGGGCAAGAAAACCACAAATATATATATATATATAAGCAAGTTAAATAATCAGATTTATAGTGTTCAAACTTATCAAGGTATCACATTACTGTACAGCCTCAAGATATCGCATCACTGTACAACGTCAAGATATCGCATCACAGTGCAGTTTCACCAGGATATCACATCACCGTGCACAGCTTCGTCAAGACATCACGTCATTGTATACAGCTTCATCAAGATATTATGTCATAGTGTACAGCCTCATCAAGACATCACATCATGGTGCAAAAGCTTCAAGACATCACATCAGCTTCATCAAGACATAATATCAAGGTGCAAAAGCCTCATCAAGACATCACATCAAGGTGCAACAGCTTCATCAAGACATCACTTCAGCTTCATGAAAACATCACATCAAAGAGCAAAAGCCTCATCAAGACATCACATCAGCTTCATCAAGACATCACATCAGCTTCATCAAGACATCACATCAGCTTCATCAAAACATCACATCAAGAAGCAAAAGCCTCATCAAGACATCACATCATAGTGCAACAGCTTCATCAAAATATTCCATCAAAATGTACAGTCTCATCAAGACATCACATAAATGAAAAACAAGTTAGCCTTGTAGTATTGCTCACGTTTCTTGAAACAGTCCAAAACCATACACAAATGGAGACTGTTCAATGCAGGGTGTAGAAAATGATGTCGGAACAAAACAAACCCAATTAGAAACGTCGTCGTCCCTTCAACTTCTAGTGTGTGGTCTGGTCAACAACCCAATTAGAATTCACGGATTACAGACATGGGCACATCTGGTCCAGAACTAATAATCTAAGAGCCAACTCGAAACGATGGATTGTTTCACGCGAAGATTAGACATACTGTACATCTGAATGAGTTTGGTTTTGTACAAATGATCCCTTAAATAATACATAAAATAATGTTGAAGCCTTATCACGGCCCGTGTGTATTTGTTCAGTTGAAATATTGTACATCAAACGTTGTTTGCCAATCTTTGCCCAGATGGGGAGTAATTTATAACTGAAAATAACTTGTAACCCTAAAACGGCCACATACTTATGTTAAAAAGATGCTCAAAATCTTTATTATATTAAAATATATTTTATTTGTTACTGCATAAACCTTTATAAGGATGCTAATGACAAATCTGGGCAAACGTCAACGTTGATGTAGCAATGATTCACCGTTCAGAGTAATGAGCTTAGGTTGACGTTTATAATGTGGAAGCCATCAATCCAAGCAGTGCTCGATTAAAATACATGTACAGAAGGAAGATAGCTTGAGCTACCTCATCCCTTTGTGCGTATTTTACCTCAATAAACTTATTTAAATTTCAATTTCAATGTACAGAAGAACTTTATCCCAGTTAATGCTGTTATTTGCCTAGATGGCGTTGTAATAAGTTACAACGGCTGAGTTACTTCAGGTAAGCTTAGCCAGAGTCTAATGTGAATAGACGACATATATATTATTAGACTAATACAAATTATTGCATAATTGAACATGAGTGTGAACTGACAGACAGCCTAACACACGGGCGGTGGTGGGGGACTATAGGATGGTAAGACACCTATCAGGAAGCTTAGATGTTGGCTAAAAATAAAGGGTGATATGTGGTAGCTTGGAGCTCCCACCCGCTCTCCAACCGGTGGGTGCAAAAGTATGGGTGCTGCTTGCATTCCTGCGACCTTTTACATTATTCCTAATGCAAACTTTACTAAGTTAATGAGCCAGGTAGGCTTCGGTTCTCAATATAAGTAAACTCAATGCCTTAATTCGAAAATAAGAAACAAACATCAGTAGTAAGAAATATAATATTAAATTATATTTTAATTAATATTTAGATTCATATGTATCGGCATGATGTTCGTCAGTGTAATAAAACTTAGTTTTAATAAGTTTACTGGGCGCTACCAGTTTACAGTTCTCGAATAGAGAACTGTGCAAACACTCCATGCAAATAAAAGGACCCAGTCTTTATAACTCACTCCCTGACGAATTAAAACAATTGTCCAACCCATGCCCTATTTAAAAGTAAATTCCAAAGGTACCTACAGTAATTTCACCCTCATAGTTTCCTACCTTGTGCTTCAAACGCACACTGTATCTTGTACTACCCACTTCCCCAATATTAGTACTTATATTTTAATTTTTAATTATTAGTACAGTAGACATGTTAATGCCCGAAACGTTATGCGTGTTAGCGGCTTGGCAAGAACATATAGTACAAATATACCAATCATATGTAATCTCACCAACCAAATGGACCTTCTTGTGAATAAATTATTATTATTATTATTATTATTATTATTATTACTGTATTATTATTATTTAAATTCAATGCAATTGATCTCCGTTACTTTAATGATTTTTGAGCTCCCTCTAATGTAAATAAACTTGAAGTGGTATTACCTTTTTTTTCAGGTATTATTTATTTAAATTTACTTCAGTGACTGCGATGGGGACAGGAAGCCAGCGGCATGTCAAAGGTCCCCCCCTTTCATTATTCCCGAGGATTTTTCCAGTTCGGCGGGTAGGCGGTTCCGTGGGTTTATAACCTTATGGGTGAAAAAGCTCATTTTTTGTCCTACATTGTGGTCTGTTGAGCTAAAGTTGCTGCCTTATCCTGAACTTAACCTAATATAAGCTTTTGAGATTACATGAACTTCTTATCACATTCACGTAAGCTTACTGCATGATTGTAGCTTAAAATAACTTCCTAACCCACTTTTTTTTTTTCCTTACCAATTTTGTCCAGTGAAGGGCGAGGCTGGTCATGTAGACACCCATCCAGTAACTGTCCTAACCCACAATAATTTATGCTTAATGTAATATAAGATGTTGCGTTAAGATGATGGAGCTTGTCTTAGACATCCCGTGACACATCTTGTGGCTATAGGGACCACAGTTACGGTGCATCTAGGGACAGGTTACTTGCATGCTAGTCGACATGCAGGCGAGGCTACCTGAAGGGGCCAGATTCACGAAAGAAGTTACGCAAGCACTTAAGAACGTGTACATCTTTCCTCAATCTTTGACGGCTTTGGTTACATTTATTACACAGTTTACAAGCATGAAAACTTCCCATTCAACTGTTGTTATTGTTATAAACAGCCTCCTGGTGCTTCGGAGCTCATTAACTGTTTAATAATTGTAAACAAAGCCGCCAAAGATTGAGAAAAGATGTATAGGTTCGTAAGTGCTTGCGTAACTGCTTTCGTGAATCTGGCCCCAGATTTTACGGGCTATTCATGCCCGTGCCACCTCTTGGGTGGCTTAATCTTTATCAATCAATCAAGACCAGGCCATACCTGCATTGGGCAGACTACCTGCATGGGATAGGCGGCACGTAACGGTAGGTTACCTAAATGGATAGGCCTACCTTTATGGGGAGGCGAGGCTATGTGTTGTATTACGTATCTGGAAAACTACAACGAATTTTGCAATAGGCTTACAAATTAATATCAATAATGTATGAATTTTTAGTTAATAATGTATGAATTTTTAGTTAATAATGTATGAATTTTTAGTTAATAATGTACGAATTTTTAGTTAATAATGTATGAATTTTTAGTTGATAATGTATGAATTTTTAGTTAATAATGTACGAATTTTTAGTTAATAATGTACGAATTTTTAGTTAATAATGTATGAATTTTTAGTTAATAATGTACGAATTTTTAGTTAATAATGTATGAATTTTTAGTTAATAATGTATGAATTTTTAGTTAATAATGTACGAATTTTTAGTTAATAATGTATGAATTTTTAGTTAATAATGTATGAATTTTTAGTTAATAATGTATGAATTTTTAGTTAATAATGTATGAATTTTTAGTTAATAATGTACGAATTTTTAGTTAATAATGTATGAATTTTTAGTTAATAATGTATGAATTTTTAGTTAATAATGTATGAATTTTTAGTTAATAATGTACGAATTTTTAGTTAAGTTACTATAAACATATATACCCCTCATTCTCGGTATATATGTACAGTATATGGTTTACTTTAGTCTTGGACTATGTTCAGGACTATAGTACAATATATAAAAACCTATTCTCGGTCCTCCAGAGACTAATAGGCCTAAAAGCCCAACACAAACCAAAGGAAAATGCAATTATAGCCTAACTTGAATCCAGAACTTTCAAGTGCTTGTAATTTGTTGTAAACTTTGGCTAGCTGTGTGCAGTCATACAATAGTTTAGTTCATTTATTATGCACCCCATACCCATCTTGTGGGCGGTAGTGGAAAGGGTTACAGAGGCACATAATGGGCTCAGGGACTGAACCCCAACAATTCATTTAGCTAAGCAAGTTACAATCCATACTGACCTGATTTAACGACCGACACGGCTTCCTCAGCGGTCTTCCAAGCTGGAGCCCGTTTTAAGGGGTGAAACGGCTCATGGGAGTAAGTGTAATAGGTCCTCACTGTCGCACGACCGCCCCATGATTGCCTCATCATCTGCGTCGATAACCAAGTGAGGATCTGCCCGGACGCTGAAGCCATCGTGTTCTGCACTCCCGGAATACTTAAATGCAACCAGAAAAAATGGACGGATGGCACCGGCCACGAGGGAGGAGGAGCACAAGTCAGCAGCGTAGCGCACTCTATGCTCTCTGAGGCGCTACTGCCGCTGATCTCCACGGTCGATGGACAGGTTACCGGGTGCACCCCTGCCAACCGTACAACGCTCTCCTTCATCATAATGCAATTAATGAAATGGAGTTTGAATAGACTTTAAAACAATAGAAATACTGGGGTTAGTTTTTTAGAGGGGAATGAAGACATGGCCTGAGGCGGATGTATCGGATGGGTGGTGTGCGCACGCACCTTATTCTGATCTTCCCGCACGAAGGTCACCTCTGGCAGGTGACGTACATGTCAGCCATACATCAAATCAAATATTTATTCAGATAAATACATACATAAAAGGTGAGATACAAACATTGATGGATTTATAGATAGAGATAGTACATACAATGCCTAAAGCCACTATTACGCAAAGCGTTTCGGGCAGCAAGAAAGATATTGAATTGGGCAGCATTGGCGAAATTGTCTTCACCGTAGAATGACCTAGTATGACCTGGTTAACTAGGGTCGTCTATAATGTAGTAACATTTGCTAAAAAGCATGTGTGTGTATTGGATACTAAAATGTCATTAAATGTAGCTATTTCAAATCTACATCATCAATAAATTTAATATTTTCCAAAATCTTAACTAAGTATTCCGAGGTTAAATACCTTTGACAGTATATGTGTAGGTATTACACATATACTGTCTAAGCTTGCGATCATTACCATGTAACTTTAACGGCAGTTTTGTAATTAAACTTTTGATAATATAAACTGTTTATTTAATGAGCTCAGTATGTGTCGTACGTTCTGGAATCCATTATGTGACCCTGACCCATCTTAAAGAATAGTTCCGGCAGGAATTGGAATGAGGCATAATATTCTATATTTCGCGAATATATTTACACGGAGATAAAACCATGCAGTGTGAGGTATGACTACATTTTTGCGGGGGTTGAGCTCTGGCTCTTTGGTCCCGCCTCTCAACTGTCAATCAACTTGTTCCTGAACCTATTAGGCTCTATCATATCTACATTTGAAATTGTGTATGGAGTCAGCCTCCACCACATCACTGCCTAATGCATTCCATCTGTTAACTACTCTGACACTGAAAAAGTTTTTTCTAACGTCACTGACTGACGTCCCTTGTGTTAATCATACTAAAAATCCACCGGATATGACTGATTACCGGACTGGATACCCGTCCTCACACTAGGCTGTTTAAAGCAGCGGCCGTCCTCCCCAGACGCATTCATCAGTTTTTAACATAGTGTGTATTAAACATTGGTTTGTTCTCATATATAAATTAATATTATTATACATAAAAATTATATGTATATTTAGGGGTAGGTTAGGTGTTTAGGTTCTGTTGGCGATTATTTGTATTTAAAGTATTTGGGTGAAGCATTTGTAAACCGCTTTTCATTCATAAACAGGGGGTTTGGCGGCTGGATTAACGAGTTTGGATCTTTACATGTGAAGACGGGCTGGTTTATGAATGTAAAACGGTTTACACACGACTCACAACTGATGACGTCTGAACACTTCCGAAACAAGTGTTTTGCTCACGTCCTCTGTTCGAATCCCAATTCTATAAATGTTTCACCCACGTACTTCAAATACAAACAATCCAGCCCGTCCTCTAAACAGCCTAGTGTGAGGACGGGTTGCATAAACAGGGGGTTTGGCGGCTGGATTAACTTATTAATTATTATGCGAGGACTGGCTGGCTCACATACGACTTGATAACGGGCCAGGACGGACCGAAACATCGTCCTTTCTCTATATTCTGATATGTGGTTTGGCCCCTCATACCTTCAGCCACGTTATTGTGATTCATCGTCTGCTACATATATACCGCGCACATATGAAAATGTGTAAGTAGAGAACTGAATTGTAAAGTAGTATTTCACTTTTATTATGAAAGTGTAACTTATCATTGTATTCTGTCGGCAAGGTATAAGACTTCTTATTTTTAAGACAAATAAATTTAGTTTGCTAACTGTAGGTAGTAACTAAGTGATTGTAACCTATCCACCGCTGCCCACTGGATGGGGGGCTGTGTAACCTATCCACCGCTGCCCACTGGATGGGGGGCGGTGTAACCTATCCACCGCTGCCCACTGGATGGGGGGCGGTGTAACCTATCCACCGCTGCCCACTGGATGGAGGGAGGGGCTGTGTAACCTATCCACCGCTGCCCACTGGATGGGGGGCTGTGTAACCTATCCACCGCTGCCCACTGGATGGGGGGCTGTGTAACCTATCCACCGCTGCCCACTGGATGGGGGGCTGCGTAACCTATCCACCGCTGCCCACTGGATGGGGGGCGGTGTAACCTATCCACCGCTGCCCACTGGATGGGGGGCTGTGTAACCTATCCACCGCTGCCCACTGGATGGGGGGCTGTGTAACCTATCCACCGCTGCCCACTGGATGGGGGGCTGTGTAACCTATCCACCGCTGCCCACTGGATGGGGGGCTGCGTAACCTATCCACCGCTGCCCACTGGATGGGGGGCGGTGTAACCTATCCACCGCTGCCCACTGGATGGGGGGCTGTGTAACCTATCCACCGCTGCCCACTGGATGGGGGGCTGTGTAACCTATCCACCGCTGCCCACTGGATGGGGGGCTGTGTAACCTATCCACCGCTGCCCACTGGATGGGGGGCTGTGTAACCTATCCACCGCTGCCCACTGGATGGGGGGCTGTGTAACCTATCCACCGCTGCCCACTGGATGGGGGGCTGTGTAACCTATCCACCGCTGCCCACTGGATGGGGGGCGGTGTAACCTATCCACCGCTGCCCACTGGATGGGGGGAGGGGCTGTGTAACCTATCCACCGCTGCCCACTGGATGGGGGCGGTGTAACCTATCCACCGCTGCCCACTGGATGGGGGGCGGTGTAACCTATCCACCGCTGCCCACTGGATGGGGGCGGTGTAACCTATCCACCGCTGCCCACTGGATGGGGGGCTGTGTAACCTATCCACCGCTGCCCACTGGATGGGGGGCTGTGTAACCTATCCACCGCTGCCCACTGGATGGGGGGCTGTGTAACCTATCCACCGCTGCCCACTGGATGGGGGGCGGTGTAACCTATCCACCGCTGCCCACTGGATGGGGGGCTGTGTAACCTATCCACCGCTGCCCACTGGATGGGGGGCTGTGTAACCTATCCACCGCTGCCCACTGGATGGGGGGCTGTGTAACCTATCCACCGCTGCCCACTGGATGGAGGGAGGGGCTGTGTAACCTATCCACCGCTGCCCACTGGATGGGGGGCTGTGTAACCTATCCACCGCTGCCCACTGGATGGGGGGCGGTGTAACCTATCCACCGCTGCCCACTGGATGGGGGGCTGTGTAACCTATCCACCGCTGCCCACTGGATGGGGGGCTGTGTAACCTATCCACCGCTGCCCACTGGATGGGGGGCGGTGTAACCTATCCACCGCTGCCCACTGGATGGGGGGCGGTGTAACCTATCCACCGCTGCCCACTGGATGGGGGGCTGTGTAACCTATCCACCGCTGCCCACTGGATGGGGGGCTGTGTAACCTATCCACCGCTGCCCACTGGATGGGGGGCGGTGTAACCTATCCACCGCTGCCCACTGGATGGGGGGCGGTGTAACCTATCCACCGCTGCCCACTGGATGGGGGGCTGTGTAACCTATCCACCGCTGCCCACTGGATGGGGGGCTGTGTAACCTATCCACCGCTGCCCACTGGATGGGGGGAGGGGCTGTGTAACCTATCCACCGCTGCCCACTGGATGGAGGGAGGGGCTGTGTAACCTATCCACCGCTGCCCACTGGATGGGGGGCTGTGTAACCTATCCACCGCTGCCCACTGGATGGGGGGCTGTGTAACCTATCCACCGCTGCCCACTGGATGGGGGGCTGCGTAACCTATCCACCGCTGCCCACTGGATGGGGGGCTGTGTAACCTATCCACCGCTGCCCACTGGATGGGGGGCTGTGTAACCTATCCACCGCTGCCCACTGGATGGGGGGCTGTGTAACCTATCCACCGCTGCCCACTGGATGGGGGGCGGTGTAACCTATCCACCGCTGCCCACTGGATGGGGGGCTGTGTAACCTATCCACCGCTGCCCACTGGATGGGGGGCTGTGTAACCTATCCACCGCTGCCCACTGGATGGGGGGCTGTGTAACCTATCCACCGCTGCCCACTGGATGGGGGGCTGTGTAACCTATCCACCGCTGCCCACTGGATGGGGGGCGGTGTAACCTATCCACCGCTGCCCACTGGATGGGGGGCGGTGTAACCTATCCACCGCTGCCCACTGGATGGGGGGCTGTGTAACCTATCCACCGCTGCCCACTGGATGGGGGGCTGTGTAACCTATCCACCGCTGCCCACTGGATGGGGGGCGGTGTAACCTATCCACCGCTGCCCACTGGATGGGGGGGCGGTGTAACCTATCCACCGCTGCCCACTGGATGGGGGGCTGTGTAACCTATCCACCGCTGCCCACTGGATGGGGGGCTGTGTAACCTATCCACCGCTGCCCACTGGATGGGGGGTGGTGTGCAGGACAAACATATCAATTGTGACACTAGCTCTCCACATATGTCAGTTGCTTAATTTAGAACCTGTACTTGAGGTCGATCTCGAACCCATTGTTGATGTGACGACTTATATTAAAGTTTGTAACTAGCTCATCAAGATTGTAACTTGCTTAGCTAAATGAATTGTGGGGTTCAGTCCCTGAGCCCATTATGTGCCTCTGTAACCCTTTCCACTACCGCCCACAAGATGGGTATGGGGTCCATTACCGCCACAAGATTGGTATGGGGTCCACTACCCCTCACAGAATTGGTATGGGGTGCCATATACTGCCCACAGGATGGGTATGGGGGTACATTACCGCCCACAAGATTGGTATGGGATCCACTACCGCTCACAGAATTCGTATGGGGTGCCATACCGCCCACAGGACGGGTATGGGGTGCACTACCGCCCACAGGATGGGTATGGGGTGTATAATAAATGGACTAACTGGTAGCCTACGTGTCTTCAGGTGCTCTGGAGTCTGGCAGTTGTGACCTCTCTATACACGGCTCAATGGCAGTAAAGCCTTGACACTTTCCCTTAAATTAATATATGTCTCCTCCATCAGTACCCAAGATGGCGTGATTTGACAACTAATGTGTTCTACTCCTGAATGGTGGGTACAGTGAGCTGATTAGTATGGCGTTGCTGTAATGGCTGAAGGGTAATATGAGCATAATAGTTGGATAGGTCCTTGACCTTGCCCTAACGACCCTGACCTAATTTCTCGTCACCAAAGGAAGAAGTGATGGTTCATCCCGGTAAACATTTGAATTTTGAATTTGAATTTGAATGGCTTTAGCCTCGTTCGCTCGTTTTCTGTATATCTGATCTCGTACTGGCCACTTGAGTGATATTCAGTACCTGTTGAATAGCTGTTTTGCAACACACATGTTGGTAAAGCATCTTCCCGGGCTTGTTGCCTTCTCTTGGTAACACTGTGTGGCAATATTTTTGTCTCGGTAGTAAGTACTGTTATATGGTTTGCCCGAAATGCTGTGCGTATTAGAGGCTTTAGGTATTGTATGTACTAGCTCTATCTTTAAATCCAATGTAGCCAATAGCCACTTTCTATACTCTGGAGGCGTAAGCGATCAGAAAATAGCACTTACTACTCTTGGACAAAAATATTGTCTGGTAGCAGCTTTAGTTCTCGACTTACAATCGGGGAACGCGTGTTCGATTTCCGGGCGAGACAGAAATGATTGGGCACGTTTCCTTTCACCTAATGCCTTTGTTCACCTAGTAGTAAATAGGTACCTGGGAGTTAGGCATCTTATCCTAGGGAGGGAGGGTCAGTACTTTGACCTTTGGGGAACCTCTATACCATCCTAAAGTACCTATGAAGATACTTTTTCACCCACAGGGTTGTAAACCCGTGGAACCGCCTACCCGCCGAAGCCGTAAATGCCAAAACTCTGCTGGGTTTTAAACAAATGGGTTTTAGATCAAGACAAATGGGGGAGGTGGGACCTTTGACAAGCCGACGGCTTCCTGCCCTCGTCGAGGCCACTAGTATCAGTGGCCCTCAGGTAAATTCATATATATAACGAGGCTTCCAGTCCTCAATAAAACGAATTAACTCATTGAACGGCTTTTGCTAGTTTGGTTAGGCTTTAGGCTCGCAGCCTATGGCGGGCCGTACCTTTCTGACCAGCCAGCAATTATGCTTTAATCCTAAACATAGTCCAGAACAAAAGTCAACTCTAAGTATACATATACACCAAACACATGTGTTTGTGGATATCCCTTGTGGGTTTGTGTATACTGTGACTTGTGTGTGGTTCTAAATATCAGAATCTGTAGCAATATTCGTAACAAATTATACAAATCACTATATTTTTGGTTGGACTGTGCCCTAAAGCACATCCGTTTTGATATAGAGTGAATAAAATAAAGCTTACATGAGTGTAGAGAGAGATACACTGTTATTTTGAGTTGAGTTTTTTGAGAGACAGAGAGAGAGAGAGAGAGAGAGAGAGACAGAGAGAGAGAGAGAGAGAGAGAGAGAGAGAGAGAGAGAGAGAGAGAGAGAGAGAGAGACAGAGAGAGACAGAGAGACAGAGAGAGAGACAGAGAGACAGAGAGACAGAGAGACAGACAGAGACAGAGAGACAATATCACCTGAATGATGTGAGTGACTGGCTCACCAGGACCTGGCCGCCTCACCACCACTATGAAAGGAATATTAATGCCTTGTGAGAACACTTGAGTATTCCCAGACCAGCTGCTCCTCTATCACTGTCACAACGTCACAAACATGATCAACTAATTTGCCCGAACCTAACCTATCCCACGACCCACAAGGAGAAAACGGGACAGCCTGTCAATTTTGCAAACTTTTTCACCATCTTAATTACACACCTTCCTTTCACCATCTTCTCTACCCTTCCTACCCTTCTCTACCTCTACCCTTCACCAGTTGTAATGTTAGTGAGAAAAGTTACTTTTATTTAGCGAAATTGGCACTATTTTTCAATTCATGCGAAGGGCTCGACCAGCCTATTACCATCCCTGGACAAAGACCAGTCACCCTGCAAAGTTGGTGAGACTACCCCAAAGCGTCTGGCCCACAACGTCGAACAGACAGACAGACACTATCTGTTATAGATACAGACCTACGCAATATTTACATAGCTGTGTTATTGACATAGAAAACACATTTTGGGTTAACTTATACTCTCATTTCCCCAAGTTTTGTACCCACTTTCTCTCTCGTGGGTTCCCAAGTGATCATTATTCTCAACATTTCTTCTATATTTATGGTGTCAATTCTTCCGTGAATTCTAATTATTGTTAATAATACTCGCCCAGAACTCTTTTACCCAGCGAGGTGAAGCCTAGTCCCCTCAACCTGATATGTTATGTAGACCATCATATGATGACCATCATATCTGATGATATGTGACCATCATATCTGATGATATGATGACCATCATGTCTGATGATATGTGACCATGACCATCATATAATGACCATCATATCTGATGATATAATGACCAGATCACGCATCAGAAAGTGAACTAACGACGACGTTTCGGTCCGTCGTGGACCATTATCAAGTCGTTTAACAGAAGAGAGGAAGGTACAAATATTTGTAATGTACGAAAGTGAGAGGAGAGGAGCAGGTAAGAATAGGATGAATGTAAGAATAAGGTAAGAGTAGGATGAATGTAAGAATAAGGTAAGAATAGGATGAATGTAAGAATAAGGTAAGAGTAGGATGAATGTAAGAATAAGGTAAGAGTAGGATGAATGTAAGAATAAGGTAAGAATAGGATGAATGTAAGAATAAGGTAAGAGTAGGATGAATGTAAGAATAAGGTAAGAGTAGGATGAATGTAAGAATAAGGTAAGAGTAGGATGAATGTAAGAATAGAATGAATGTAAGAATAGGATGAATGTAAGAATAGGATGAATGTAAGAATAGGATGAATGTAAGAATAGGATGAATGTAAGAATAGGAGGAATGTAAGAATGAGGTACGAATAAGATGAATGTAAGAATAAGATGAATGTAAGAATAGGATGAATGTAAGAATAGGATGAATGTAAGAATAGGAGGAATGTAAGAATAGGATGAATGTAAGAATAGGATGAATGTAAGAATAGGATGAATGTAAGAATAGGATGAATGTAAGAATAGGATGAATGTAAGAATAGGATGAATGTAAGAATAGGATGAATGTAAGAATAGGATGAATGTAAGAATAGGAGGAATGTAAGAATAGGATGAATGTAAGAATAGGATGAATGTAAGAATAGGATGAATGTAAGAATAGGATGAATGTAAGAATAGGAGGAATGTAAGAATGAGGTACGAATAAGATGAATGTAAGAATAAGGTACGATTCGAATACGAGGAACATTTAAATTTCACTGTTATTTTTCCATTAGGTCCACTTTTTATTGGCTGTACGCGAATTGCTTGCATAGTTAACTACTGTCCATGTAGTTCAGAGTCGCGTCTAGTTTTACCTCTTGTCTCTAGGCTGAGTGGAGAAAGCACACGACTTCCTGATTGAAAGGTCCCCTGTTCGGTTCTCGGTTTATGTCACGTGGAAACCACTTTGTGGGAGTGATACGTGATTGTCAGGTCAAAAGGGGAGGGATTAAATAGTATTATGTGTCTCATTTGATATGAATGAATTAAGTATGAAGTTTGATATGAAGTGAATGAAGCACGTTGACCTTCATGTGTTATTCTACATTCACTTTCGTGCCATCAGTAATTCAGGAGTTGTGGCGTCAGTGTTGACATGCGGTATATAAGCTGTAGTACTCTGGGTACTGTCGTCAGTACTGTGTTCAAGCTTATACAGTATGGGTGTGTGTGGTGGTGTAAGTATTGTAGTATATGTGTTGTGGGTGTAGTGTAAGTATAGGAGTGGTTGTGGGCCTGAGTATCTATGCTAACCATAATCAAAAACAATTGAGGATCAACATACGAAATCCAAACAAAGAATTAACTTTACTCATTCTCAGTGTTCAACCGTTTTCCACATTACAATTTTTTTAAATTGACTTCCTTGGTGCACAAGACACGGGTAAACGATTGTACCTATTGAATTATTGGATAAAACTAGTCACTTTAAGAGTATCCTACTTAATTGGTCATCATTGCTCTTGTTAGCGTCCTACTCAATAGGTCAACAATGATCTTGTTAAGTCATTTTTACCTTGAATTGTGTTCTTATATAATTAACATTGTGTTATTATTTATAACTTTTATTATTAACATTATTTATTATAATAGGATTTATTATTACTAATGTATGTGTTAGCTGGTAATTATATATATACATATGGTGGCTGGTATACTCGCTGGCTGGTTTTTTTTTTTTTGCAGGGGATATTCCTGCCCGTGCCCTAGTGAGCCTCTGGCTGGCCCACTAAGTGTTGCTTGTTTCTGTTTTACTTGGGCGGAGTATGAGTATTTATGACTCGTATGGTCGCTTCAGTAAGATTTTTGCCATGTGTTTAACAACTTCTTCTGCTCTATTGAATCTAAGTTGACACCTTAATGGGTTTGTAACTGTGCACTGTGTTAGATAATGTTCCAGTGGTCTGTCGGACATTTCTCCACAGTGCTGACATTTCCTCTCATCTTCCGGAACCTGTAAGCCTATTTCCCATGCACATGGGTATCCAAGCCTGATGTGATGTAAGTGCACTTCTGTTGCTCTACTGCTCCCTTTCATCAAACTAAGTGGTTCGTAGTTGGTTGAATTCTTGTACCAACCCGCAGATCCTGATGTTGCAACTGCTGTGTTGTGGTCACTGTACATCTTTTGCATTGCTCTGTTTCTAATTACTTTCTTCATCTGGGATAGACTCTGTGGTATGTAAATGTCTACATTTCTTCTCTTAGTTGCAAGTTTTGCAGCTTCGTCTGCAATGTCATTTCCTATTATTCCCACATGACTTGGCACCCAGTTGATAAGTAGCCGACGGCCTTGACGTTTGAGTGTTTTTGCATTAATGATATGACATTTGTGATCAGATGGATGTTATCACGTATGTGTTCTTATTGCAAGGTTTCAATGGCGGTTCTCGAATCTGTATGTATGATAACATGTTGTCGGTGTTCAGCAAGAGCATGTTCCAAAGCCTTTTGAATGGCTAGCATCTCTGTTTGTAAAGTCGAACACCCTTTTGAGAGCCTCCAACTATTTACAGTTTCCTGCTTTAACTGCAGCTCCGGTTTCTTGTCCCTGCTGGTCTACTGATCCATCTGTGAAGTATGTGAAGCTGTCAGCTGCCAGGTTTGCTTCTATATGCATCTGTACAATGTTACGTAGCAGATGAGGATTTGTCTGGTTTTTTTTCCTTAAAGAACTATAATCTTAAAGTCTGCTGGCAGAGATTCCCAAGGGGCTTGCATAATAAAGTCTGTATTTCGTCGACACCCTTCTCAGTGACTGTGTTTGTTATATCGAATGTATTGATGGTGTTTATCGCACAATGGGTCCACCTGTTGCTATTGGAGGCTCTTCTGTCCCGAGTTAGTGCTCCAGTGATTATATCTTTAAGTGAACTGATTCTAGGTCTAGTCAATATCTTGGTCAGCATGCATGCAGCAAACCTTTTTGCCCTTATTTCAATTGACGTTAGTTTGGTTTCTAGTCTCTAGGTTCAGTATTTTAGTCCATCTGGGAGCTCCTGTTATGACTCGCATTGCATCGTTTTGAATAACCTCAACGTTTGCCCACTGACCAGGAGAAAGAGTGAGTAGGACAGGTGCTGCATAATCAACCAGGGAACGAACGGCGTGTATGTGAAACATTCTCAACACTTTGTGTCCCTCTCCTAGACGAGGCCCTGTGATTGCTCTCATTATATTTAGTCGTGACTTTGCTTTCTCCTTCAGATATTGAATTTGCTTGTTGAATGTCATTTTAGAATCTATCCACACTCCGAGATATTGATATTGTGTAACCCACTGAAAGTTAATGCCTTGAATTGTACACGCCGGCTGGTGTACACGCTGGCTGGTGTACACGCTGGCTGGTGTACACGCTGGCTGGTGTACACGCTGGCTGGTGTACACGCCGGCTGGTGTACACGCCGGCTGGTGTACACGCTGGCTGGTGTACACACGACCATCCAGTAGCTCATTCAGTAGTGTACATCACAGATTCGCAGCAAAAGGACACGGGTTTAATCCCCGGACAGGACAGAAACGGTTGGGCACGTTCCCTTTCTACCGATGGCTCTGTTCACCTAGCAGGAAAATACGAGCACTGGAATTAGGCAACTGTTGTGGGTTGCATCCTGGGGAAAGACAGAGACGAGACTTAACAACAAAAATACTAGCAGGATCTCTTGGCTAGGGAAGGTCTTGTATATGTTAATTGTTTACTGTTTGCACCGCCAGGTGGTGCTGGTGTTGATTGTGGCGGGAACAGCAACATGCGCACCCAACCTTCTGCCTGGTGACGCAGGTGCGCATGCGTTCTCCACCACGCATGACCATGTTGCAGTCCAGCCTGCGCCACATGCTCACCTCAGTACCCTCGGCCTGTCACCACAACCTGGCTACCGTGTCAATACACAACCCCTGCCTGGCCCTCCGCCGCCACAACCTCACCTCATCTCATCAAGCGTAGACACAGTTAACTCGGAAGAGTTCGAGTACTACTACGATTGTGACCCTTCAGAAGGAGCAAACGAGCCTCTTCCTCCTCCACAACCTGGCTACAACTACAACCCACCACACATTCCTGGCCCTCCTCCACAACCTGGCTACAACTACAACCCGCCAGCAATTCCTAGCCCTCCTCCACAATCTGGCTTCAACTACAACCCACCACACATTCCTGGCCCTCCTCCACAACCTGGCTTCAACTACAACCCGCCAGCAATTCCTAGCCCTCCTCCACAATCTGGCTTCAACTACAACCCGCCAGCAATTCCTAGCCCTCCTCCACAACCTGGCTTCAACTACAACCCGCCAGCAATTCCTAGCCCTCCTCCACAACCTGGCTTCAACTACAACCCGCCAGCAATTCCTAGCCCTCCTCCACAACCTGGCTTCAACTACAACCCACCACACATTCCTGGCCCTCCTCCACAACCTGACTTCAACTACAACCCACCACACATTCCTGGCCCTCCTCCACAACCTGGCTTCAACTACAACCCGCCAGCCATTCCTGCCCCGCCACCACCTGGCTACAACTACAATCCACCACCACAACCTGTCTACAACAATCCACCAGCCATTCCTGCCCCACCACCACAACCAGGTTACAACTACAACCCGCCACCAGGCCCAGACGCTAGTCTCCTGCTTGGCTTGGCCTAGTGGCTGACTATCACCCACTTAGCTTCTCTTTAACAGTGAAAGGCAACAATAAAACTACAATCCGTTCTCTCAAATATTACCCTTTATTCTGTAGATGTTATAGTTGTTTGTGATGGGACAGTCCCAGTCACTCATTGGGACTGTGAGTGATGGGACAGGTCCCAGTCACTCATTGGGACTGTGAGTGATGGGACAGGTCCCAGTCACTCACTGGGACTGTGAGTGATGGGACAGGTCCCAGTCACTCATTGGGACTGTGAGTGATTTAATGCAGAATGTGTAATAGGCTTGAAATTATTTATAAATAAATTTATATTGTAATTTTTACATTTGTATATTTTTACCCGTTGGTAAATTGATAAAAGGTTCGGTTTTTAAATTTATTGTGGATATATTCGCGGAATGTACTCTAATATGCTCTTAAAAGTTTCGGTTTAATGTGATTTGTCCACTTTCAGGCCCCTTTAATAAGCCTACACAGCTAGGCTAGAGCCTATTTTTGTCCAGACTACAAAAATTAATAATAATAATAATTTATTTGTAAGAATTTAATGTAATTCTTTAATTTTAAATTCACCCTACCAGCCTATTGGAAAGGTGTTAAAATTTAACACCAATGAGTTGGTGAGAATACTTAAGATTGGTATTTTTACATTGATGCAAAGCCACTAACTAGCAAGTATAGCGTTTCGGGCAGCATATCTAATTTGTTTATACTCCAGCCCAACCACTTGGGCTGGATGGTAGAGCGACGGTCTCGCTTCATGCAGGTCGGCGTTCAATCTCCGACCATCCAAGTGGTTGGGCACCATTCCTTTCCCCCGTCCCATCCCTAATCCTTATCCTGATCCCTTCCTAAGGGCTATATAGTCGTAATGGCTTAGCGCTTTCTCCTGATATTTCCGTTCATATTGGACTTCACACCTATGTCAAGAAATTACTTGAATCAAACAGATCCTTGTCAACATCGAATTGATGTTTTCTTAAGAGAATTCCAAAGATTGTTATGCTCAGCACTCAGGGAACAAGAGGAACATCAGATACGCAACACACACCACTAACAAACTGTGCAACACTAACAAACTGTGCAACAATGTACTTGCAATAACAGGGTTCAAAAACTCCCACAGCGAACAATTTTGTAAAATACACGCAACATGGATTCGTTACAAAATGCATCCTGCCTCATAAACCTGCTCAGGTACACACAGAAATCACAATAGCGTGATGTATCATTTAGATCCACAAGGACCGTTGGCACAGTTGATTAAGGTGCGTCTGGGATCATCCCGGGCGCAGGTTCGAACCCTCATCACGGCCCCCTTGTGGAGTTGTTCACCTGCTCAGGTGTTTTAACACGGTAACCAGCTACTCAGACAAGGAATTTGTCTGTGGTGGAAGCAGTATGCATGGATTTTGCTAAAGCTTTTGATAATGTACTACATGAAAGCCTAGCAAGGAAATTACACGCACATGGAATAAATGGTAGAATGCTAGAATGGATTGATGGAGAAAAGGACCATATGGAGTCAGAATCCATCATTAACTGAAAGTTGCAACAGAAGTGGGCGCAGTAGCAAGGGGGCCAGATTCACGAAGCAGTTACTTAAGTACTTACAAACGTGTGTGCATCTTTCCTCAATCTTTGACGGCTTTGGTTACATTTATTAAACAGTTTACAAGCATGAAAACTTGCCAATCAACTGTTGTTATTGTTATAAACAGCCTCCTGGTGCTTCGGAGCTCATTAACTGTTTAATAATTGTAAACAAAGCCGCCAAAGATTGAGAAAAGATGTACAGGTTCGTAAGTGCTTGCGTAACTGCTTCGTGAATCTGGCCCCAGGTTCGTAAGTGCTTGCGTAACTGCTTCGCGAATCTGGCCCTAGGTTCGTAAGTGCTTGCGTAACTACTTCGTGAATCTGGCCCCAGGTTCGTAAGTGCTTGCGTAACTGCTTCGTGAATCTGGCCCCAGGTTCGTAAGTGCTTCGTGAATCTGGCCCCAGGTTCGTAAGTGCTTCGTGCCACCTGTGTCTGTGGAGACGTGCTTGGAGACCTACCACTGGCGGTCGCGAGCCCAAACGATTTCGTAGCAGCAGGAGCGGGTCTTCCCTCCCACCTGGTACCACATGGTCCTCACAGGGTTCATCTCGCTGAACCACACCTTGAACCCCAAGCACTCCAGCTGCTGGAACATCTTCCAGTAATGTTTGTTTCGTTCTTCTGTTGAGAAGAGATGTTGACAATGTTAATCTCTGTCAAAATACTGGCGTTATTTAAATATAAATATGTATTCGGATGTTTTAATGTAACTGTAAAATATGTGTAGCTTAAACTGCAGGTGTTGGTAATCAATTGTGGATATTATATACGTGTTTGATACAGCGTTTAACATGTGCCTCAACTCACGAGGCAGTGACGTATAGTCAACAAAAGAGCATTTATATTCATAATTTATATACAATTATATACACGAGTGAGTATATTTGAAGCTAACCTTTGAGGTGGACCTCCATGCCGATTTGCTTGACGTTCTTGAGAAGGTTGGGGGTGTTGTTGAGAATGTCTAAGAACATAGGCAGCTCGTAGCCCTCCACGTCCACCTTTAGATAGTCGATGACAACATTCTCGTGGCCCAACATCTTTACGATGTTGGTATAGCGATCCACCTAAATGTTCACACCAGTTAGTCTTGTTTTAATAAGATTAGGTACGGTATATGTTGTGCCTAATAGCCAGAATGAGTTAATTAGCCTAGTATGTAAAGCTTGATTTGCTTAATGCTGGGGTCCGGGGTGGCGGGGCTGCCCTCCCCTCCACCCCATTGAGCAAAGGAGCAGAGTCCTCTCAACCCTCTCCTATGAACATGCTAGCATCCCAGTATAATCAACTCAAGCGAGCTTCCGGTCCCTCACCGGAATTCACTAACTGGACCGAGAATCTGTGGTTCAAAAAGTTGTGCCTAGTCCTCGAGTCACAAAATTCTATCATCTTGAGTCTTCTCAACGAGAATCTAGCGAACCGCGCTAATCTCCAACAACAACAACAAGAAATAACCCTCCTCCGCGAGGATATTAGAAACTACAAGGCTAGCCAAGACCAACTACAGCATGATTTGAATGATCTCCATGAGGTAAACAACCTTCGGAAAACTGATGAAGCCTTAAAAAAGCAGGAGGAAGCTCTCAGCAAAATGACTGCATGTATCAGTACATTTTCAGCTCAACGTTCCGTCTCCCAGGAGGAACAAGACCAGCAAAAGCTGCTAGACTCTGTTATCGTGTCGTCCCAAGATATACCTGTGGAACAGGAAGGTGAAAATTGTTTCGAAATAGCTCAGGATCTCTTAAAAAACAAATTGCAGCTCAATCTAAACAAAACTGACGTTATTGCTGCCTACAGAGTAGGCAAAAAGAATCCATCAGGTCTAAATCAACGGAAAATTCGCCTGAAGCTGTCTTCCCAGTTCACGAAATCCAATCTAGTCCGGACAGCTGCATCCCTACGGAAGGGATTATACATCAACGAGTGCTTGACCAGGAACAGACAGCAAATCCTCTACCGCCTGCGTCAAATCCGGCAGCAAAACCCAGATGCTATTCATCAGTGCTTCGTTAGAGATGGTCTGATAAAGGTGAGAAAAACCGCAGAGGGCAAAATGTTTACTATTACTAGAGAAGAAAACCTCAACACTTTCCTCTCCCAATGTGGTTTGTCTCACCTTATCACTCCCAATGAATTAACTTAATTAACCCCCTGTCAACTAGTGGGGCTAGGTATCCTAAGTCTCCTTGGTTCATTTTCTGACTTAATTTTTAACTTACTCTTACCTAGTCATTTACCGAAATTATTTAATTGAGTTATTAAGTAGTTCTTCAGGTCTTTTTAATTATACAGTCATTACTGAACTATCTATAGTTATTAATCATTAGCTTAATTTGCCTGTTTATTATTCAACATTTCTTTGATTTCATTTATTACCTAGGTTGCCTAGCCTTGCCATGCTCCCTTACTCCATTGTACCCCTGGCTTTGCCTGCATCTCAAATTGCAAATTGTTACTTACAGTGTACCTGTGAGTACTCGTAAGCAATCTACCTCATTTTTGCTCAATTTTTTTTTTTTTTTTTTTTTTTTTTTTTTTTTTTTTTTTTTTTTTTTTTTTTTTTTTTTTTATTGCTTAGTCTTGCTTATATTTTTTGTTTTGTATTTCCATATCTTGTGTTTTGTATAGTCCATGTTTACATGTTTTTTCTTTAATCTCATTAATTGCCTAGGTTGCCTAGCCTAGCCATACTCCCTTACTCCATTGTACCCCTGTAAGCCCCTTTTGTGTTTGTTTTGTACAGTATTGTGTATATATTTTTCCCTTTTTTATAGCTTTTTTCTACTTATTTCTGATTCTTCAATCAGCTTTTTTTTATGCAGTCAAGTATAGACCCTGAACTTAACCTCTTATCCACTATCTATGACAATAATCACTTTAATGATCTAAATTGCAGATATTTTGCAGCACATGATGTAAACAATGTATTAACTCATAATCACAATATCTCTGTAATCAATTTGAACGTTAGATCCCTAGATAAACACTTTGATGATGTTAGTGCCTTGATTGAAACTATTGGCAACAAATTCTCTTTTATTATACTTACTGAAACATGGTTGAAAGAGGATACTACTCAACTCTTTAACATGCCTAACTACTCAGCAATTCACAACTGTCGTCAACTTCAGAGAGGTGGTGGCACTGCTCTTTACTACCACCAAGAACTAACATGCTTGAAAGAAATTAGAACTAGAGACTGCTATGGGGAGTATATCTTCGCCAGCTTCAGAGTCAAGGGTGCCGAGTCTGTCCTGTCTGTGGGTGCAGTCTATAGAATTCCCAACACTGATGTGTCTGTATTCAACTCAAACCTTAGAAATCTAATACTTGATAACAGACTGAACAAAAACCACCTAATTATCGCAGGGGACTTTAATATTGACCTCTGCGAGCCAGAACACCCTACTGCTGTTAGCTTCCTCAACTGTATGAATTCCTGCCTCCTCATACCCTTAATCACTAGACCTACTAGAATCACTGATAGCACTGCCACGACTCTAGATCACATCTGGACCAACATAACCTCTCCGCTTACTTCAGGTATAATCACCGATAGCACTACAGACCACTACCCCACATTTCTCTTAACTAACATTAGCAAACCACCTCTAGAAACAAGGGAGTTAAGCTTTAGGCTGCACAATGAAACTGCTATAAACAATTTTATAACTGCTGCTGATAATGTCAACTGGGAGTCCGAGTTAGGTAACATAGGGGACATCAACCTAGCAGTGCAATCTTTTCTACAAACAACTCTTAGCCTTTATAACACCCACTGTCCTAGGCTTACAAAACAAGTCTCAAGCAAAAGGCTTAACAATCCTTGGCTTACAAAGGGAATACTGAAATCCATTAACAAAAAACACGACCTTGAGAAGAAGTATAGGTTAGGAATTGTCTCCAAAGAATTCTCAAAGAATTACTCATTATTGCTATCTAAGATAATTAGACGAGCCAAAACTAATTACTACGAAGATAAATTTACTCAAATAAAGAGCAACATTAAACAAACTTGGAGCACAATTTCACAAATATTGGGATCAAAGAAATCTTTAAATAACAAACCGACTCTCCTGTCTAATAACGATGGTCAGCTTTCAGCCTCTGATTCTGCTATTGAGTTTAATAGGTTCTTCTCTTCCATTGGTTCATCCCTTGCAAATGATATTCCTTCTTCCAGTACTGACATTAAGGACTATCTTACAGGTAACTATCCACAGTCTCTGTACCTAAAGCCTATTAACTCCACTGACGTCAATGAGATAATCCTTTCCCTTAAAACCAAGTCTGGTGCCCTTGAGGAGATACCAACTTTAATTTACAAAAAAGCCTCCAGATCTTTAGCCCCTGCTATTGCTTTGCTCTTCAACAAGTCACTTGAACTCCAAACCTTTCCAGATATTCTAAAAAAAGCGAGAGTAACGCCTGTCCACAAATGTGGTGACCCCACAGATGTTAACAACTACAGACCTATATCAATCCTGCCAAACTTGTCAAAAATCTTTGAAAAACTTATATACAAGCAGCTTTACTCATATCTAGCCAAACTCAATATACTTAGCCCTTGCCAATATGGCTTCAGACCCAAAAAAAGCACTAACGATGCACTTATTAATATGCTTAACTTGATTCATACAGCTCTTGATAAAAAGGAGTTCCCTGTTGGGTTATTTGTGGACCTGCGTAAAGCTTTTGATACTGTCAACCACCATAACCTTCTTCTTAAATTACATCATTATGGAGTCAGAGGACACTCCCTACAATACCTCGAGTCCTACCTTACTGACAGGCTCCAATATGTTTCTGTGAATAATACAATTTCTCCCACCCTACCCATCAACATTGGTGTTCCTCAGGGCAGCATACTTGGCCCTCTCCTCTTTCTCATCTACATTAATGACCTTCCAAATGCCTCCCAACACCTCAAACCAATTCTATTTGCTGACGACACAACCTTCATTTACTCCAGTCCTGACCCTCTTGCTCTAAATGCCACAGTAAATACTGAGCTAAATAAAGTCCATCTTTGGCTAACTGCCAACAAACTCACCCTTAACATTGACAAAACCTTCTATATTCTGTTTGGCAATAAATCCTCTAGTCTTATAAATCTCAAAATAAACAATACCCAAATTTGTAACAAATTAGATGGCAAATTCCTTGGCATTCTCATTGACCACAAGCTGAATTTCCAGGGACACATTCTAAATATATCAAAAAAAGTTTCAAAAACTGTGGGCATTCTTTCTAAGATCAGATATTATGTACCACGCCCTGCCCTGGTGACTCTCTATTACTCCCTTATCTATCCTTATCTCAACTATGGTATTTGTGCTTGGGGTTCTACTACCCAAAATCACTTACGTCCTCTAATTACCCAACACAAAGCCGCTATTAGAACAATATCCAACTCTGGCCCCAGACATCACTCGGTACCCCTACTCAAATCTCTTAATATGTTAGATATTAAGTCACTGCACATTCTCTCATGTGTATTATACATATATAAAACGCTAAACTATAATGCCAATCCTGATCTTAAAAGCTTCATAGAAGGTTGTAACAGAACCCATGAGCACCACACCAGAAATAAATACAGTTTTGATATTCCTAGAGTACGTCTTAATCAAACTAGAAATGCTCTGCAAATCAAGGGGCCCAGAATGTGGAATGACCTTCCCAACCATGTTAAAGACTGTACCTCTCTCAACCAGTTTAAGATAAAAACTAAACACTACCTAATAAATTCCCTGTAATCTACCTCACTCCTCTATTGTCAACCCATGTCTGTTATTTTTTTTTTTTTTTTTTTTTTTTTAATCAACACTGTTTGTCAACCTTTTGTATTTGTGCTGCTTTTTCAGTCATGTTCCCCCTTTTTTTTTATCTTTATTTGTATTTGTTCTCAACATCTTTTATTCTTTATGCTCAATTAGTATTAAGTTCTAGATATTAATGTTTTCTTGCCCGAAACGCATTGCGTAATAGTGGCTTTAGGCATTGTATGTACTAGCTCTATCTATATATCAATCCATTAATGTAACATCACTTGTATGTATATACCTTACCTGAATAAACATCTGAATCTGAATCTGAATCTGATCTTAATAGGCCGAGTTTTTCTGAAGTTATATGGTTTTTTAGACAAAAATTATTATGAAATGATAAAGTTTTACATTATATATGATTTTATTATGTTAAATTTGAGTTAAAACTAACGAAGAAATATGACCAAGCCTAACCTAACCTTTCCAAACATAATAATACTGATAATACTTAACATTAACCTAATGTTAATACTACTGATACTACTAATAATTCTAACATTTAAAGTTAATCTAAACTAACATAAATAAGCCTGTAATTCATGTTGTTAATAAAATATAATCATATTAATTCAGATAAACAAATTGCAAAATGTCAAATGTGAAAATAACGAAAATCACTCTGCCTATTAGGTAAGTCGGGCCTTGCATACTAGGCCAAGAATATTGTGTTCTAGCTATTAGGTGTGACATAGAGGTCCGGGTAGTACAGTCGGGTTCGTTCTCGACGCATAATCGTGAATTCGGGTTGGAATCCACAGGGGCCAGATTCACGAAGAAGTTACGCAAGCACTTACGAACCTGTACATCTTTTCTCAATCTTTGGCGGCTTTGTTTCCAGTTATTAAACAGTTATTGAGCTTCGAAGCACCAGGAGGCTGTTTATAACAATAACAACAGTTGAATGGGAAGTTTTCATGCTTGTAAACTGTTTAATAAATGTAACCAAAGCCGTCAAAGATTGAGGAAAGATGTACACGTTCGTAAGTGTTTGCGTAAGTGCTTTCGTGAATCTGGCCCCAGGCCGGGACAGTGGGGGGGGGGAAATTTCGTTTCACCTAATGCAGCTGTTCACCTAACAGTGAGTAGGTACTCAGGTGTTAGTGAGCATGTTGTGGGGTTGCCTCCTGGGCGGGGTCTGTAATTCGACCCTGGGGAGGGGGGAGGACCTGGATAAAAGCCTAACCTGCCTGAATAAAATTGTGTATTCATAAAGTATGAATACACTCTCTTCCCCCTCTCCTTTCTTCTCACCTGTCTGTCTGTCTATCTGTCTGTCTATCTATCTGTCTGTCTGTCTGTCTGTCTGTCTGTCTGTCTGTCTGTCTGTCTGTCTGTCTGTCTGTCTGTCTGTCTGTCTGTCTGTCTGTCTGTCTCTCTCTCTCTCTCTCTCTCTCTCTCTCTCTCTCTCTCTCTCTCTCTCTCTCTCTCTCTCTCTCTCTCTCTCTCTCTCTCTCTCTCTCTCTCTGTGTGGCCTCGTCTGTGGTATAAAATAATAAACAAAAGTGACCACTCAGGAGTTGAACCTCGGCCGCCTGAGTAGCAGTCCAGTACTATACTCACTCTGCCATCTCTAGAATCACTTAGATTACAGTGTATATCTGTCAATTATACTAGAAAGTAGAAGTTACCTCAGTTATTATAATGAAGCAAAGTAGTACCTTCTTCACATTGTCAATAGGAAAGGAACTTATCATGAGCCAATATTACTGAGCATTGGGGGACATATGAAAAACAAAGTTTATATGAGAACAGAGTGAAGGAACTCATTTCAATAGAGTGGATGTGTTTAATATATAGACGGTAACATTAACTACACATTTTATAGCAAGGAAACAAAAAATTGCGGATTTTGTAAAAAAAAAGTTAATAGTTCCGGAAAAGAGAGGAACGAGTCTCGCTTCATGCAGGTCGGTGTTCAATCCCCGACCGTCTAAGTGGTTGGGCACCATTCCCTCCCCCCGTCCCATCCCAAATCCATATCCTGACCCCTTGCAAGTACAATACAGTCTTAATGGCTTGGCAATTCCCTTCCCTTTTCGGTAACAAGGGGGACCAGGACGCCAAGGCGTAAATCAAATGATTAACGAAGATTAAGCCAGCCAATAGATGGCACGGGCATGAATAGCCCCGTAAGGCCAAACATGTTAAACACCGGCCACCATTCTGGGGTTCTTCAATACAGTAACGTATATACACTTGCCTTTTTGTCAGTGCCCTCCAGGGTGCCACTGACGTTAGAGATGCCCAGGTCGAAGAACTGGACATTTTCGGAACGGTTGTGGGTCTGTAGCTTAATGGTGGGGTCAAAGGCGTTGACCTTTGGGGGATGAGAGATGTGCTTGAGGGTCAGGGGTAGATTCACGAAGCAGTTATGCAAGTACTTACGAACCTGGGGCCAGATTCACGAAGCAGTTAAGCAAGCACTTACGAACGTGTACATCTTTCCTCAATCTTTGACGGCTTTGGTTACATTTATTAAACAGTTTACAAGCATGAAAACTTGCCAATCGACTGTTGGTATTGTTATAAACAGCCTCCTGGTGCTTCGGAGCTCATTAACTGTTTAATAATTGTAAACAAAGCCGCCAAAGATTGAGAAAAGATGTTCAGGTTCGTAAGTGCTTGCGAAATTGCTTCGTGAATCTGGCCCCCCTAATGACTGCATCACATTTACATATCTAGTCCCGTAACATATTTATAACCTTAAAATTGTATATCATATATATCACTATAGGCATTACCGTTGCAGGCGATCAGTTATACCTTACAGTTGAACCTCTGGTCCATGTCGTCGTCGAAGGTGAAGTCCCGCTCGATGCCGAAGGAGTAGACGAGACAGTCTCCGAACTTGATGTTGAACTTGGGACTCATGCATACCCATTTCTCCCCCACGAAGTACCCGGGGTGTGTGTGGGTCTGCCCGCCTACCATTACCTGTATACGAACAGGTACGCATCTGTTAGATTCAGGACCTGCCCGAAACGCTGCGCGTACTAGTGGCTTTACAAGATTGTAAATACTCTGCTATGTATTCTCACAAACCCAATGTACCTTCTTGTATATAAATAAATAAATAAGGTACGGTCGAGGTTAGTCCCCTATCCCTCAATGGTCTTGGTTGTTTTGTTTTAAATTATATGTTTGAACTAGGCTATTCACTCACAGGTTTGTCACAGGGAAGAGTACGGGTGTCTATGTAGTCGAAAATCGCCATCACCCCCACGAACGGCATCAAAGAACATTCCTTGGTACCTGTTCAGTTGCTAGTATTAGTACATTGTCACATTGTTCATCATGTGTTAATTAATATCGTCGTGATGAGCCCATAGAATGCAAATCTTCCATCAGAAAATGCATTTTCCATGTCAGTATGTGAATCATGTAATATGAATATATGATAAAATTGTATGGACTCAACACCAACATTTCCTTTCCATCGACAATGTGAAGGTCGTAATGGGTGCAATCCCTCTTTAAGGGGGGGCAATGGTACTAACAAGTACTCTCCTGTGAGTCTTCCCCACACCCACCCGTCACTCTGCAAAGTTTAATGAGGCTAGCCCCCAAGCGTCTGGCCTCAATCGTTGGACAGATGGAAAAGCATTCATCTTATTTTATAGATATAGTTGTAAACAGTGAAGCACAGACAAGCCCGTTACAAGAGGCGTCATGCAGTGCAGCTGGGTGGGCCCGGATTCACGAAGCAATTACGTAAGCACTTACGAACCTGTACATCTTTTCTCAATCTTTAGAGACTTTGTTTACAATTATTAAACAGTTAATGAGCTCCAAAGCACCAGAAGGCTGTTTATAACAATAACAACAGTTGATTGGCAAGTTTTCATGCTTGTAAACTGTTTAATAGATGTAACCAAAGCCGTCAAAGATCGAAGAAAGATGTACACGTTCGTAAAGAACTTGAGTAACTGCTTCGTGAATCCAAGTCGTGAGAATATTTACTCACTCCAGTCCTCTTGGTCCGTGGCAATCTCTGCGTCACTGTAGAAGGCCCCGCGACGCTCAGCACCTGCTGGCCCATCAGAGGTGATTGCAGCATCCTGCATATCAGGAGAGTGGTGTTGCAAGGTCCAGTCAACATGACTGTAATTGAGACCATGGTTGAGTGGGAGAAGACTGTGGGCGGTGGTTTAAATGTTTGAATTAATTTTACAAGCCTAAGACTCATATATATATATATATATATATATATATATATATATATATATATATATATATATATATATATATATATATATATATATATATATATATATATATATATATATATATATATATATATATATATATATGAACTAATAAATGTACAACTAAAATATAAACATATGAATGATTAAGGTATATGAAGAAACGAAGCTCTTTCGGTCGAACGATTAACTTGTGTAATGATATGGCAATGTTTCCTTCCCATGACTTGTTGATGGTCCAGTAAGGACCGAAACATCGTCGTGTCTTCATGGTTAGTTGTGGGTTAGATATTTACTCTTCAGCCACGTTATTGGGACTCATCGTCTGTAAGGTAGATGAAATACAGTAACCTGGTAGCCTAGTAATAAGATGAAGGAGCTTGGATGGGGTGTAGGTGACAATATTGTTATTATTATTTGACTGCATTACAATACTACAGTTCTACATTAGTTATTTCGTACGTTTTTTTTTGTGTCTAACAAAGTGCTGTTTGATCACGCCTTGGTTAAGGAGACGAGCTTCTTACAATTTGTAGAAAAGCCTCTGTCTTAGGCATTCAATATATCCGCGTTCTCAACTGTCAAATGGTGTACCTGAGCCTATTGGGCTCTATCACATCTACATTTGAAACTGGGTATGGAGTCAGCCTCCACCACATCACTGCCTAATGCATTCCATCTGTTAACTACTCTGACACTGAAAAAGTTCTTTCTAACGTGCATGTGGCTCATTGGGTACTCAGTTTATACCTGTGTCCCCTTGTTCACGTCCCACCAGTGTTAAACAGCTTGTCCCACCCTGTCAATTCCTCTGAGAATTTTGTATATGGTGATTATAATAATAATTTTTATTCATAAAAATGTACAATGGGCGTGTGAGATTACCTAAGATTGGTATTTTTACATTAGTTATATTTATTTTACATTCACTATTTATTTTACATGATTGGTATTATGTCTCCTCTCTTATGTTTTCCAGGGCCGTGAGTCTTATAGTTCCCGTAGCTTTTCCTCATAACTCATACCTTGCGACAAGTCCAGTTGTTTGTTGTTGGCCTGGTTGGACTTGGGGTAAAATGTGGTCGCTCGGCTTTAAGAGTGTTTACTTCATGCTGCAGGTGTTTGGTTTTGTGTTCGTGGTTTGGATTCTTCTTGAATTGGGAGTTTCGTGTTGTATTCCTTCCATTATCCTGGCTTGACAAACGAGAAACTTAACTCATTTCTAATCCATTAGTTATCCTGACATTTCTTGGAACTGCGTGAGGGGGCAGTTACACACACACACACCACCTGAGAGTTGGGTAAACATGGGAAATCGGAAACATTGATGACGCACAACTGAAGTTTGTTGAAGAGGGAGAGATTCCCAGAGGAGAGGTAGAAATAGCCTAAGCTACTCTATTCATTTGAGATGTATTTTTTTCTTGTCTCAATAAACTTACTTGAACTTGAGAGATTCCCATCTCTCTTCATGGGAAGAGAGATGGGAATCTCCCATACACCCTTCCCTTCATGGGTCCATCTATCCCCTTAGGTGACGCTCTACTTCCCTTCACAAGTGTCAATATTTTTCATCTGAGAGCTGTTCACTTAGTTGTTACATATAATTGTTTCGGTTTAGTGGTTATTCAGCACAGTTATATTATATTTTGAGCTAAGGAATCGGACATCTGGCAGCATGATCTGATCCACAGGCGAAAACAAGTTTGGTGTGAAATTTAAACTGAAATTGAAATAAGTTTAAGCCCGTCCTCCTAAGATTTCTCAACGTCAAGAAAACGATAAATTTAAAGTGGTGTCTCCTAACCTACCAGAGGACCCAAAACAGAAAACGGGACAGTACTATATATATATATATATATATATATATATATATATATATATATATATATATATATATATATATATATGTACACTATTGCCTCTTGGTAACCCATATATGCTTCTATACAAACACCGTAATTGTCCCGGTTCATGATGAATCTTTTTCACCCTGAGGTGGTACAATTTCGACTTCTATTTTCTATACTTTCCAGGGAGCAGACCTATTACACTGTCGAGAGGGTTTTTTGGGCTAAGGAATCAGACATCTGGCATCATATTCTGATCCACAGGCGAAAACAATATAGATATGTGTTATTGGGCTGGTTGTACCCGATGTTGTCATAACTTGGGTCTCTGTGAACTGAGCTGTCGCGTGTTGATGCTCTCCGGCATCTTAGGGTAGGCAAAAATCATGCCTTTCCCTCTTAAGGCAGCGTCTGGGAGCCCCTCGGACGTAGGTTCGAACCCTCATCACGGCCCTTGTGATTGATTGATGAAGATTAAGCCACTCAAGAGGTGGCACGGGCATGAATAGCCCGTAAGGCAAGGCTCTTGTGGATTTGTTCTCACTCTTCTGTGTGGCGGTGTCGGCGCTGGAGCGCGCGAAAATAAATTTGTTATACCCGAAACGCTGTGCATATCTAGTGGCTTTATATAATACTGTATATAGTACAGTAACATTATTATATTTATACAGTAGTTATTATTAATATTGAGAAAATCCACTAGGTTCAAGTATGTTTATTGAGATAAGCAAGAAATACATCTCAAAGGGATAGAGTAGCTTAGGCTATTTCTACCCCCCCCCCCCATCCACTAGGTGGGATATAGCTATAGGTGTCGCTAACCTACGACCATGGCATTGCCAAGCCGCAAACTCTACCACTATATAGCCCTACATATACTCCCACTTATAGCCCTAGTGGATTTGCTCATTGATATATATCACGTTAATGTGATTTCTGTATGATTATTATCATTCCTCCCGCCATATAACTCATTCAGTTCCTCACTTTGTTCTGGAGATTTTGTCATTAGGCTTCTTACTTTGTCCCCCCGCTGTTTACCCAGTTCCTACAGCCTCTATCCCTGTTGTTCATGAGTAAGCAGTATCTCCCTCCCCGTTACGGGCTCACCATAGCCCGTGCTACATGGACACTTCGTCCTGAGTAGCTATATCTTTAACAACAACAACATCCCTCCCCTTCATTACTCACCCACACGCGAGACATCTCCCGTCACGCAGGGTGCAGTCGCACCTCCACATATCTCCAGTATCAGCTCTTGATACTGGTAATGGCTCAAAAGGGCCACCACTTACGGGCTATTCATGCCCGTGCCACCTTTTGGGTGGCTTAATCTTCATCAATCATTACTCACCCAGCTGGTTCATGCCTCAGTTACTCACCGCCCCAGCAGGACCACCATGACACATGCGCCAACGACAGCAGGCACCCACATTCTTAGTCTTGTCGAAGTCATCTTCCTGCTCCGCTACACGACGCTCCTGAAACACATCACATATCGTACAACTGAAACCATTTATAAGCACTCTGGAGCAATAGTTTTACCTCTATTTACCTAAGCTAAAACATGTACTCTAGTGGCCTAGGTGAGTGAAGGACTCTTCCCCATAGCCATCCGTTCTTGCATTGTATTTTAAAATTAGGACTGATTTTGTTTCACATTTAGATGAGTTGACTCCTCGCTCGGAAAAGTTGTTTTGACAACAGTTGTGATTTTGGATTTTGATGGTGTAAAACGCTTAAAGGTTCAGCCTCTTGTGTGATGATAGTAGAAGCTTAAAGGTTCAGGACGAGACGTCTCGAAATAATGATCAAGGTTTAACCTTTCTCGTTTGATTAATATCTGAAAAGTTTTGATAACTTATGATGCCTTGTTGGAGGGGCTGATAACACGTATGAGCTGTGTTGGAGGGGCTGATAACACGTGTTGCCTTGTTGGAGGAACTGATAACACGTGTTACCTAATTGGAACAGCTGATAACACGTGTGAGCCTTGTCGGAGGGGGCTGATAACACGTGATGGAAAGCGCTTTTCACATGTGTTTGCTTTACGATATCATATAAAATCCTAACTTTGCCCTTTTCAATGGCTTCTTTCACTTGCCATCTCATAAATACAATATTATTAATTTTATTCAATATTTCTATGTCCACTTACGTGGTTGCTTTGCCTCAGATCTTTCACTTGTGTTTTTCTTCTAGTGTTAATGTTATGATTTTTAAATTTCTGAGTGATTTCTTCTACACTACAATCTTAAATTGTCGAGAGGGTAGCCAAAATACTGCTGAATTTCAAAATCCCTCAGAACTGGGGGATTTTTGACAAACCGCCGCCTTCCTGTCCTCGCCGAGGCCTCTAGAAAGATAATTTACCTTAGGTAAATTCAGGTAATTTTTACCAAACTTTGTCTCGGGTATTTTTTTTTAATTTAAGTACTTTGTAACCAATATTTTTGTTCGTATTAATGTGCCTTGAATGTGCTAAGTGCTCATAATAATATGCTGAAGACAATTATCAAATTTTCAGCCTTTTGTCACACACACATACAGAAGCCCACACATGGTATCTGTGCATGGGGTTCAACCATTTCAAATCCCCTAAAGCCTATCGTCACCCAGCAAAAATCTGATAAAAGAATTATAAGAAACCCTACCTTCATACAACACACAACCCAGCTGTTTAAATCCTTAAACATGCTAAACATACACTCACTCCACTCTATTTACATTTACAAAAACGTATTCTTAAATCCTGATCTAAAACTCGTTCCTTGATAGATGTAATAGAACCCATGAACACCACACCAGAAATAAATCTCTTTGATATCCCCAGAGTCAAAATAATCTGTGCAAACATTACATACAAATAAAATAACCTAGTCTATGGCACTTACTCCCCAGTAAATTAAAAAATTGTCCAACCTATGCCTTATTCAAAAGTAAATCCAAAATGTACCTAATTTCATCCTCATAGTTTCCTACCTTGTGCTATAAACTCACACTGTATCTTGGACTACCCACTTCCCCAATGTGATTACCATTGGATTGTTAAATATAGAATATGATTAATAATTGTGTACTGTATGGGTGTTGAGAACTCCTTGAAGGACCTTACACAGACGAGGGTAGAAATAGCCTAAGCTACTCTATCCTTTTGAAATGTACTTAATTTTCTCAATAAACTTACTTGAACTTCCCAATATTAGTACTTAAGGCATACAATGTAACCAGTATAATCAATACTATCAATTTTTATTGTAGTTATGTTGAAATCAAGTTCTGTTACAATGTACCTTTTAATTACTCTGTAACGAACGATTGTTACATTTATTCGGCTGGAGCTAGAGACGTCGAGGGCTGCACTCTTGAGGTTGAAGGTGTGAGGTAACTCCCAAGCGTCTGTACTGAACCACTGTTGAAATTATACTGCTGATTATTGTGTGATGAAGGATAAGTCACCAAAGAGGTGGCACGGGCATGAATAGCCCGTAAGTGGTGGCCCTTTTGAGCCATTACCAGTATCATTAGCTGATACTGGAGATCTGTGGAGGTGCGACTGCACCCTGCGTGACGGGAGATGTCTCCCGTGTTATACTGCTGATTATTGTGTGATGAAGGATAAGCCACCCAAGAGGTGGCACGGGCAAGATTAGCCGTTGATGTTGTTGTTTTAGATTCAGCTACTCTGAATAAGTTCCAAAGTAGCACGGGCTATGGTGAGCCCGTAGTGGACTTACTTGGTACTGGAGCGGGGCTGTAACTGCCAGGAATAACCCGTAAGCTCTGATTATTGATTGATTGATAAAGATTACGCCACCACCCAAGAGGTGGCACGAGCATGAATAGCCCGTAATCTGCTTATTAGTTGTTGTTGTTATAGATCCAGTTACTCTGAACAAGTTCCAAGTAGCACGGGCTATGGTGAGCCCGTAGTAGACTTACCTGGCACAGGAGCGGGGCAAGTAGCACGGGCTATGGTGAGCCCGTAGTGGACTTACCTGGCACAGGAGCGGTGCTGAATGTGCTTTCAAAAAAGTGTAGCTGATTATTTGCTATCGGCTGCTTATATAATCGCTATGCAGCTTAATGGCTTTACAAGAATGTAAGAACAATGTTATGTACTCTCACAACCCAATGTACCTTCTTGTAAGTAAATAAATAAATAAATAAAATAAATAATGCCCCCTGGTGCCTGCCCCTACTTGAGCCTCTACCACTATCCCCTACACAATCACCATAGACTCCTTCGTTATTTTCTTACTAAATAATACTTGTATCTGTAGGGAGGAGTTGTTCTATCTGATATTCAATCGCCGGTACGCACTTTTACACTGTAAGATGATTGCTTGCGCCTCCCATATCACAAAGACGATGATCTTAAATAAGTCAAAAGACATGAGATTCGTTAAGTCAACAGAAATGAGTCTATAAGTCACCAGATATGTTAACATGCTTCCTAAACCTGAGAGTGGGAAACCAAAACATTGGTTATCGCGGAGGGTTGTGTGCGGAGTGTGTATAATGTTCACTAAAGCTCCCTCCCTCCCTCCCTTCTCTCACGTCAAGCTCCCTCCCTTCTCTCCGTCAAGTTCCCTCCCTCCCCCCACCCCCTTCTCTCACGTCAAGCTCCCTCCCTTCTCTCCGTCAAGTTCCCTCCCTCCCCCCACCCCCTTCTCTCACGTCAAGCTCCCTCCCTCCCTCCCTTCTCTCACGTCAAGCTCCCTCCCTTCTCTCCGTCAAGTTCCCTCCCTCCCCCCCCCCCTTCTCTCACGTCAAGCTCCCTCCCTTCTCTCCGTCAAGTTCCCTCCCTCCCCCCCCTTCTCTCACGTCAAGCTCCCTCCCTCCCCCCCTTCTCTCACGTCAAGCTCCCTCCCTCCCCCCCTTCTCTCACGTCAAGCTCCCTCCCTCCCTTCTCTCACGTCAAGCTCCCTCCCTCCCTTCTCTCACAACATCCCTCCCTCCCTCCTCTCACGTCATAGGTGCTGTCCCTGCTTCTGACGGTGGGAAGGGTGGTGCGATGGTGTAGAGGCATTAGGTGAAAGAAAACGTACCTAACGTGCATTTGTGTCTCTGGGGAATTGAACCCGGGATCCCCGAGTGTGAATCGAGAAGCAAGGTTCGAAAATGACCACATATTGCTGATGCTCTTCTCTCTGTGGATATTATAAAGTACCCTGCTGGCAGACACTACGGCAGCGCCTAGCGGTCCGCAAGATTATAGCTTCCAAGTACATGATGTTATTTATTTATTTATTTTTATATATACAAGAAGGTACATTGGGTTTATGAGAGTACATAGCATTGATGTTTTTACATTCTTGTAAAGCCACTAGCACGCATAGCGTTTCGGGCAGGTCCTTAATCTAACATAATTTTAAGTAGGTAATTTCTAGTCAAAATTTAAAAATTGTAATAGATTGATAAGTCCTTGTGAGTTGCTTGTGGAGAATTAATGGCCATTATCAATACCTTTTAGTTCACTCACACAAATATAAAAATTAATGTGATAAAAATGATTTACTCTATACCAAATTATAAATTATAAGCTCTATACCATTAATCATTATTAGAGTCACCGACCACATGTGTATGCATATAACATACATAAATTTTCCTGAGGGCTATTACTCTAGTGGCCTCGATGCAGACAGCAAGCCGGCGACTTGTCAATCGTCCCCACATTTGTCCGGATGATTTTATCGACCTGGGTTTTGAAATTCAGCAATGTTTTAGCGTCCACGGCTTCGGCGAGTAGGCGGTTCCGTGGGTTTATAACCTTGTTGGTGAAAAAGCATCTCCTATACTCAGTTGAGCTTGAAACCATGGCTTCTTGTTTGTGATACACCTGACCTTTTGAAGACGTTGTCCGGATCAACATCCCCCAAACTGTTCAGTATTAGATCTCTGTAATTAGCCCTGAAGCCTTCAACCGTTCCTGGTATGACAGTTGATTAGGCTCTGGAATTACTTTTTCTGCGGTTGGAAGAAAACGCTCACCGAGTGGGGACTTATTTTATTTTTATAATAATAATAATTAATTATTACATAAAATAATTAATTAATAATAATCATAAATGATTATAATTGCAACTTTAGTCGGTTAGTCACAAAGTTATGGTATTACATTTTCTTCCCCACAGAAACATCACCGCTTGAGAAGCAGTGTCTATTTGTCGCCCATGTTGAACTTTTTCTAAAGCAGCCATATGTCTCTCTGAAGATGAGGTCTCCATGCATGGATGCACTAGTCCAAGTGTAGGTGCACTAGAGATTTATACACGTGGCGGGGATATACAATTATTTAAATAAGATAGGCCTATGGATTGTTTCCTTATATTCTACGGTGGTGCAACAAACGCCGTATTAACATAGAAAGTCTTGAGCCTCTCTACACATGGGGGACCAAAGTCTGGCAACATTCGTGGTTGTCCTGCTATAATGAGATGCGATTTCAAGGCTGAGGTATTTGAAACTGTTACATAGTCAAGGCGAGTCACCATAATGTTGAATATTATTATAATAATAATAATAATTTTTATTTAGGTAAGGTACATACATACAATAAATTTTTACAAAGATTGGTTGACTTATAGGTAGAGCTAGTACATACAATGCCTAAAGCCACTATTACGCAAAGCGTTTCGGGCATGATAAACTTAAATGACAAGCTTAATACTAATTGAGCATAATGAGTAGAATGAAAACAGATGAAAAAGCAGCACAAATACAATTATGTCAACAAACAGCGCTCTTAAAAAAAACAGACATTGGTTGACAATAGAAGGGTAAGGTAGGTTACAGGGAATTTATTAGGTATAGCTTCGTTTTTGACTTAAACTGGTTGAGAGAGGTACAGTCTTTAACATGGTTGGGAAGGTCATTCCACATTCTGGGCCCCTTGATTTGTAGAGCATTTCTAGTTTGATTAAGTCGTACTCTAGGAATATCAAAACTGTATTTATTTTTGGTGTGGTGCTCATGGGTTCTGTTACATCCTTCTATGAAGCTATTAATTTGAAGCTTCTATTAATTTATAAATAATATTTGAAAAGTAAGAAGGTGGTGGTGGTATGTTGTTTTAGATTCAGCTACTGGAAACAAAACGTTCTAACAAAATGTTTGTAAATCATCTATGTACGTACTTTTCCTGAATAAAAATTTGAATTTGGATATGGCCATTCCAATTTCTGATGTAAAAGCCGCAATATTTCAGGAAATTAGAGAAGACAGAAGAGCAGTCACTGACACACACAAAGGCCAGAAAGCACGAGTATAAAGAGCTACGACATGTTTAGAACCGAGAGTTATATGTACAAGCAACATAAAACATCCACTAGAAGTGTTGCCAGAATTAGGCTGGGATATCGATATATATGGCAGGAGGCTGCAGCTAATGAATGCCCTCAATGGTGAACATTCCCACTGTAATCTATGTGAACAAGAGCTGGGACATACTCTCCAACACTATATCTGTGATTGCCCTGTTATAAGTGACCTTAGACCTAATGGTATGAGATACTTTGAGCTCTGTAATTGCTTCATACACTCAGGAATATTGGAAAATCTTGTGCTGGACTCAGATTTTGCTAGTGGAGGCCTAATAGATCAGCCTTGCATTTTATGTTGCCACCTGATTTTTAGCCATAGTTGATTTGTTTTTGTATTAAGGCAGGTATTATCTCCCCTAATTCCATGTATGACTAACCATCCTGTAAGATGGGATTTATAGTTGAACCTATAGCTAGTTCTTGATCTACAATGTGTAATATCTCATATAGAATAGGGTAGTAGCACATTGCTGTGTATACCTAATTTTGCTAAATAATAAAAAAAAGCACGGGCTATGGTGAGCCCGTAGTGAACTTACTTGGATCTGTAAGCTGTGATGGTGGCGACGGAGGGTACGTGACTGTGGTAGTCGTGGCTGTACTTATGGAGAGTGGTAATTTATTTGGAAAATTACACCTGAAATTAAATAGTATTCATCATCAGCCAGCAGGTGTTTGGGCATTCATCTAGCAGCTGTCAGCTAACAGCTGTCATCTAGCAGGTGTCAATAGCAAACTCTGCTTTCAGCTGCTCTGTTTAGAAACTGTACTTGTGGTCGATCTCGAACCCATTGTTGATGTGACGACTTATAATGAATTTTGTAACTAGTTCATCAAGATTGTAACTTGCTTAGTTAAATAAATTGTGGGGTTCAGTCCCTGAGCCCATCATGTGCCTCTGTAACACTTTCCACTACCGCCCACGGGATGGGTATGGGGTACATAATAAATGAACTAAACTAAATGCAAACAGGTTTCTGAAACTCTCCCCTAGACGAACAAATCCACAAGTGCCGTGACGAGGATTCGAACCTACGTCCGGGAACATCCCAGACACTGCCACTGCCCAGCATCTCCCCTAGACAGATTGTAAGGTACGAGATTGAAAGCTGTACCCTAAAGTATCGCTAACAACACCCGCTCTTACTTTCTTACAAATAGTGGAAGTGCAGTGGTTTATATAGTAATAATCACCAGTCCTAACTACATGGGACAAGAAATACACCTTGGGGTACAATTTTACAATAAGGATTTTTGGAAACAAATACCAGAGGCCAGATTCACCAAGCATTTACGCAAGTACTTACGAACCAGTACATCTTTTCTCAATCTTTGGCGGCTTTGTTTACAATTATTAAACAGTTAATGAGCTCCGAAGCACCATGAGGCTGTTTATAACAATAACAACAGTTGATTGGGAAGTTTTCATGCTTGTAAACTGTTTAATAAATGTAAACAAAGCCGTCAAAGATTGAGAAAAGATGTACACGTTCGTAAGTGCTTGCGTAACTGCTTCGTGAATCTGGCCCCAGATTTCCTCACACTTCTTAGATCAGGAGAGGGGAAAGGATCCTTCTCCCTCTACAACCTGGGACTTAAGGTCACTACTCTATTCCACTCCTCATAGGTCACTACAAAGGGCCGGGTTTACAAATGAATATACAAAATAAATGTGGATAACCCCCATATGACACACAGCTGAGCACATACACCTGAATTAACAACACACCACTCTCCTTACACACAGGGTTCCAAGAATCTTTATTTCCACAAATTTCTAACTCGTAAAGCAAAGGGGAAGCACCGCTATAAACATCTATAATACTGCACTTATCGTATTTGTTGGAGACCATCCACAACACTGGTCTGGTTGTCACTGCCTCCCTCTCCCAAGTGACTTGTAGCGAGTATAAGCTTACTCGCTACAATACATCAAGCTACAACGCTCTCGCTCCCCGAGTTCAGACACTCGCAATTCCCAATGGAGCCGCCATGCTCTCACACATAGAGCTCCGCGACTCCGGCCTCACTCAGCTCTCTGCTCTTCTCCAAGCTCCGTCTGAACGTTTACGACAATGCTACCAACCGACTACTAAATAAATATGAAAACTCACTAAACAATGTGCATCTAATCTACCCAACAACGTAACATAAACGTACGTTACAGACTGATAGGGGCTTGTACATGTCCCTGCCTGCCTGGTTCCAATAATGTCCTCTCCCTATACATATCATACACATTTCCCAATACTTCATTTATATGTCTTATATTGTTCCAGGCTGTTTTTCTACATTTAACACTGTTGTTTTTCTATTTACTTGCATTGAATCTGCTTTATCTTAACCATTTTATCCATTTTGTTTACATAGTTTTTTTAGGAGATTACATTTTCCTGTTGAGATAATGCTCTGTGTATCTGAAAGGGGTCAGAGAGTTCCAGACTGTTTTTCAACATTTAACATTGCTATTTCTCCCTACACAAGGGTCTCTCTCAATAGCACTGCTATTTCTCCCTACATAAGGGTCTCTCTCAATAGTACTGCTATTTCTCCCTACACAAGGGTCTCTCTCTTACAAGATGTAATAGAACTCATAATCACCACACCAGAAATAAATATCTCTTTGATATCCCCAAAGTCAAGGTAAAAGCTTCCTAGAAGGTTGTAACAGTACCCATGGGCACCATACCAGGAACAAATACCTATTTGATATTCCAAGAGTACGACTTAATCAAACTAGAAATGCTCTACAAATCAAGGGACCCAGAATGTGGAATGACCTTCCCAATCATGTTAGAGACTGTACCTCTCTCAACCAGTTTAAGATAAAAACTAAGTACTACCTAATTAACTCCCTGTAACCTACCTTACCCCATAATGTCAACCCATGTCTGTTATTTTTAAACAATGCTATTTGTCGACCAAATTGTATTTTTGCTGTTTTTTTGCTATGTTCCCCCTTTTTTATGTTTATATTTTCTCAACACATTTTATACTTTAATCTCAATTAGTATTAATTAAGTTTTAGTCTTTAATGTTTTTCCTGCCCGAAACGCTTTGCGTAATAGTGGCTTTAGGCATTGTATGTACTAGCTCTATCTATAAATCCATCAATTTTTGTATCACCCATTGTATGTATGTACTTTACTTGAATAAACATTTGAATTTTGAATTTGAATTTTTGAATTATATTCAGTTCGCAGAATCTCAAAGAAAACTTGAAGCGCGGCACAGGACTCTAACCGATTGAGGAGAGCGTCAAAACAACACCCATCGCAGACCAGCCAGGCCGCCGTTCTCCTTTCTCCTAATATTATACTAACCCCTCTCTCCAAGAGAAAAAGATATCCATAATTAGCTGAACTCGCAGCAAGGAAGGTTAAGGGTTCCGCTGAGTGTATCTTTAGTACTTTCCAGGAACGCCGAAGCCGTCCTAAACTCTACGCAACCGGTAACATTTATTTTTGTCCATTTATTTAAATATTTATATAAAAAATCAGTGGGTTTTGTAATAATTTTAGTGTGTGTGGAACATTTTCTTAAAGCCACTAACAACTAGCTTTTTGGACAAGTCTTAAACCCAACAAATTAGTTGAGGTATGGTTGAAATTGAAATTGAAATAAGTTTACTGTATTGAGGTAAAATACACACAAAGGGATGAGGTAGCTCAAGCTATTCTCACCCCGTTCAGAACATCGTGTTATATATTGTATATACACACATCACAAACAATAAACATATTACCAAACATTCTGAGAGATAAACATCTACATTTCCTGAGGTATGGTTTGTTTCTCCCTGTTTGTGAGACTGCCTTAGCACAAGCGTTGTGTGTGATTTCTGTAACATGACCTGCTCGAACCTTACCCCATCCAGGTGAAGCCCCTCTTAGGCATTTACACTGTTGGCTGTTCATTTATTCCTATGGCCATCCCGCTGTAGAGCCATAATAGTCCCACTTCTCGCACCCTTCCCTCCATTGTGTGGACCATTTGACTATCCTTTCCACTAGCAAGATGGGCTCAAGTATTTTTTGTGGTACAGTGATACCCTTGCTTTTTGTAGGTCAGTGTTTAATTCATAAAGATCCAAGTGGTTAAGCATCATTCTTTCATTGTCCTCATATCCCAGCCTCTTGTCTTCATATATCTGTCTTATGCTATATATTCATACTGGCCTAATGCTTTCTCTTCATGATTTTCTTTTGCTTCTTAGGGCATGTATGTCTTCCACCATTATCAGTCATGTATCTGAATCCTTCTCTCTTCTCATTTTACAACATCCCTTGTTCTCCCTCCTCATGGTTCACTTACTATGTACGAAATAGGAAAGGTTCTAATATGTTGTTTTGGGGTACTCCTGTGGTTAATGGGATAGGTTTTGTCATTGATGACTACATATCATTGATGACTGATGACTATATATGTCATTGATGACTACATATTATTGACACAGATGACTACATATTATTGATGACTGATGACTACATATTATTGATGACTCATGACTACATATGTCATTCATGACTACATACATCCGCAGGATGGATGTGGAGTGCGCAGTAGACAAATACAAGTCAGATTTAATTAATTCAACACCATTGTAATATTTGGAATCTAGTTCCTGAACCCATTATGGGAATTAACAAATATGCTATGACCAACAAGATGGATATGGTTTATAATAGATAATTGAACATTAGTCAATTAATTCAGAGATTCAGATAATTGAGAGTATAGCATCCTGTAGTTCCTTTAGTTCAAGTGGTTTGTTTGTAATAGTGTTAGGCACAAGAAAATGACCAGAGGTGGTTGTAATAACATTAAGAGGAGTCTTTAGGAAATCTAAAAGAAGCATCTTATGGAAATACAAGTGAAGTAATAGGAAACTTGTTCTTAGAAGAACGATTTGTCCACTAATGTTATGGATAACTAAAAGGATATAAATGAAAGAGCTTAATGATTCATCTTTTTAAAAATCTGAACTTATTTCAGTAAGGGTTACTCAATGAGATGGTTGGATATTCTACAGTTCTGTTTTTAAGAAGGAAATTAACTTGGCATTGTTCTGTTCTTTATGTATGGAATAATTATTGTATACATATTGTATATATTTCTGGTGTATTATGCAGTTATACCATATAAATTCATTGTAAGGGCATGGGTTTGAAAGCTGTACCCTAGAATACAAACTCACAAAACCCATCCTTACTTTCTTATTTACAGTATAGATACAAGAGAATGTTATTTTAAACCAGGGATGTAAAAACAATATGCATTTATAAACACTTCAACCACAAGAGTGACCACGTGGGGCTGAACCATATTTTGCATTGGTGGGCCTCAAGATACAATCAAAGTGCATGCATTACATTTATTTAAACACAGGAAAAGGGATAATACACTAACAAGGAAAACTATTTCACTCACCAGATTAACACTTACAGTTCTAGTCACTCAGATATAATTGGAGGTCAGTAACCTCACACAGTGAGGTGAGTACCTCATGAGCACACATGCCACACAAACTTTGTGTGGAGACTCAACCTCCTCTCTTGTGGAGTACAGGGACACTATCCTCTCGAAAAATGCGCAGGAAAACTTTACACACTGATTCATACACATTTACTAATACTGTACATATTATCAAATACAAATTAATATAAAATTTAACATAAAATAAACTGGTATTAAACTAAGAGAAACATTTACATTAATAATAGCAAAAGCTAGACTTTATATCAGTCATTACATCATGTACTTGTACTGTACTTATATTTATGCTTGCAATTTCTTGTGAATAAATAACTAAAATTTAACTTCCAGAAGAAGGGGTACACACAGCAGGGGAGACACGTGTCTTATAAGATGTCATCATTTACATCGGCAGGTAAGCATAATTGTGAGATGAACCCCATTAGTAAATATTAGCCTTGTCATTGGATCATAAATTACCCAATTACTGACATTTATCATTATTATTTAGTTTACTGTACTGTTCTTATTGATTACTTTCTGAATGCAGGTGATGAGTCACAATAACGTGGCTAAAGTATGTTGACCAGACCACACACTAGAAGGTGAAGGGACGACGACGTTTCGGTCCATCCTGGACCATTCTCAAGTCGATTGTGATGAGAAAGTAGAGACAGGCAATAACGTCGTTACGTCCCTTCACCTTCTAGTGTGTGGTCTGGTCAACATTACTTTCTGAATTTTTTCTGACAACTTCAGATAAAGGTAATCACATATCTGGGAGAGTCTTGTAATGCATTTGGTGCCTTTTTAATTGTAACAAACACTAGCTTGTTGTGGATTGAATTGAATTCTCCACTTTCTCACATCCTCCAATTACATCGCAATACGATTTGAAAAGTAACTTGTGAGTAGTTAGATAAGACACATAGAGCCTGGCAAAGGAGTGAATATGAGTTGACTCTTAGGCTCTGGCTTGTGGGACAAACCAAGGATTTGCTCAGAAAGTAGTGAAGTACAATACATGTATTCAGTTTTACTGAACACTTTTTTTTTAATAATTGTAGTTCTTACATAAGTTTGCTTGCTCTGAAAATATAATGCACATTTTGTGAAGCCATACATAAATTCCACCAAGAAGCTCAAGTCTCATGAGAAAATATTGAAGCTGTGTGATGGGATTAAACCCACATCCCTGAACTCCTCAGACACACTACCAACTGGACCATGATGGGCTTAAAAGTATCTCAATCAGAAGCACTGTCTGACTTAATAGTGTGTGGAAGTCACCATCTGGTACCACAGCCCTTCATACAGCTTAATATTTTCTCAAAAATGTATCTGTTACCTGGGTATTTCATATTTCCAAGTTAATGCTTTTATCAATGGTTAAGGTTATGTTGAGTTTGGATGATGATGATAGTAAATAAGATTACATTAGGATATGTTAATGTTGATGTGTGTACTCATTTGTTTGAAATTGTATGAAATATTGTACAGGGTGTCCCAGAATTAGCTGTCTATTTCTATGAAACTGGACAAGTCTATTCAAAACCTTCATTCAGTATTTTCATGTTTTTACCAAATTTTGATACAAAAACAGATTTATAAATCATAAGTCAAATCTTTATTGATGGTGTTAATACTATCAGTACAATACAACGTCAATTCAGCAAACTATATGGGAGCAACCTAAATTCACTGCAGAGGGATTCATTGCAACCAGACATGCTGCCAGGTTGCATTTCTCATATGGGCTAGTTTTATTTAGCAACATTTTTATTTCAACCTATAATATACAGCACATCTAGCTTACATATATCTCGAGTCCCCAGGCTCGAAACTCATGTTCAAAAGATAGCAGGGCCATACCTAAGTGAATAAAAACCTTGCACACTCAAAATGAAAACAAACCATAGAATTTGGTTTTAAATATTATCATTAGCTCCAACTATTTCTTATATTGTTAAGTCCATCAACAAAAATCATCAAAAAGTCATATTAAGTGTTACCATTTACTCTTAATATTTTCCACGATCTATGGTCTGATTTCACTGAACGAAATTTTAATTTCAACCTTTCATATGAAGGACAATTATCAAGAGAACCTGTCTGTAAAGAAATTTAACTACATATAGCATATTTCCCATGCCTGACCCTTGAAATCTGATTTTCAAAGGAAAAATGACTCTTATTAGGGAACGAAAACCAGGTACATCTCGAAATGAAAATGAACCATAGAATTTGGTTTTAAAAATGCTTAATGACTTTACCAAGTCCCCTTACTGTTTCTTGTAATGCTGCACTTATCTATGAAACTCATTAAAAATGTGATTGGAGGCATATTAAAAGTTACGTTCTTTCCCACTCCCCCTAAAAAAAAAGTTGTTCCAATTTAAAATATTTGGTAAAATTCTATTTTTCATCCTTTCATTCTGGGACTGGTTTCTTTTTTTTTATTAACAAGCTTAGGTATACGTACACAGAAATATGCTGCTACCCTATTCTATATGAAAGATTATTACACAGTGTAGATCAGAAAGTAGCTACAAGCTCATCCAACATCCCCACCTCACAGGATGGTTAGTCATACATGGAATCAGGGAAGAAAATACCTGCCTCAATACAAAAAATAAATCAACTCTGACTAAACAACAACGACACGATTTTCACAAGAGGTAAACACTGAATCAAGGTAACATTATATTATAATTACTCTTACCAGTTTGTACAAGACTCCTCTTAATGTATTTTATTTATTTAACAAGCTTAGGTATACACAGCAATGTGCTGCTTCTCTATTCTGTAGGAAAGACCACACAATGTAGCTCAAAAACCACATATAAGCTCATCCAACATCCCCACCCAAGATCGTCCTGTTCAAGTTCAAGTATGTTTATTGAGACAAGGAAAAAATACATCTCAAAGGGTTAGAGTAGCTTAAGCTATTTCTACCCCCCTCTACTTCATGTCCCTCAAGGGGTGCACAAATTCAGTGAGTACAAATCTACAAATCACAATGCAAGAATCCCATTTAACATTGCAGGTTAACATAGTAAGCACAGCATATAAGTGTAACACTCTTGGGGCAAAATTCTTGTACCTCCTAAGTATTCTGTCATACCATTTTCTGCCATACGCCACATGCGGGGTTGCCAGATTGGGCTACAAGTAGCGAATTGGGCTACTTATGAGAGCCCCCGCGCTCCCAAATTTTTTATTTTGCTACTTGCTACTTTTTGGGCTAATTTAAAAGCAAGTTGGGCTAATTTTTGCTATTAATGTTAATACAGTATTAATATTATTTTTATTTGTGAAATGTGGTTCTAAGAACATCCTTTACCCTTCTACAGGTCCTAGTACACCACTTCCGGCCAAGAAGAGGAAGTACACTGTCCTTAGTATTGAAGATAAAGTAGCTGTGCTTAGACGTATTAGTGCTGGTGAAAATGTTGCCCTTGTGGCTGCTGAGTACGGAATCAGTTCTAGTGCAATTTATGACTTGAAAAAGCAAAAAGATGCACTTTTGGAATTCTATACACAGACTATCGACAATAAACAGCGTATGAAACAAAAAACACCAAAAGACTCCAAATTTGCCATGCTAGAGAAATGTCTCTATGAATGGTATATGAAGAAGCAAAATCAAGGCATTCATATCAGTGGACGTAACCTCATAACCATGGCTATGGAGTTCTACAGGGAATTACGTCTTGAAGAGCCTTGTGAATTCAGCACAGTTTGGCTTGCAGATTTTAAAAAGAGGCATGGAATTGTCCAGTCAGTGGCAAGTGATAAAATGCATGTAGATGCTGGTGCTAAGGGTGTTAGCACTAGTATGATTGTAGAGTCATCTTTGGTAACTCCAGCACTTGCTCAGGATGATTACAAGCCAAGTAAGCTAATTTGTCAGTGAAATTTGTGCTTAAGGGTCCCTTATTAAGGAAAACTTTAGTCTTGATAAACCATTTATAGGAATACTTGAGTTTGATATAGGATAAGTCAGCTAGCTCCCCCCCCCCCTCCCTTTCCCCTAACCCCTTTAAAATAAAAAGTGTGTAAATTTAATGTCGATCAAAAGTTGCCAGTTTTGCACTGCTTTAAGAATCACTAGTAGCCTAAAGTTATTGTAGGACCTTAGGCATAGTGAGACTAATTGGTTGAGCGGTGAATCACTAAAAATATGTATCTTTTACCCTGCCTTTCAGAGCTACTGCAGCTCCAACACAATCATCACTTTAGAAAGATCATGGAGGCACTTGCTTCTGATGAAGCTTTTGTAGATGTCACACTAACAGCAGAAGGTCGGACCATCAGGGCTCACAAGGTCAGTGTCGGATGTAAGCACGTGAGAAATATAAACGCCCGAAATGCTGTGTGTGTGTTAGTGGCTTGGCAAGAATGTAAAAATACCAATATTATGTTATACTGTATCTCTCACAAACCTACTTTACCTTCTTGTAAATAAATGAAGACTCGGTGATTACAGCATTTTGGTCTTTGAAATATTCTTGAATCTACAAGGCTTTTCATGCATCAGAAACTGAAGAACTTTTATAGAAATAATGTTATATATTCCTGGTTTCTTTTCTCCTTTCCTTTCATCCTTTTAGTTAATGTAAAATAATTAACCTGAAAATCATGGATGCCTCATGTGAGCAAAGTCAAATTTCTTTACAAATTTAATATGGGGGGGTGACTTTGTCAGCTGAATATTACAAAATGTATCTTCATTATATTTTACCTTATTCATATATGAAAATAATACATGCATATGAATGAGTTTGAGTGGATATAAATTATAGGTGACTTGTATAAGCCAACAGGCCTCCTGCGGCTTCATGTATATTCTTATGTTCGTATATTTCAGTTAGTTGTATCAGCTATGAGTCCTTACTTCCAACAACTGTTGTGCAACAACCCGTGTCCTCATCCAGTCATCATCATGCCTCACCACGTCCAGTTTGATCACCTCTCTCATATTGTCAACTACATGTATAAGTAAGTCCATGTTGTAGTTTATTGTTACGTAAAATAAAGCTGTGTTTTATCATTAGCTCTTAATTGCTTTATGATATTAAATAACCTTATATTACAGTAATATGGGTACAAGAAAAAAGTTGCCAAATCACTAATGCCAGAATTTCATATTCCAAAGCCATTGGTGCATGACAAGTGACCTCCAAGTAAGGTTTCACAACTGCTCATTCACCAGACTAGCCTAAACCATCCACCCATCATCAGACAACAGCTTACTCAAGGTTTTTAAACCTAGCGCATGTCACATTCTTCCTGATTCAAACATGAAATCTGCAAGCAGGTGGGAATAGGAGTAATGGTCAGGAATGGTGAATGGACAGTGAAGCAGAGCAAAGTGTGCTTTCCCAGCCAAAGGAGAGCACCACTCAACAAAGAGGGGAATCATGCTCCACAGATATCGTTCTGCCACTCATCATAATGCAGTGTTAGAACATCCAACAGTGGAAAGCATAATATAGGACAAATAGTTGCCACCAGAAAAGAAAGGGGAAAGACAAGGCAGGAAAGGGAGCTACCCGGGCCTACCAGAAAAGGGTGTTTCATTAAATTCCATGCTTGATTTCCCGGAAGGTTTTTTCTATAGCTCCCTGTTGCTTGCTCAGTGCCATCCCAGATAAGAAAAAAGCCTTGTTGAAGAGGAACACATGATTAGGCGAGAGAGGGTGACACATGATTAGGCGAGAGAGGGTGACACAGGAGCAGAGCTCTAGGGAGAGGTACATTGTTGATGCACCAGATGACCTACCTTGAGGTTACCTTGAGGTGCTTCCGGGGCTTAGCGTCCCCGCGGCCCGGTCGTCGACCAGGCCTCCTGGTTGCTGGACTGATCAACCAGGCTGTTGGACGCGGCTGCTCGCAGCCTGACGTATGAGTCACAGCCTGGTTGATCAGGTATCCTTTGGAGGTGCTTATCCAGTTCTCTCTTGAACACTGTGAGGGGTCGGCCAGTTATGCCCCTTATGTGTAGTGGAAGCGTGTTGAACAGTCTCGGGCCTCTGATGTTGATAGAGTTCTCTCTCAGAGTACCTGTTGCACCTCCGCTTTTCAACGGGGGTATTCTGCACATCCTGCCATGTCTTCTGGTCTCATGTGATGTTATTTCTAGCTAGCACCATGAAACATCCTATAAATAGCAGACCAACACTCATGGCCCTCAAAAAAAAAAAATGATCTCAGACAACATAGAAAACTAAGGTAAACAAATCATGATGAAGTGGCTGTCTAGGTCTTTAAACAAATTAATTGATGCACCAAGTCCAAAGTGAGCATTGTCAGCGGGTGCACATATAAATCTGACAAACCAGTCAACAAGAAAAAGTGTGCAAAGGCATTTAAATGAAAGATGACAACATACCCAAAGTGCAAATCTAAGAGTGTAATAGAAGGCACTAATACTTGTACACAAGTCAGTGAAAGGCACAACAAGTAGAGTGCTAACTATTTTAACTTCCTATTGACAGGTCCCATTAATCGAGGGACAGATCTCACATTAATCGAGAAAGAACCCAAATTCCTCAAAGAAGCTATCTTTTGAGAGGGGGGGGGCAACAAAGATGCAAGCTCACAAACCAGGAAGGAAAACCTGGGACTAGCATCAGAGCCAAAATAATAAACTGCAAGTGCATGAGGTGGGTGATAGTGGATGCACACTTGAAGCATTAAAAACAAAAATAAATGAAGTAATGACCCCACACAGTGCAAAAGTTCTTTATCTCTGCCAAGAAATGGCAAATAAGTCCCAGTGGTTCCCTTACAGTCCCAGTCCCAGCTGACCCTTACAGTACCAGGTGAGTGAGTGAGATATGTCGCAGGCCAGGATTCCAGGTGCCCTGGGCCACCATCTTGTTGTGTGCGAGTAAATTAGGGCGAGAATCGTTCATCTGTGGCAAACTTTGATTTACCTTGTTTTCCTTATATATTTTTTTCAACGTGTTGGTTGTTTTACCCTCGTTCTAGTTGCTTTTACAAAGTTTTTGGTTGATCTCTAATTCTCAAACTCCCAGATTCCTGTCCTGATTCAAGATAGGTCAGTGTAGAGCTCAGAGACCTCTTTATCAGTGGTTAAGAATCTGAAAGCCACCAAAGGGATCCTTCCTGGAAATAGCAATAATATTGCTGGAAAGGATGCTTTCAATTGTATTATTCTTTTCTGCATACTAAGTTCCATTTGAGTCAACTGTGTGTTTGGGGAGCACACAAATGAGAAGGATATGGGTACAGGGATTATGGGACTACTGTACATTGTAGGGAAATGTGTAGATGTGGTAAAAAAAAGGCTAATGTAGAGGTAATGTATGCGAGGGAACATGTTAATGTTGGTGGATTAAAAGGGAAGGGAAGGGAAGGAATATGTATGGATATGTTTAGATGTAAAGTGCAGTGAAATGAACTATAGAAGATTTTATAATACTGCTAGCAAAATGTTTGGCAGGTTCATTTATGAGCATTTCTCTCTCTCCCTCTCTCTCTCTCTTTAAGTAAATCATGTACAGTATAGTGTTAGTAAATTAATTGTTTTTATTACAGAGGTGAAATAACAGTAGCTGAGGACCAAGTGAAGTCACTGCTGGAAACTGCTGAGCTACTTCAGGTTCATGGCTTGGCTCTTTCTGACCCAGTGGCACTGATCACTGACAAATGCACTGATACAGTGACCACCCAGAGTGCCTTCTTTTCTGAAATGGCCAGCCATTTAACTCACTCCACAGGAGGGATAGACCCCCTTGACAACGCTTCCCAAGTCACTATTCAACAAAACAGCTCACAGGAAGTTGTCAAGCTTCCTGCATGCTCTTCTGTTGCCCTCAGCTCGCCCACTAGTCACTGTGAAAATACCAACACTTACTACAGTGGAGAGAAAATGCCCGACAATAACCTATGCTCGTCAGCAGTTGAATGTCAAGCAGTGTGTGGCTCTGGCACCACAGCATACACAAGAGTAAATTACACGGCTGTGCGCACAAACAAACCATCTTTAAGAGAGTCGTCCACAGGTGACAACACCCTGCAAGATACCTTCTTCGATGATATTGATATTGTAAAAGAGGTGAGTTTTTTTATGTTATCAACCCTCTTTTTTAACATGAAATTGATATAAGTTTATTGAGGTAAAATACAAAGGGATGAGGTAGCTCAAGCTATTCTCACCCCGTTCAGTACATCGTGTTAATACATACATCACAAACAATAAACATATTACCAAACATTCTGAGAGATAAATATCTACATTTCCTTTTAACATGAAGATAATTGAAAATTTGTCATGAAATTTACAGTACTGTATAGTAAGAGATAAAGAGGAGCAAAATATATTTGGGAAAGAAAATGGTGTGCTATATACATAATAGTTTTCTTCATCATTTACCTTGTCTTGTTTCACATTTTCATAGTAAGGTATTTTTTTCAATAAATTATTAATAAATAAAATTATAAGTAAATGTGCTTTTCAATAAAAGCACAGAAAATAGGGATACTGTAATGAATTTGAAAGTACACCAGGATAAGGAGGTATGACTTTGTTATTCCCGGTTTGGTACCTTCTTTTGATAATTACTTTTTAACAACAGTATCTTTGAAGATACTTGATTAAATTGGTGCAAGAGAGATGCTGGGTAGAAGGATTTTAGAAGTGAATAAAAGTTAAAAATTATATAGAGTTCGAATTTATGTTATTTCATATTTGTAACCGAAAATTTCTTTGGCGTACAGGAGGTAGACCTGTTGCACCGCAGACAGTGCTGTATGCAAGATTCCCACCACGCTTCTCCTTCGTTTGAAGTTTCAAGCCAGGAGCGGTTCACCTGACTCGGGAATCAGTCTGTAGCTTATTTGTGACCCCTCTACTGCCTCTAAGACATCTACTATGGGATATGTGCATAGTGCATAGTATCTTTGCATACTCTGGACAGATCAGTTTAGCGTGTGCTGAGAATAATGATGACATACTCTAGCAGTGTACAAGAATCTGTTCACCTTTCACTCCATACAAGTTGTACACACACCTCGGTGAAATATATTGTGCTTGATCCAACCCACTTTACATAGAGAAAGTATTATACAGTACAAATAAATTGTTAATTTTCTTAAAGTGCAAACAGACCAAGTAGGTAGTGTTTAGATTTTGTGAATAACTATGTTCAGAAGTATTTAAAAGTAACAAGTTTCACTATGAGATGCAGTGAACAATTTCTTCCACACTACTAAAGTGCCGTGATATATTTTCCGATTTGTAATTAGGGTTATTAGAGATGCTGAAGTGCCACCTAACCCTCTTGGGCAAATGGGCAAGTGACATTGATCCTACAATGATTTAATGTCACTAGTGTATTTTGCCCACTGGGAAATTAGTTTTGATAAGGAAGCAGATTCCAATTATTTATGGTTACATATCAACAGATAAAATGAGAATTAAAATGATTGGATATGCTATGCTTTGTTTTTTATTTAAAGAAAATGAGTATTCAATTGATAGGTAAACTATCAATTTCCATTTGTTGAGGACAGGAAACCTAAACTTAGGCTTATCAAGGTTTCCCCTAGACCAAGTATTGACCTTAACTAGGAAGGTCAATAGTTGTATACTACTGACCTTCCCTAGGAAGGTTGACTACTAGGTCGCACTATTGACTATTATTGTCAATAGTGCAAGCTACAATAGTTTCCTAACCCCTGGGTATCTATTTTACTGTTGGATGAACATCAGGTGAAAGGAAATAGGTCAACCAGTTTCTGTCGCACCTGGGGTTTGAACCTGGGTCCCTTGGGTGTGAGGTGAGGATGTATCTAGTGTATTTTATTTAATAATGTCATTAATTGTCTAGGCCATTGAGTTGGAACAGGCACAGTGTGACTTGAAAAAGTAAAGTGAATAGGAAGATTTAAATTATTCAGTAATGCCATTTCTTTTCACTAACTTGTGTTGAGAGTAATAAAGTGAATTGCAGGACTTTACCATTGCAGTACTGTACATCAGTATACTGTATCTCAAATGTTCAGTTTTATTACATTTCATTTGTATCTCCTAAAATTAAAATTTTAAAATTTCCATATTTATTGTGCATGATTTCTAGTCATTTTAACATGTTATTCAGATAAAAAAAATTACCTGTGAAAATTATGCATTAATAAATCCATAATAATTCTCTTCCTGGTATCCTGTTAGCCTTTTAAATGTTATGGAATATTGCAGTTTAGAAATTGTGTACTTTTCGAAAAGCAGCATGCAAAATTCTTTGTCCATGAAACATACTGGAGAAAACTACTGTACTAGGTCCTAACAGGCTCGAACCCCAGTAGAGGCGGAAAGAAATGGGCAGAGATTCTTTCACCCTGATGCGCCTGTTCTCCTAGCAGTAAATAGGTACAGTATCTGGGAGTTTGACAGCTACTACAGGCTGCTTCCTGGGAATGTGCAACTAAAAGGAGGCCTGGTCGAGGACCGGGACGCTAAGCCCCGAAACCATCTCAAGATAACCTCAAGAAGATAGGTTCCCAGTTATTGTTCAAATTGAAAATTAGATGGCAGCTTAATACAGTAATGTAGTATCACAAAAATCATGAAGTAGATGTAATTTAAAATAACTGCCGGTACATCCTATGTTTATGCTAGTGATACATCCAGGAAATGCTCCAACTGCTAGAGTTGAAACACTTTATGGATCTCTTCGTTGATCTAACTGTCATGTATATCAACCAGGTACTAGGTCTTGTCTGAGAATTAATAATTAAACTGCATTTAATGCTTAGACAGTGGGGAAGATACGGGTTGCAAAACTTATCCCATGTGTCTAAACAACAGCCTGCAACACCTACCAAGTCATGCAAGAAATGGCTGAAAAGTGCCACAGCTAAATAGTGAAATGGGAAAAATGAAGTGAATTCTAACAATTCCAAAAACTGCTGGAAATTCCAAAACCATGGAATGAATAGCACTAAACCAAGCCACGGGCTTTGTGCCCACAGACAAAATTAGAACTGCAAAAACTGCGTCTGAGAGGTTCGAACTTGCGTCTGAGAAGTTAAAACTTGCGTCCGTCCCTTCCTAGATAGATGCAATAGAACCTGTGGGCATCACACTAGAAATAAATGTGTGTGTGTATCTTTGATATTCGTAGAGTTAGACTAAATCTGTGCAAACACAACGTGAAAATAAAAAGTCCACGGAACTCGCTTCCTAATGAATTAAACAAATTATCAAATCTATACTTTATTCAAAAGTAGAACCAAAATGTACCAAATTTCATCTCCATAGTATCCCATCTTATGCTGCTAATTTTCACAGTATCTTCAGCTACCCACTCACCTCATTTAATACTAAAGATTCTTCATTAGTATAATTTCATATTCTTCATCAGTATAATATAATAAAGTATAAAAAAGCAACTTCATCAGTATAATTTATTACATTCATTTATAGTCATAGTAAAGTAATTTATAAAGCTATAGTAAATTTTATAAAATTTATAATCCGGGCCTCATAAAAATGACGCCCTCCAGCGTTCTTGTGTGGTGGTATAGTACTATATACTGTAGTATGTAGTACTATATACTGTAGTATATAGTACTATATAGTATATAGTACTATATAGTATATAGTACTATATAGTATATAGTACTATATACTGCCTAGCAACCCTCCTATATCCAACTATGGAAAATCATAGGTGACTCGTATGCATGTAACGGACAGAATAGACACTAATTGTTTCTCACCTCCAACAGTCTGCATTCAGTGATTATTCACAATTCATTAGTTTGAATTGTTCTTTATAGTTTCTTAACAAAAAAAAAACTCCATAGTGCCTACACTAGTGGGTAGAATGAAACTGCAAAAATGCCAGTAATTCTTCAAAATTTACCTTGATTAAAAAGGTGTTGTCAGTGTACAAAAAACTGTACACTATAAAAAATTGTCACTGTACAAAAAAAAAATTGTCAGTGAATGAACTATTTTTTTTACTGACATTGTCCGAAACGAGTATGTACGAATCGACCAGTCCTCGTCTCAGGTTACATACGGCCTGTGCTATAGCTCAGTGTTGCCAGATTGGGCTACAAATAGCGAATTGGGCTACTTTTGAGAGCCCCGCGCTACCAAATTTGTAATTTCGCTACTTGCTACTTTTTGGGCTAATTTAAAAGCAAGATGTGCTAATTTGGGCTATTAATATTAAGAATGTTCGATTGCGATTTACATGAAAGTAACTAAGCTATAAATAATTGTAATTAATAATAATTGTAAATATTAATTAATACTAAATAATATTTAATAAATTAGTCCCAATTCAATGCAGAGTTTTCTTCCAAGCACAGAATCCAACCACTTGGGCTGGACGGTAGAGTATATATATACGTGTGTGTGTGTGCAGAAATAATATTAATAAAACAATTAACATCGTGTAGTGTACTCTATATATCAAAATATATTACTTTGAAACCCGTATCATTCACTCAAAAAACAATTGGGCTACTCTTATTACAAATTCGCTACTTATAGACCGTCAGCTCGCTACTTTCCGCGATTTGTATCTGGCAACCGTGCTATAGCTGCCCCTAACCCACCACAACAACAAACACTATTCCTGAGTAATTTTTTCCGGCTGAATTTTAAACTGAAGTGTCTTAGTATTTACAGTATTTATGTATTACTATATGGGTGACAATGTGTCTCCTGTTTTCTGTCCTAGAGTGTTGTGTGGTTGAAATTGTCTACTTATTTATTTATTTATTTATTTATATACAAGAAGGTACATTGGGTTTGTGAGAATACATTGGATAGTACAGTATTTACATTCTTGTAAAGCCACTAGTACGCGCAGCGTTTCGGGCAGGAGATAAGAGATACTGTAAGAGATAAGAAACATGGAAACCTTTTAAAGCAGTGGTCTGGATTAATATCTTCGAATTTCTTCAGGAAATTAATGGTTTCCGTGAGCTCGGCCCCATATCATGTTAGTCGTGAGGCCCTCAACTAGTGTTTTTAGATAACTTTTACCTGAATTTACCTAGGGGGACACTCTAGTGGCCTCGATGAGGACAGGAAGCCTGCAGCTTTTGTTGCTGTCTTCAACTCTTTTTATTCCAAAGCTAAAGTTATGTCCTTTTGAAGTGTTGGGTTATATTGGATAAGTTTACATAGGGTTTTAAAATCCATTGGAGAGCCATCTTAGAACATGATGTGACTTTGTATCTTTCAGTACTTGCAATGTATTGGATTAAAATGTACCTTATATTCAACATGTCAACATGTCTACCTATCATTTAGTTTTGGTGCTTTAATTGGGGTAAATGCACTGTTTTAGGTTAAGCTACACAGTAATATTTCGTTGCTCCATGAGTATAATTGTAATGCTCAACAATTATTCTTGTGGCCGAAATGCTGTGCATATTAGTGGCTTTAGCCATAATATATATGTACTACTTGCTCTATCTAGAAATCCAACATTCTTCTTATAACTCATTTTGTATGTATGTACTCTTTCCTAAAAAAACTATTATTATTTTTATTATTATTATTATTATTATTATTATTACCTAGGTTTTGCCCAAGCTATGGATCAACAATTTCATACAGGTCCTATTGTGCAGCGGTAATTGCTGGTGATTATCTTGAGATTATCTTGAGATGATTTCGGGGCTTTTTTTAGTGTCCCCGCGGCCCGGTCCTCGACCAGGCCTCCACCCCCAGGAAGCAGCCCGTGACAGCTGACTAACACCCAGGTACCTATTTTACTGCTAGGTAACAGGGGCATTCAGGGTGAAAGAAACTTTGCCCATTTGTTTCTGCCTCGTGCGGGAATCGAACCCGCGCCGCAGAATTACGAGTCCTGCGCGCTATCCACCAGGCTACGAGGCCTACGAGGTCACAGCTAAAAGGTACTGGGTTCGATTCCTGTGATAGGATAAGAATTTGAGCAGTGTTTCCTTTTACGTGAAACATAACAGTTAGCAGTAAAGTAAATGGGTACGTTACATCACCTAACAGTAAATGGGTACCTGAGAGTTAAGCATCTGTTCAGGGTTGCATCCTGGGAAAGGTCACTAGTTGTCCTACGGGGACCTCGATAAGCCTAGCAGCCTTCCTATATCCAACTATGGAAAATATAATTGTCGTATGCATGTAACAGACAGAACAGACACTAATTGTTTCTCACCCAATGGGAGCCAGTCGGCTGAGCGGACAGCACACCGGACTTGTGATCCTGTGGTCCCGGGTTCAATCCCAGGCGCCGGCGAGAAACAATGGGCAGAGTTTCTTTCACCCCATGTCCCTTTTACCTAGCAGTAGAATAGGTACCTGGGTGTTAGTCAGCTGTCACGGGCTGCCTCCTGGGGGTGGAGGCCTGGTTGAGGACCGGGCCGCGGGGATACTTAAGCCCCGAAATCATCTCAAGATAACCCACCTTAACACTTTGCATTTAATGATTATTCACAATTCATTGGTTTAATAAAGGACTTTATAGTTTCCTAAAAAAAATCCATAGTGCCTGCATTAGTGGATAGAACAAAACTGCAAAAATGCCAGAAATTCTTCAGACATACTTCATTATGTAGAACATATACATATCTAAAGAGAAACATTTGGAATAAAAATGAGAACGTTCGGCTTTCCGTGACTTTGTGCTTCTTATTACAGTTGTTGAGTAAAATATTTTTGGATGGTTGCATTTCAGGGGTTAATTTTTGTTTCTCTTGTTTTCATGTGGATGTAAAATCCTTAAACTTTAGGCTGACACAGGTGTAGCCATCTAAAAAGATGGATTGTGTAAAATAAAAGATAAATAAATAAATAAATAAATATGTTTATTCAGGTAAGGTACATACATACATACAAGTGATGTTACATTAATGGATTGATATATAGATAGTAACAGTCTTTAACAGTCTCCGTGGTGTAGTGGTAAGACACTCGCCTGGCGTTCCGCGAGCGCTATGTCATGGGTTCGTATCCTGGCCGGGGAGGATTTACTGGGCGCAATTCCTTAACTGTAGCCTCTGTTTAACGCAACAGTAAAATGTGTACTTGGATGAAAAAACGATTCGTCGCGGCAGGGGATCGTATTCCAGGGACCTGCCCGAAACGCTACGCGTACTAGTGGCTGTACAAGAATGTAACAACACTTGTATATATCTCAAAAAAAAAAAAAAAAAAAAGATAGAGCTAGTACATACAATGCCTAAAGCCACTATTACGCAAGGTACGCAATGCGTTTCGGGCAATGTATCTAAAGATTTACGTTTAGATGTATCTAAATGCTTGTTCCTTGTGCTCTCTGATATTCTTCCACCAAAACCAAGTGCAGTATCTTCATATTAATTGAAAATGCTGCAAACATGTGAAAGCACACCATGCTGCCTTGCATATTAATGTCAGAGTTTCACAATTAGTGATTCCCAAGGAATAGGCCAAAAAACTTTGTGGAAAAGGTAGGGATGATAGTGTCTGAATATAGGAAAAGTGGGTGAAAATAATTTGCAAAACAATATGAAAATATCTTTGAAAGCCACCGACTTAGCTTTCACATCCAGTAATATCGGGTCTTAATGCTTCGTGGCCTCTAAGGAATGAGTTAGTGAATATCATTACTGCATAAAGGTAGATAGTAACTAACTACTGCTTTAATACAAAATTAATACATTTTTAATCACGATGACAATAACTGATGTTTTTTTTTATTTATTTAGGCACCACCAAGGATCTCATGATAAATGAAAATGGCTTATTTAGTGTTGATTGCGATTAGTGTGGCAGCATCTCTTATGCCAGTGTCTTCGGGTTCCACTTGCCCGCTGGTCCTCAAAACCAGTGCCCAGGTGGAACGAAGACTGCTAAATGAAGGTTTCCACAGGTGAGTATGCCTTAGGCTTGTGAACACAGGTGACACAATTATCCAAATAACTCTGGACCAAACTAAACATTGTTAGAATGAGATAAACATAAATAAGGCAAAAAACCTTATGATTAAGTTCATGGTTTTCAGCTTTCTAGAAATAATTATAGTAATTTAAGACTATTCATACATTCTGATTTTATTATATGTAGCATGTAATACTGTCACAGCTTTTAAGTCCTACAAGCTTGAGGCCATGAGCATTCTGAAACTTCCCAAGATAATTTTATACTGCCTACCTATATATATATATATATATATATATATATATATATATATATATATATACCTCTGTCAAATTATGAGTCGGGAAATGTAGTGTAGATAATGAACATCAATAAAGAAATTAATTACAAAGTGAATTTTCATATTCACACAACCCAAATTTTAAGCTTAGGGCAGCTCACTGAGCCACAGAATACAATACTTTGCTAAACCACATAATATTAGTAGCTCACTGACATCCTGAGTGTGTAATTGTGTTTTTAAAATAAGATTTATAATTAAATGGCTTCTATTTCCAGAGACTTGGAGACCACAATTTTTCTTTCATCTCCAGAGGACCTGCAGTCATGTGTGGTTCTCATTAAGGAAGTCTTCCCTCCGGGCTCGTATGTTGACCCTAATCAGCTTCGCTTCCTCAAGCAACTTGGTGGCCCTGACTTTCATATTCCTCAGGTAACTATATTCTCTGATGTGTCTTGTGAGAAGTGGTAGATAGCATTTACACTATAATTTGCAATGCCCAAAGTGTTGTTATTCAATCTCCTTCCACCAAGAATAAGAAATAGTGCTTGATCAAGTGTGTGTGTCTTCAAAGAGCAGTTGGAAAAATTATTGCAGGACGTATCAAGTCAGCCAAGTTGTAATGACGTGTGCTTGCCATCTGCTGCAAACAACGGTCTGAGTGATCAAGTTATCACCAAACAAGCCTAGCCCCAGGCTGGGATTGGGGGATTAAAAGAATTCTCAAAACTGATGACAAGTAAACTTCTATTAATACACTCTCTTATTGCAACATCTTCCTTCAGCTTACCCTAATTTTGCACAGTACTGCATAATCTAAGCTGGTAAACATTCATCTCACTTCCTTCATATCTTTCATGTTGCTTTTATATTTTTCATCAACATAAATGTAACCAAACTATTTTGCTCCATTTCATCCTCCCCCCCCCCCTCTTTTTTCCATATATATCACATTCCCATTTACACCATGCACACCACACATTCCAACAGCCTTGTATTCATTCTCCACCCACCCTGGTATTCAAATCTCCCAACATAATATCTTTCCTGCCATCTTATAGCTTCTTCATGTAATCAATAATTTGATTCCAGTACATCTCCAATGCATTCTTACATTTAATATCTGTACATACTGGAGCACATGCACTTAAATGCATGTCTCTACCTGCCTAGTCCTCAAAGAAGCATATTCTTCGATTAACACACATGTATCCCCCTCATATACTACATTCTCTGATATGAAAAAAAAATCCTACCCTCTCATTTTTATCCTTATAACTTTCACCCATTCCTCACCACACAACTAACCCCTCAAACACTCCTAGTCTGAGTTTTCACCATTCTCTCATTTACCCTTCCCATTAAAATGTTTCATTTTATACAAACTCATTACTTCAACCATTTCCTTGTAAAAGTCACCTTCACCACTTGTGCATGTGAGAAGAGCTTACAAGTTCATAAGAAGGGAGGAAATGTCAGCATTGTGGAAAATACTAAACAGACACCTGGAACATTAACTAATAATGTACCGTTACAAACCAAGTGAGGTTACTATTGAGATTAAACTCAGTGGACATAACCTTACTGAAGCCAATATGTCATAAATACATCCAATGCCTAAGTAAGGCCAGAATGACTAACACTTAGGAGACTAATCATAAGCTTAGGGCCCATGCAGGAATATTCCTGCAAAAGAAAAAACAAGAAAATAAATAAAAATCCTCCACCGTTTTGCCTGCTTTCCCTCCACTCCAGTCAGGGATTCTGGCTGGTAGCAACCCAAGGGAAGGGAACTATCAATAAAAAGTGCCAAGCCAATATGACTATATAGCACTGGGAAAGTATCAGGATAAAGATTTGGGATGGGAAGGAATGGTGCCCAACCACTTGGACAGTCGGGGGATTAAATGCCGACCTGCATGAAGCGAATCCGTCGCTCTACCGTCCACCCCAAGTGGTTAGGCAAGTAGCAACTCAAGGGGATCCTGATGCACTTGAGTTGCACCAGTTGAGGGACTGGTGTTGGATTGTTTTTCTGCCCAACAAACTAGCCTGTATATCTGACTCTAGAGGCTCTAGTCATTTTTAATTTACAAAGGTTTGCAGTTATCATGTAAGTTTTATGTGAATTAATAGATCAATCTCCCAAACAGATTATCAACGTTGAGACCCCAGAACACTTATCACCTCGAATTCTCGCATATTTTTATGCATTACCGAGTCCACTGAATGATGGTAGATGGCTGGTAAATATGACTGTCCCTGTCCACCTCCGCTATCACAGGTATGGATTATGGAAAGTATAATAGTCTTTACTATTATGTGAACTAAATTGTAAATTTTACAATTGAAGATGTGAATGAGGGGGGGAAAAAATATCAAGCAATGAATGTAATGAAACTCCATTTTATAATGGGCCCATAGTAGCTCTCTAAGGCATGACTTTACCAGATGGTAGATCAGGAACCTACTGAGACTACGTACCTGTTGACTACCTGTTGATGATTACAAGGATCAATGTCTCCACAGCCCGATCTCTGATCAAGCCTCCTGGTTGCTAGTTTGATCAACCAGGCTGTTTGATGCAGTTGCTCGCAGCCTGACTTACGAGTCACAGCCTGTTTGATAGGCATTTTTTGGAGGTGCTTGTTGAGCTCTATTTTGAACACTGCAAGGGGTTACCTTGAGGTTACCTTGAGGTGCTTCCGGGGCTTAGCATCCCTGCGGCCCGGTCGTCGACCAGGCCTCCTGGTTGCTGGACTGATCAACCAGGCTGTTGGACGCGGCTGCTCGCAGCCTGACGTACGAGTCACAGCCTGGTTGATCAGGTATCCTTTGGAGGTGCTTATCCAGTTCTCTCTTGAACACTGTGAGGGGTCGGCCAGTTATGTCCCTTATGTGTAGTGGAAGCGTGTTGAACAGTCTCGGACCTCTGATGTTGATAGTTCTCTCTTGAACACTGTGAGGAGTCGGCCAGTTATGCCCCTTATGTGTAGTGGAAGCGTGTTGAACAGTCTCGGGCCTCTGATGTTGATAGTTCTCTCTTGAACACTGTGAGGGGTCGGCCAGTTATGCCCCTTATGTGTAGAGGGGTTGGCACGTTATGCCCTGAATGTGTAGGGGAAGTGTGTTGAAGTGTGCCCTCCGCCACTTTCTCACCTAACTTGTTCCAACCGTCTACCACTCTGTTGCAAAGAAAACTTTCTAGTATTTTTTTGGCTCCTTTGTTTCCTCTCCGTGTGTATGAGTGTGAGAGTGAGTGAGTAAACAAATGTGTACCCAGTGGGTACCATTGAAAGAAAGTGATTGATGGAGGCCTATTGTGTATGGGGGAGGAAGTATGAGTCCTTGTGGTGTGTGAAAAGTTATTTCTTACTGCAACATATATGATCATTTGTTATTGTTTTCATTAGTTAGTACAGTACTACAGATTTTGAGTTAACACCTTCCACATGTGTGTGTGTATTGTAAAATTTCATTAAATTATTTCATCATGTTTGTCTACTTGTCTCTGATTTATTCAACCACATGCAGCTATTTCTTTAAACCCATGCAGCTGTTCTTTCTACTACATGCAGCTGTTCCTTCCACCACATGCAGCTGTTCCTTCTGCTACATAATTGCACCATGACTGCAAATGTTCCAATGTACAGTATCATACAAGGAAGAATGACCATATTTGTCATGCCTTCAGGGCTCGGAGCGGAGAGTCTTATCCACTGGAAGTTGCAGTAAGGCTCCTGCACCCGGCTGTGCTTCTACAGTGCGACGATGTTGGTGGAGATGCGTGTAGGCCTCTAGTGCAGTTAGAGCCGTGTCCTCCAGATGGCGTGCATCAATGTGAATGGCTGCCTGTGCACACCTTTAGTGTAAGTCTCTTGCAAGTTTTTGTCTCTCTATACAGTATCTTATCTCGCTTTCCCGAGAAAGAATCCATAATAACCAGAAAGTTCATACAAGTAAATAATAATATGCATATGATGTGTTGAAAAGAGGGTGGGAGGCCTCAGACAAGCAAACAAAATGTTAACCACAGGCGATTTGTACACAAAATGACCAACAATCTTCCTTTGAATATCTTAAAGTACCTATGTAATTTGTATGTGAGAAATGTCTGGCATAATTATCTTAAAAATTCACAAAGTAAAAACAACAATCGACAAAATCGTTAGACAATTGACACAACACAGATGCTCAGTCTGGAGGTCACAGAACCCAACATGTTATCAGGGAGTCTTAACTGTTTTCTCCCTCTTGTGTGTAGCCTCACCACCCTTCCCACTCTATAAATAAATGTCAGTATTAGTGCTGTACATTAATATTGTGTTGTTATCTGATCTTCAGACAAGTGAAGCAGTAATGGGGATGGTACCAGTGGGCAACACAGACCTGTTGGACACTGTGCTGCTCACCACCACCTGTATCACCGCTGGGGCTACGCTCCTCATCCTAGCAACACTTAGGAAAAAGTAAATTCATCAAATCTGAAAGCTGTATCTCTAAACTATTTTCCTACATCATTATAAGTGTTACTTATAATGGAGTGTATTAAACAAAAGACAAGTGTATTATATGACAATGTTTTATCTAGTCAAGAGTATGTTAAGATAGAAACTGTAAATAAACTAACGATATTCTAATAATGTATTGAAGATTTTTTAAATGGTGTGAATAAAACCCTGTAATTAAATATTTTAGCAACTGAGGGACAACTTATTTGTAGTTTGATATTTTATATATATATATATATAATTATAAGCTTCTCAGAAGTGAACAACCTGAGAATCTTGTGTGGTTTTAGGAGGATAGATTACATGGTTTCCATATTTTCATTCTTAGAGTGCATATTTTTGTAAATGGTATGAAAAAGAAGAGTAAACAGAGATAGTTTGGTAATGTTGAAGGAATTATGCTGATCAAGCAGTAAAGAGTGAAATATAAGATAGAGAGAAAGGTTAAGAAAATAAACAGGTATTGTGAGGAGCAACAAGTGAATGAGAGTAGTATGGGAAACAAGATAGGGGATCAAATCTAGGTGGAAACATTTATTTGTTTAATGGGGAATGATTATCAGGACAGATTTGTATATGGGATCTCATGATGAGCGCTTAACTCCTATCATTATTAAGTGGACCAAGTTTTGCTGTGAATGATTTGCGGTCGTGTAATTGTTGGTGTCCACTCGGGACAAATGCCTTACATCACTATGTAATTGAATGTGAAAAAATATTTGAATTTAGAGAATTCTATCAAATGTTCAAGTATATTTCATTTAAAATTATGTAATACCAGAAATCCCAAGTTTGCTTACTATGGATAATTCAAACATGTGTTTGTAAACTTTCCACTACCACCCACAAGATGGGTGTTGGGGTGCCTGATAAGCAAATTAAAATTCTATGTAACTAGCTCACCACAAATGTAAATTATGCGGCTTAAGAGATTGGTGTGGATCCAGTTCTTGAACCAGTTATGCTATACAAAAGTTTATGTACTGTATACATATTAAACTATGTAACTAGTTTATGAAGACTGTAACATGCTTAGCTAAAGGAATTTTGTGGTTTAGTTCTGACCCCATTATCTATCCCTGACATTTTCCACTTACCACCCTTACCACCCATGGGGTGCATAATAAATGAATTAAATAAAAAATCTGTAACCTTCCTGCACCCGCCTTATTGACTATAGACTTTACTATGTAATAAATCACTGACTCCACAACAAGGCTGTCCTAGGATCATTGAGTACAGGAGCCAATTAGTGATCACTGCCATATTAAGCATATATACAATACAAAAAATACTCAAAGAACCTTAACAAAACCTTTTGCCCAACCACTTGCCTGGACGGTAGAGCAACAGTCTCCATTCAATCATTCAATCCCTGTCCGTCCAAGTGGTTGGGCACCATTCCTTTCCTCCCTTCTATCCCAACTCCGTATAATACTCATCCCATCCAAATGTTTTATAGTCATAACAACTTATTGCTTTCTCCTGATAATTACCTTACCTTCAACAAAGCCTTGTAGATATGAGGTAAAGTGAAATCTATACTAGCAGTTCCATCTATTAACATACTATCCAGCAAGAAGAGCCACACATCTATGGATCACACAGCATACTCGGATATTACTACTGCTTGGCTTTGACTGTTATAAGTATTGCTGGGAATTTGTATTGTATATGTGCTGAAGTAGACCTGATCAAAGGCAAACTGTTACAAAGTTATTCACATACCCTTTCACTATGTGATTGAGTGTAATGTTGAGTTTGACCTGAGTGTAATTACCAAAGTGCAGTTATAGGATGAGAACTATGCTCAAGGTGTCCCGTCTTCCCAGTACTGTCACGTGATGCTTTGAAATTGTTGACGGTTTGGCATCTACCGCCTTCTCACTTGTTCCAACCATCTACCACACTGCAGAAGAGAATAGTGCAGTCGATAGTTTGAAAGTGTGGAAGACAGACAGTTCTAATTATTATAATGTTACCTTAGCTTGAATCTATGACCTCTTGTTCTTGAAGGTGCAGGTTTTCAGAATTCCTGTTTGTCGGTTTTGTCAATTTCTATTACTGTTTTGTATATTGTGGCCATATTGCCTCATTTTCTTGTTTTCTAGCTTTGATGTCTTTATTATCTCTGGCCTCTCTTTGTAACTTGTTTTTTAGTTCTGGAAGCCCATTTCATAGCATGTCTTTGTAGCTTTTCCAGTTTATTGATGTGCTTCTTGCAATATGGGCACCATACAACCACTCCATATTCCAATTTTGGTCTCACAAAAGTCGTGAACAGTTTCTTTAATATTTCACCAACAATGAATTTAAAAGCGATTCTGAAGTTGGAACACATTGCATATGCTCCTTGTACAATGTTCTTTATGTGGTCCCCTGGTCTATGCTTTAGAACCAACCCTAGATCTTTTTCTGTCAGAGTTTTCTAATGCTTATTAACATTCAATTCACATTCAATTTCATTTGCCAAGAGTTGTTCCATACACTTATTTTATCAATACCATCTTTAGGGGCATGACAGTGATCTGTTGGGTGCTGCAAGAAGACCTTGACAAATTTCAGCACTGGGCAGATAAATGGTTGCTGGAATTCAGTCCAAGTAAGTACTCACCTAGTTGTGCTTGAGGGGGAGCTCTGGCTCCTTGGTCCTGGCTCTCAACTGTCAATCAACTGATGTACAGGTTCCTGAGCCTATTGGGCTCCATCATATCTACACTTGAAACTGTGTATGGAGTCTGCCTCCACCACATCACTTCCTAATGCATTCCATTTGTCAACTACTCTGACACTAAAAAAGTGCTTTCTAATATCTCTGTTGCTCATTTGGGCACTAAACTTCCACCTGTGTCCCCTAGTGCATGTACCCCTTGTATTAAATAGCCTGTCTTTATCTACCCTATCAGTTCCTTTGAGAATCTTGTATGTGGTGATCATCTCCCCCCCTAACTCTTCTGTCTTACAGCGATGTGAGATTTATTTCCCATAATCTCTTCTCGTAGCTCATACCTCTCAGTTCGGGTATTAGTCTGGTGGCAAACCTTTGAACTTTTTCCAGTTTAGTCTTATGATTGACTAGATATGGACTCCGTGCTGGAGCTGCATACTCCAGGATTGGTCTGACATGTGGTATACAAAGTTCTGAATGATTCCTTACGCAAGTGTTTAAGAGCCATTCTCATGTTGGCCAACCAGGCATATGCTGCTGATGTTATCCTCTTGATATGGGCTTCAGGGTACAGGTCTGGTGTGATATCAATCCCAAAGTCTTTCTCTATTTCTGACTCTTGAAGAATTTCATCTCCCAAATGATACCTCGTATCTGGCCTCCTGCTCCCTACACCTATCTTCATTACATTACATTTGCTTGGGTTAAGCTCTAACAACCATTTGTTTGATCATTCCTTCAGTTTGTCCAGGTCTTCTTGAAGCCTCAAGCAGCCCTCCTCTTTCTTAATCCTTCTCATAATTTTAGCATCGTCAGGAAACATTGAGAGGAATGGGTCTATACCCTCTGGGAGATCATTTACATATATCAGAAACAGGATAGGTCCGAGTACAGAGCCGTGAGACTCCACTGGTGACTTCATGCCAATCTGAGGTCTCACCCTTCACTGTAACTCTGCTTCCTATTGCTGTGGTACATCCTTATCCACTGGAGTACCTTACCAGTTACTCCTGCCTGTCTCTCCAGCTTATGCACCAGCCTTTTATGGGGTACTGTGACAAAGGCTTTCCAACAGTCCAACAAAATGCAGTCCACCCAGCCTTCTTTTTCTTGCTTAATCTTTGTCACCTGGTCGTAGAATTCTATTAAGTCTGTAAGGCAAGATTTACTTTCCCTGAACCCATGTTGGCGATTTGTCATGAAGTCCCTTCTCTCCAGATGTGTTACTAGGTTTTTTCTCACGATCTTCATCACCTTGCATGGTATATAAGTCAAGGACACTGGCCTGTAGTTTAGTGCCTCTTGTCTTTCACCCTTCCATATTTCTGGTAGGTCTCTTCTCTCCAGTGACCTACTATACACTATTGAGAGTGGCAAGCAAAGTGCCTCTACACACTCTCAATATTCATGGTGAGATTCCGTCTGGACCAACAGCCTTTCTCACATCCAGATCCAACAGATGTCTCTTGACCTCATCTCTTGTGATTTTGAAACTTTCCAAGGCCGCCTAGTTTATTGTCGCCTCTCCTAGCGCAGGAACCTCACCTCGTTATGTTGTGAAGACCTCCTGGAGTCTCTTGTTGAGTTCTTCACACACCTCTTTTCATTCTCTGTATACCTGTCCTCACCTGTTCTTTCACTGTTGTTTTCTTCCTGATGTGACTGTGGAGCAGCTTTGGTTCGGTCTTGACTTTGTTTGCTATATCATTTTCATAACTTTTCTCTGCTTCTCTTCTCATACTAACATACTCGTTCCTGGTTCTCTGCTTTCTGATTGAATTGAAATTGAATGGTCGGTTATTTCTGAAGTTTCTCCATGCCCATTTGTTCAGTTCCTTTGCTTCCATACACGCCCTATTAAACCATGGATTCTTCTATTGCTTCTTGGATTTTTCCTTTTGGGCCGGGATAAACCTGCTTACTGCCTCCTGACACTTTTGGGTGACATAGTCCATCATGTCTTGTACAGACTTAGCTCTGAGTTCTGTGTCCCATGGTATATCCTTTAGGAAACTTCTCATCTCCTCATAATTCCCCCTTTCGGTAAGCCAGCATAATGGTACGTAAGTGTAATGTAGTGAAAACTGGTAAGGGAGACACGAGACCTGCATTTAAGTATGCCATAAGGGGAAACCAATTACAAGCAACAGTAAAAGAAAATGCCCTGGGCGTAGATATAATCCCAACCTTAACATCAGAAGCTCGTGTGAACAGAATAACATTAGCATCTAGAGGGGGGCCTGACAGCTGAGTGAACAGCGCTCGGGATTCGTAGTCCTAAGGTATCTGGTTCGATCCCCAGTAAAAACAAATCGGCAGGGTTTCTTTCACCTTGATGTGCCTGTTCATTTATGAGTAAATCGGTACCTGGGAGTTAGATAATTGCTACGGGCTGCTTCCTGGGGGTGTGTAATAAAAAGGAGGCCTGGTCGAGGACCGGGCCGCGGGGACGCTAAGCTCCGAAGCCTCACACTTTGCAAAGCACGAAAAAATGTTGAGAAAATTCAAAGGTTTACCTACCTAGTTGGGTGAGTATGTGCAGATCACTCATACATGGAACGATGATTGATTGATAAAGATTATCAATCAATTAATGATTAAACCACCCAAGAGGTGGCACGGGCATGAATAGCCCGTAAGCTTAGCTCAGCTCAGGCTTATATATATACGTATATACAGTGTATATGAGTCTGAGTGGATATAAATAGAAGCTGCCACGTACGGGGTAAAATATATGCATTCTCCAATTTCTCCTTCACGTGGAATGCATTGACGGGAGAATTTGCTGAAGCCAATTCCATCCACAACTCTAACCCGCCAAAAATGATGAAACAGTTAATGTTGAGAGAGGTAATTACTGCGCCAGGTATAAATGGCTATGAGGCGAGGCATAATATACATCTAATCTTCCTTTCCCGGCGTCCAGTTACAGGTTAGAATTGTAAATGTGTGGCCACGTCTGTGGTAAAAAAAAAAAAAAAAAAAAAAAACAGTCCCGCTCCTGTGCCAGGTAAGTCCATTACGGAGTTTGTAACATCAGCTGATGTAGATTTGACTAAATGTAAACTCTGTCAGCAGAACTATTCGCATACTTTGCGTCATTATATAATGGAATGTGAAAAAATTGCGGAATTTAGAGATAACACCATCAATAGTGTCCGAGAATTTTTTTTTGAGATATATACAAGAGTTGTTACATTCTTGTACAGTACAGTGCGTTGAAATGTGTAAGTACTTCATTCATAATGATGTGCTGCCCGAAATTTTAGCGAAGTATCCAAAATTTGCTTACTGTAGGTAATGCATGCACATGACTGTAAAGCTGCCGCCCAGTTGGGTGGGTGTGGAGCACATGACTGTAAAGCTGCCGCCCAGTTGGGTGGGTGTGGAGCACATGACTGTAAAGCTGCCGCCCAGTTGGGTGGGTGTGGAGCACATGACTGTAAAGCTGCCGCCCAGTTGGGTGGGTGTGGAGCACATGACTGTAAAGCTGCCGCCCAGTTGGGTGGGTGTGGAGCACATGACTGTAAAGCTGCCGCCCAGTTGGGTGGGTGTGGAGCACATGACTGTAAAGCTGCCGCCCAGTTGGGTGGGTGTGGAGTACATGACTGTAAAGCTGCCGCCCAGTTGGGTGGGTGTGGAGTACATGACTGTAAAGCTGCCGCCCAGTTGGGTGGGTGTGGAGCACATGACTGTAAAGCTGCCGCCCAGTTGGGTGGGTGTGGAGCACATGACTGTAAAGCTGCCGCCCAGTTGGGTGGGTGTGGAGCACATGACTGTAAAGCTGCCGCCCAGTTGGGTGGGTGTGGAGCACATGACTGTAAAGCTGCCGCCCAGTTGGGTGGGTGTGGAGCACATGACTGTAAAGCTGCCGCCCAGTTGGGTGGGTGTGGAGCACATGACTGTAAAGCTGCCGCCCAGTTGGGTGGGTGTGGAGCACATGACTGTACAAGCTGCCGCCCAGTTGAGTGGGTGTGGAGCAAGACTAGTAACTGACCATAGATGTAAAGTGCCTTGTATAGTGACTGTTGTGAGTCTTGTAATATCACTTGTGACACAAAGATTATTGATGTGTGTATTTGTGTAGGTGATTAGATATGTATGTGTACGTATATATATATATATATATATATATATATATATATATATATATATATATATATATATATATATATATATATATATATGTACATGCATGTATGAGGGTGTGTACATGTGTATACAACATTGATAATTTTGTAACTAGCGTCAAACATTGTTATTTGCTTAGTTAAACGAACTAGAGGGTTCAGTTCCTGGACCGATTATGCGCCTCTGTAATCCTTTACACCACCGCCCACGGGATGCGTATGGGGTGCATAATAAAGAAGAAATTGAAATTGAATTGGGCTCACCATAGCCCGTGCTACTTGGAACTTTTGTTTCCCAGTAGCTGAATCTTAAACAACAACATCCCGTCGTCAGTCATAGGTACGCAATTATCCTGCAACGTCAAATTTATGGTACAAAGGGTATTCAAATTTATGGATTGTGTAGGCCAGCGAGAGGCACAAAAAGTCCTAATGAGACCTTAATGAATGTTATCTAATAATGCCTTTATAGTTTATCTGAACAAATATAATGGTAGCTAACAAGTTATAACAACTCCTTGCACGGTAACCTCAAATAAGTGAATATTTTAAATTATGATCACAAAGTCATTCACCTACTTACTCTAAGCTTGTTTAAAAAAGATATTATTTACAAGGAATGTTATATAAACTAGTAAAAATAATTAGAATATAATATTTCCATGATTTAATGCTCTTATAAAAATCGTAAAGTTAATTTATTTTTGTATTGAGGCTGGTATTTGCTCCCCTGATTCCATATATGACAAACCATCCTGTGAGATGGGAGTATTAAATGAACTTAGAGTTAGTTTTTGATCTATACTATACAATCTTTGATATAGAATAGGGTAGCAGCACATTGTTGTGTACTGCTTGTTAATTAAAAAAATGATAAATTTACAAATACTGTATCTATCTGACCCTTTGTATATCTTATAAATAAATATTATCATCCTTACTGTTATTCTTATCCTTATCATTATTAATATGATTGTTAAGTAGTGGTATATAAGGTTATTATTAGTATTAAGTTTTAGTCTTAGTTTTTCCTGCCCGAAATGTTTTGCGTAATAGTGGCTTTAGGTATTGTATGTACTAGCTCTATCTATAAATCTATCAATTTTTGTAAAACCTCTTGTATGTATGTACTTTACCTGAATAATGATTTATTTATTTATTTATTATTTATTAGTGGTTACATATGGGGTTGTTAAGTGGTCGTTCGCTCGGCGTAATAGTGGCTTTAGGCATTGTATGTACTAGCTCCATCTATAAATCTATAATTTTTTGTAAAATCTCTTGTATATATGTACTTTACCTGAATAAACAATTTATTTATTATTTATTAGTGATTACATATGGGGTTGTAAGGGGTCGTTCGCTCGGCGTAATAGTGGCTGTAGGCATTGTATGTACTAGTTCTATCTATAAATTTTTGTAAACCTCTTGTATGTATGTACTTTACCTGAATAAACATTCATTTATTTATTTATTATTTATTAGTGGTTACATATGGGGTTGTTAAGTGGTCGTTCGCCCGGCGCATCGCAATTGTTTGTTGTCATTGGACTTGTGGGTGGATCGTCGTCATGTCGACTGGTGGGTACCACATTGGCCATGTGCTGGCTCCCTGCCTCGCCTGACCCCCACACCTGACCTCGGACGCTGGCACCATGGTTGTAGCCAGGTGTAGCGCCGAGACCAAGCTGCCTCGGGGTGTGTGGTGGGGCAGCGAGAGTCATATGTGTGTGCCTGCTCGCCTGCCTCCCTGCCATGCTGCCCAACCTCCTCCCCCCCTCACACACCCCTTTCCAGGCTTTCACTCACACACCTGCCACTCTTCCTCATACCTGGCACACTCCCTTATACCTGGCACTCATTTTCACCGCTAGTGTTCCTGTGTATGGGGGATATATGTGGTAGTCCGGCATGCTCCACGTACACACACACACATGACTCCCATACACACATGCTTGCTGCTTGGCCTCACATATAACTGTGTGTGTGTGTGTATTGTATATCTGGCTATGTATTATTAATGTTGTTTTACATAATAGTAGATGTTGGGTTTCGCCTGAGTTTGGTATTGGGAAATGGACGATACTTTTCAACAGACCTTTTGGGAGACCTTTTCTATTTATTTATTTATTTATTTTTATTTATTTAAATATATATATATATATATATATAATATATATAATACATACATACAAGAAGGTACATTGGTGTACTAATGTTCATTGTTCACCAATGTACCAGTGTTCTAGTATTATCTGCAATACGTCCAAGAGTGACATCAATGATGTCGCCTGATGCCCAGCATATTGAAAGCAAATTTGTATTTTGTTAGTGTAGTAATGGCACAATTTTTTTATATATATATATATAAACCTACACTTATTTTTTTTATAGGATAATGATTCGTACTTGATTTAATGACAGGATACGGTTTTCTGGACCTGTGGTGTTCTGATGCATATGATAAATGTTCGAGCTGCTTGGTTAAATGTTTTCATTATTATTAGTCTTCTTGGCTTAGTGTCGCCTTTTTGATAATTATTACCCAAGGGCCACTCATAGTGGTCTCGATGAGGACAGGAAGCCAGGGGCTTGTCAAAGGACCCCCCCACCCTATTTGTCCTGGGGATTTTTCAAGGTGGATTTTAAAACTCAGTTTTTACAGGTAGGCAGTTCCATGTGTATATAAATCATAATTATATATAATTATAACCCAATGGGTGAAACAGCATCTCCTATTTTGTCCTACTTTGTGGCTTATTGAGCTTAAAACCATCGTTCCTTGTTCGTATTACATTTGATCTTTTTGATGAAATTGTCTAGATCAGCATATTCCAAATTGTTCAATATTTTAAGCTTCGATGAGATCAGCTGTGTCGTGTCCGGTTTGCAGTGTAGTTTACCTTGTGGGCCTCGACCGTTCCTGGTACGAGAGTTGACTTGGTTCTGGAATAAATTATGTTGCCTGGTGTTTAATTTTCTCCACAGCAGCTTATGTCTTCCTGAAGCTGAGGACTCCATGCTTGGATACAATAATTCAAGTAATAAATAAATAAATAAATAAATAAATGTTTATTCAGGTAAGGTACATACATACAAGTGATGTTACATTAATGGATTGATATATAGATAGAGCTAGTATATACAATGCCTAAAGCCACTGTTACGCAATGCGTTTCGGGCAATATTGGATTGTATTGGATTATGGGTGTATGTGTATTGGATTGTGTTGCTTAGATGATTTAGTATGCACCAGAGATTTATACAGGCAGATAACTACTTTCTTTGCCTTGGTCAAAGATACGATAGATTATTCCTAGGGTATGGTTAGCTTTTTTTTGTACTGCCGCTCAAACTTGTGGTAGTTTGTGACTGGTGGATTTTGACTCTTAAAGTCCTTTTCTTCATCAATCTGGTGTAAGGTAATGTTAATTTGGTAGTTGTGTTGTTGGTTATGCCCTATCAAAGCTAATTTGATATGCCTTAAAAAAATTGGGGCTCTCTAATTTGCGGTTGTAAATAAATGACTACAAAACGCTTGTGTAATGATGCACAAATACAGGTATAATCCCCCCCCCCCCCAAAGTTGTAAAATGAGACTGTAATGTGGGGGGACATAACCATGCTGCCAATAGTACAGGAGACCTGATTATTAGTGTGGGTTAGTCCATTGTCAAAATGCTTGCTTGCATTACAAAAAATTGGCTTAGTGCCATTCTGTATAAATCTTTGTCTACCTGTACTCCTGACCACCCGAAAGCTGTGTATCTAGAGGTATGCAGCTTGGGGGATAATTTGCTTGAAACACCCACATGCAATTGAAGCATTTATTAATTTTATTTTTTAATTGAAACTACAGGTAAAAAAAGCAAGAAGACCAAGAAGATACACCTTTCACTGGGTGAGTTCCTTGGGGCGTCTACTCCTAGCGGAGGATCTGCTGTAGTGGTCAACAAGAGCAGCTGGGCTGAGGAAAGTGAGGATTATGAGGGTAAGTTGATATTTAATTACTGCAGTACTGTACTGTATTGTCTTTGTTTCAAAAGTTTTTGTACAAGCCTAGTTGTGTTTGCAAGGGTTTAGCTTCGGCTCTTTGGTCCTACCTCTCAACTCGATCAACTAATGTACAGATTCCAGAGCCTATTGAGCTTTATCATATCTACACTTACGTCAGCCTCCACCACATCACTGCCTAATGCATTCCATCTAACTACTGTACCCACACTGAACAAGTTCTTTCTAATGTTCCTGTGGCTCATTTGGGTACTTAAGTTTCCTCGGGTCCCCATGGTTCGCATACCATCCGTGCTAAAGAATTTATCTACCCTGTCAATTCCTCTGAGAATTTTGTAGGTGGTGATCATGTTTAACTCTTGTCTTCCAGTGCCATGAGGTTTCGTTCCAATAATCTTTCTCCGTAGCCCATACTCCCTCGGCTTGGGGACTAGCCTGGTGGTATACCTCTGAACCTTTTCTAGCTTCATTTTGTTTAACTAGATAGACTCCATGCTGGAGCCACATACTCCAGTATTGGTCTGACATATGTGGTATATATAAGAATTCTGAATGATTACTTACACAAGTTTCTGAAGGCAGTTCTTATGTTTGCTAGCTTTGCATATGCCACTGCTATCATTATGATATGGGCTTCAGGGGACAGGTCTGGTATGATACCAACCCCCAGATCTTTTTCTTCCCGATTCCTGAAGGATTTCTTCTCCCAACTGGTACCTTGTGTTTGGCCTCCTGGTCCCTATGCCTACCTTCATCATTTGGCACTTGCTAGTTAAACTCTAGTAACCATTTGTTGGACCATTCCTTCTGTCTATCCAGGTCATGTAACTTCTTGCTGTCTTCTGTCTTAATCCTTCTCATAATTTTAGCATCACCAGCAAATATTGAGAGGAATGAATGTATAACCTCTGGAAGATCATTCATGTATATCAAAAACAAGATAGGTCAGCGTACAGAACCCTGTGGATTTCCATTGGCAACATGCCATTCTGAGGTCTCGCCCCTCACGGTAACTTTCTGCTTCCTGTTGTTTAGGTACTCCCTTATTCATTGGGGTACCTACTAGTTACTTCAGCTTGTTTCTCCAACTTGTGCAAGTCTCTTATAGGGGAACTTTGTTAAGCTTTCTGACAGTCCAAGAAAATGCAGTCTTCTCTTCCCCTCTTCTCTTCACCCTTCTCTTTCTTGCTTTATGCGCTTTGCTTGGTCATAGAATTCTATTAAAGTTGAGGCATAATTTGCCATCCCTGAACCCATGCTGGTGGTGCTACAAAGTCCCTTCTCTCAGATGTGTTACCAGCCTTTTTCTCACTATTTTCTCCATCACTTTGCATGGTATATCAGTTAAGGACACTGGCCTGTAGTTTAGGGCCTCCTGTCTATCACCCTTTTTGTATATTTTGACTAGGTTGGCCGTCTTCCAACTTTCTGGTCGGTCTCTTGGTTTCCAGTGACTTGTTGTACACTATAGAGTGGCATGCAAAGTGCTTCTGCCCACTCTGTTTAGCATCCATGGTGAGATTCCATCAGGTCCAACAGCCCGAGTCATGTCTAGATGATGCAGATACGTCATAACCTCATATCTGATAATTTCAGTATCTTCAAAAGTTGCTTGGTTTATTGCCACCCATCTTAGTTCAGGGACTTCTCCTTGCTCTATTTTGAAGACTTCCTGGAATCTCTTGTAGAGTTCTTCAAACACCTCTTTGTCATTCTGTGTACCTATCCTCTCCCGAGTGGCCACAAATAATTTTTTGTTCATTTTTTGTGTAAATTTCCAAATTTTTTTTTTTTTTTTTTCTTGCCAATCCTATGTATAATGAATGTGTGCACAATATTATGGCAGTAGAGCATCTGTACTGTCCCAAGACAGTGTATTACATGCATCACAAATGTGTCCACATATATTGCTCATATTTCCAATGTTTCATGTTCATTTATGTATACTTAGAACATATTTACACACTATGTACATTCACCATCAACACACTCGGAACTCTGCGAATGTGAGCTACCACACCCAGCCAGCCCTCCCTCACTCCTCCAACATCTTACTCGCCAACATTTCTTTTCCCACCATATTGTTATTTTTATTACACTATTTACACACGTTATTTATAAGTATTTACACGTTTTATTTACCATAACTATACAACTAAGCTGGTATTGTGTCCAAACTTCTCATGCAATCGTACACTATACCTAAAAGATTCCTGAGGCGCGTTGCACACCACTCATCGAGCGCCTACAGGTGCATATACAGTGCAGTGGTTATATTACAGTGCTGTATATAGGTGTGGATGGTAGATATAAAATGATTACTCCTAAGTAATTTAGTTATGAGATGATGTCTGCTTTGTAGTCGAGGGAGGTTGAGCCGCTTAAAATATTATGTATGCTGTATACAATATATAGATAACCTAGGAATATTAAAAAATAGATAAAACAAATCATCACCTCCCTAAGGTTGTAGTTATTACTGTACAGTAATTACAATGTCATTATGTCCTTTCCAGAGGATCGTTTTGCCACACCCGAGCGGTTGGTACTACCAACATGTCCACGTACGGCCCGTGAGCCAGACGTGGATCCAGAACGCATTCCAAGAGATCCTCCTTTCACGGCATACATTGCCAATCTTCCGTTCGAGGTTGATGATGACGAGATTATCCGATTTTTTCAAGACCTTAAGGTTAGTAACAGATTTTGTTATTCGTTTATTGTGTTTTTTTTAAGTGTATAAATTTTCATACACTTTACTCTCCCCATTCTTCTGCCAATACCCTTCCACTGTGTTTTTTCTCCTCTTCTCTGCCTTGCCTATTTTCCTTTTTCTCATTCTTTCACTTTTTCCTTTTCCCTAGATTTCTACCAATACATTTTGCTTGTGTAGTTTATTTCCCAGTTAACAGCTTCATTTACTCTGCCTGAGTTGTACTGGTAGAGTTCGATGCTGTTTTAATGGCCTTTTCTTTGAAGTTTTTTCTTCCATTGCAACATGTGTAAATATTCCAACTGTAATGTCATTTACTTAATCACTAGATAGGGTACCTAACTGTGCCTGGGTAGACTCCAATTGGTTGCAATGTTTTAGTGTTGGGAACACCGGTTAACCTGGCCACCAAAAGGTTGAGTTATAGACTATGTACATATATTTAAAAGTGGCTCGGTTATGAAATTCTTGGAACTTGGCTAGCCACCTTGCATCTCCATCAATTTCACGGAGGCGCTGACTATCTTATAAAGGAAGCTGTGGGGGGGGGCTAACCTGTTCATGTTGATCACCAATCCCTTGCCAATTGGCCTGCAAAGTTTGACAAGGGTAGCCCAAAACAACTGGGGCCAGATTCACGAAGTAGTTATGCAAGTACTTACGAACGTGTACATCTTTCTTCAATCTTTGACGGCTTTCGTTACATTTATTAAACGGTTTACATGAATGAAAACTTGCCAATCCACTGTTATTGTTATAAACAGCCTCCTGGTGCTTCGTAGCTCATTAAATGTTTAATAATTGTAAACAAAGCTGCCAAAGATTGAGAAAAGATGTACAGGTTCGTAAGTGCTTGCGTAACTTTTCGTGAATCTGGCTCCTGGCCTACAACCTTGGACAGACTTGACATGTTTAGACTTGAGGTGTTTAGATAAATGCCTACTGGTCTTTGTTTAAGCTTCCCCTCAGAGGTTTATGCAGTTATCATTTGGTCATTCTGTGTTCTTCAGCAATTCCTGTTTTTTCTTTTATTTGATTATTATTGAGTAGGCAGGATGTCTAACAGCATCATTAGTCAGGTTGAATTTCTTACAGCACTCGATAGTCCTTATTTCTTATTCTCGGTGTTATCCCAGCTTGTTGCTTTATCTTGAGCATTTGTAAGAAACTGTATTGAAAGCTTTCTGGATGTTTGGGAAGGTGCAGTCATGCATGCATTATTCTCTTGCCTTATTTTGGTGGCCTTGCTGTTGAATTCAATAGTTTCGGACAGGATTTTTCATCTCTGGATCATTGTCCCCCGTCAGTTATCAAATTTCATCTCTGCAATTGTTCCACTATTCATTTTCCTAATTACTCTAATACACTTTTTCATTGGATGCATGTCGGCACGTATTTATTTAATACAATACTTTCCTCCCATGTGTTTTAATTTTTAAATAGGGACCTTGACATAATTGTTCACCAGTTCCCATATCCTTTATTTTTAATTGGTGACTTGAGCCGATTCTACTCATTACGGCAGAACTCCTTGTCCATCCTAAAGGAAGACCTTGGTAGAGGACTTCCATGACTATTAATATGATTGTGTTGGGACTCTAGTGCTTGATGAACCCCAGCAGACTGTTGGCTAGTATCGTGTGTCGCATGATGGTCTTGCCATGCTGTCCGAGGGTTCTTGGTGTCTGTTCCTGTGTGTGTGACGATCCCGTATATTGGTTTCCTTTTATTTGTAACCAAGTCTACTTGGAGGCTTTGGTACACTAATGGATAGGCAGCTTGGCAAGGCCTGGATAAATCGGTTTGCCTGTTATACCGTGTTGCCTCCCATAGTATTGTCCCTTTGGGGATAAGTAACTTGTTACAGTATTTGTATTTTAAAAGATGCTCTCACTGCCAAGTATATGGACACGTCGCTTAATTCTGTCTAAAAATGTAAACGCTCGGTGGGATAAGTTTCCTGTAGCCAGCTGCCCCATGACTGTCCTGACCTTTTGTGCTGCTGCCATTGCTATCAAAAGTGCTATTGTCTTGTGGCTGTGAGCAACAAAAGTACAAGATGTTGATTGGCAAGAAAAGTTGCTGACAGGATCACTTTTTGTGGAGTCTTTAGAGCAAGGCAAATGTCTACCCTACACCATACAGAGACCTGTGCTTTTTATCTTATCCAGCCAATCTCTCTCGTGCTGCAACTCTTCTGTTATGTGTATAGCCTACCCTTCAGAACTTAAGCAAATATAAAAAAAATCAAATGTTAATGTCGGGCAGTACAAAAGGCTAAAACTTGGGATTAGGAGCTAGATTTCACTTCCCACTAGCCTGATGAGCAAGTACCACCACAATTCATGTAATGCACATCACTACCACATATACCACTACCACCAGCCTGTGCTCTTTATACTAGCCTTGAGGTTACCTCGAGATGTTTTGGGGGCTTAGCGTCCCCGCGGCCCGGTCGTTGACCAGGCATCATGGTTGCTGGACTGGTCGACCAGGCTGTTGGACACGACTGCTTGCAGCCTGATGTACAGTCACTTGCATGCATTCATTGTATCCCATGTATTTAAATTCCACTTTATTCTTATCCCAAGATATGCCTAATAATAACCTTCCTGATTGCCCTCATGTGATCACACGACAATATATCAAATTATGTATTGTGCTCCAAGCTGGCAGGAGTATTTAGTAATGATAGTCAAGTGGTCTATTCATTTTCAGGTGTCGCGTTAAATTTACTCTTTGAGAATTAACTGTGCACAAGGTTTTCAAAGAACACATCCCTTGTGTAGACAAAGGGCCAACTGTACTGAAAGTATATAGCATATATAAGAGAACTCTGTACTTTTTAATATTTTCCCAAGTTTTGGTTATTTATGATACTAAAGCAATTACTTTGTCCCCCCCCTCCCCTCCTCCTCCTCCTCCAATCTTGCCTCTTGCCTTACTAATACACGTGTTGATTGCTCCTACCTCTTCCTTGTGGGTCATAGTTTGACCTGCATTATTCCCTGACACTTCACATTAATCCTCTTGTTTTGATTCGGTACTTAATATACATGTATTACTTTATTTTTTTCTATTTCTGTGACTGCAGTGAAGATTCATTATGCAGAACTGCGTAGTACAGTACTTACTTTTTGTCATCTACAGGTCAAGTCCATCCGCCTCCCTCGGGAAGGTGGTGAAACTGGTCGATTCAAAGGCTTCGGCTATGTGGAGTTTGAAACAAGAAATGAATTGATTGAGGCTCTTTCTAAGAGTGATGATGTGAGTAAATTTTGTGGTAGTTAATTGGTAGTTGTCATTCCCAAAATTTATAATTGAAAATAGAACAATAATTATGTGTAGCATTAATATTTTTGTCGGTTCAGGTTATGGGTAACCGTAAGATACGTGTGGATATTGCCGAGGGAGAGGGAGGTAACCAGAGACGAGGCTTCTCGGATCGCGGTGGTAGGGACGAGGAGCGACTAGATCGCAGTGAAGGAATTTCTGATTGGAGAGCTGGTCCTAGAGATGCACCACAGAGAGATGGTAACTACTTGACTATTGTCATTGCCTCTGTTTTATTAAAACAAAATTGTTTAACTTTCCTTTAAATCTCTTTAGTTATACAATGTGTGTTACATTATGTAAGGGTATGCTGTACTTCATAAATTTCACTAGTATAGTTAATATTTGTAAGAATATTCTCTTGTTAATGTTATGAGATTTTCTAGATGATACCCTCAATCATGCATATACAAATTCATAAGTACAATCATATCTCTTTCTTCCGCCACATTTTGACAATTTTTCTTAAATTTCAGGAAGAGATGATCGTAGCCCAGGTCGAGGAGGATTTGACAGGGACCGTCGTGATGAAGGGTATGCCCTTTTTCTTAAGAAATGAGGACTAAGTGATAAAGGGAGTAGGGTTGAACTTATATAATTATTATTTAATAGTACTGTATAGAAAAAAGCAAATGTGTATTAGTACTTTAAAAATGTACATTTTTTTCTTCAGCCGTGGAGGATTTGGTGACCGTGACAGAGGGGGCTTTGGAGATCGGGATCGAGGTGGTGGTTTCGGGGACCGGGATCGAGGTGGCGGTTTCGGTGACCGGGACCGGGATCGAGGTGGCGGTTTCGGTGACCGGGACCGCGATCGAGGTGGAGGTTTTGGTGATCGGGATCGCGATCGAGGTGGCGGTTTCGGTGATCGGGATCGCGATCGAGGTGGTGGTTTCGGTGATCGGGACCGCGATCGAGGTGGCGGTTTTGGTGACCGGGACCGCGATCGAGGTGGTGGTTTCGGTGACCGGGACCGCGATCGAGGCGGTGGTTTCGGAGATCGGGACAGAGGTGGTGGTGGAGGTTTTGGTGATAGAGACCGTGACCGTGGTGGATTTGGAGACAGGGAGAGAGGTAAGCAAGCTTATCGAGTTATGTAGATTTTTACATTTTAATACTGTTACTGTACTGGTATGTTTTGTCCAATGAGTGCAATAATTTATCAAGTATGTGAATTTAACCATTTTAATTGCTGCATATTGGTGTAACTTATTTTTTATGCAAATTTGAATAGCACTAATATTTTAATATGTGAATTTTCAAAATTTTTGTGTTTGTGTGTGTATAAAATGTTCATACACAATATATACATTTATACATATTGTGGATCGATATGCTGAAAGGATTTGAGAGGTTCTTAAGATTGAATGTTTATAAGTTGTTGACCGCTGTACTCTTTGTTTACCGTGTTGTAGAGCTGCTGCTATTTACTTGAACTGCTCCATTCCTAATACAGTATAACTATTCTGTTCATGCTGTAGTGCAGTGACACATTAGTGTGTGGTTGCTGAGGGGTCCCAGGTGTGTCAAGGGAGTTTGAGGAATGGTTGAAAAGAGTAAAACTTGAATAAAGATTTAGTGGCTTTTACTTTTAGGGTTATAGGGGGTTACTTTAAGAAGTAGTGTACAGTACTGTGCAATTTCATTAATTAAAGGCCACAATAGGGTGGCAGTGTTCCATCAGCTGTTCGGATTGGGTGTGTTATTCCTCGAGGGTGCAATAATCCATTTATTTCTATTTTGTTTTACTACTTAATGGTAATTTTTGTTTGTTTTGGTGCTTGCCCATTCAAAACAGATACTGTATGAGCTAGCTTATCCGGACTACTGTATATGGGAAGGACCCCTCACGGGGAAAGGCTTAAAAATTAACATTCACAATTTTTTGTACTATAACCAACATGTGAATTTCCATACACAGTACTGTATACTTGACAATTATACCAGTACTGTAATTTAAAACATTTTTAACTTGCCATGCTGTAGTTCATCTTGATTAAGAGTGAACATCCTGAAATCACTAATTCTTGAATATTTATGCAACCTAACTTAATACATTAAAAATTACTGTACGTGAGCTGGGTAAAGTTAGTTCAGACTGCCGCTGAATCATTACTGGTTGAAGGCTCTTGGCTTTCTGTTGAGGCTTCACTTTTCCTCTTTACAATGTTGTGCCTCGCTTTAAACCTGGAAATCCGACCAACACTTTCCCTGAAATTCGGTATTCCAAGGCTGGCTACAAACCTGCTTACAGCATTCTTATTTCTGCACTGTGAATTGTCACACAAACTGCATGGTGCACTGCAAACACTCGTACACAGCCTCGTCCAACTGTGCATAGTGTGCAGGCTTGCAAAGTTTTCTATTACACCATCTACTACTGCAAGCTCCCTCACTCATTAAGTGAACAAATCAACCCTCTCATTAGCAACTATGGATTTCATGCAGGCATCTTTGTTTCCATGTATCAGAAACGGTACTAGTGCCTGTACCAAAATCCTTTGGCATCACTCGCAGTCAACTGTCCACTTTCAGAGTTCTATGACATGTAACTTATCTTTGTTAGCACAACTTTCTTCCTCTTGACAACTCCAGGATGATTGCTGCTGCTGCCACAGTTTTGGCAACAAAATCAGTTACTATGAAAACAAAAAAGTTAAAGACAATGTTTCACAAATTGTGCAGCACTGTGGTATAACATAAGGCTTGAGAGCACATTGCTTGTTTAGCTTTATCAAGCCTGGACGGGTCCACTTGGGGCAGGCAGGCATGTTATGTTGGCTGACAGGTAGGGGGGGGGGGGGGGAATCCCAAATTTGAGCAGGAAACTACAATGTTCAGCCTGTACACATAGTTTTAAGAAATTTTTGTTTATAATATTAGATATGTTTAGTTTTTATTGTAATGAATTAACATAATTCTTGGTTAGTCTATACAATACAGATCATAGGCCCCTTCACATGCCCCTCATCCCCCAGACAGTTCCTCCTGACTCTCCCAATACCTCCCTTCCCTGAAACCGTCCACCCAACACCTCCCATACCCTGCACCTCAAGCCACTGCTGTACAAGAGTAATGTGGTATGTCACGATGCCTGTCTGCAGTATCTGGCAAAATCCCAGGTTTTCAGGATTTCTGTCTGGATATGGGAGAGTTTGGTAGAAAGATATCTGGATTTAATTTAGAATCTGTAAGTCTGCACTATCCGACCAAGTCTCCAGTTGTTAGGATTACTGTCTGAATATGGTGAAGTTTTGCCACAGTAAAATATCTGGATGTAATATTGGCCGGTTAACCCAAATATCCAGTTTAGCAGAATTTGGATAAGCGAGCTCATATAATACTTACACAAGCCAGATATGTTATTGTATGATAAACAGTAGTGAACAAAGTTCATGTCTAGAAAATGGTGCCTTGACAATTTTAGTACCTTGTTGAGTGTGCCATAAGTTTAAAATCTGTGCTGTAGTGTAATATTATCTCTCCTTCCTTTCATGATATTGCTTAATCGGTTCTTCTAATTTCACAACTTTATCTACATTTCAATCTACATTTTGTAATGTTGGATTTATACTACACAAATTGTATACTACATTCTTGTAACGTTGTAATTTATGCAGTAGATGGCTATATATAACATTTAAGTACTGTATAATCAAAAGTTCTTCAAATATAAAGCTTAGGTGATTATTCTTATTAGGTGATTAGTAAAACTAAAAAGTAGGAAAAGTATTTAATATAGACAGATAAAGCAGTGTAGCATGATTGTCTTGTATTAAATATCGTGTGATTACTTTTTGTGTGATCTGGCATGTATAAGACTTGTGTGGTGTTGAGAGTTTACAGTGTGCTACCCAGTGCAATAGTGAATACCTTGTTTCATTGCTATTGAACCGACAGTGTTTGTCAGGAAGAGATGCTGGCATTTTCTCGGGTTAATATCCCCATGTTAAAGTTTTAAAGCTAATTCGCATGTAGTGTTTTGTTAATTTTTCTTTTATTTTTACTTAAAGCTAGTAAGGATAACATAAGGGGCAGGTTTAAATTCATATTTAGTATGCGCATCTATAAGAGTAAATGTCTGTGTCGGTCGTGGAAGCCAGATTCTTGGGCCCCTAGCCTTGCCCCTACAAAAGTCTGGTAAATGGTGGGGGGGGAAAGGGTCGGGATCTGCCACCACGGCACAACTTTTTGGTGTCTGGGTCGACCCGAGCTGCCAACACTTGGCAGCTTTAGCCAACCACTGTGCCAACACTGGCAATGGTGCAGTTTTAGGTGTTGGCCCAATATTGTGGGGTGCATTTTTTTAATTTTTTTTAATTGTGTTGTGTTTTTGTTGTGTGTGTACGTACAGTACTCTCCTAGTTGTAAAAAAGATTGCAAGGGTTAAACTTCGACTGTTTGGTTCCAACTCTCGACTGTCGATTAACTGGTGTACAGATTTCAAAGCCTGTTGGGCTCTTATCATATCTACATTTGAAACTGTGTATGACGTCTACCACCACCACATAACTGCCTAATGCATTCCATTTAACTACCCTACCCCTGACACTTGGAAAAAATCTTTCTAATACAGTATGTTTGTGGCTCGTTTGGGTACTCGGGTTCCACCTATGCCCCCTTGTCCACCTGTGCTAAATAGTTTCCTTGTCCACCATGTCAATTCCTCCATGAGAATTTTGTTGGTGGTGATAGTCTCTCCCTATACTGTTCTGTCTTCCAGGGACGTAAGGTGTGTAGTTATAGGATGAGAGCTACGCTCGTGGTGTCCCGTCTTCCCAGTACTGTTGTGTAACTCTTTGAAACTACAGTACTGTTGGTTTTGGCCTCTTGTCACTTTTTCACTTGGCTTGTTCCAAATGTCTACCACTCTGTGAAAAACTTTTTAAAATATTTTTTGGCACCTTTGTTTTCTTAGCTTGCATCTGTGTGGCTGTGTGTGTGTGTATGTGTGTGTAAGTTTGCTATTACAAGGGGCAATGTATTTGTATGAATAGTGGTTATTGCTTTCTTTGTAATTCACAATTCAATTATGGATAGAAATTTAGGAAGGCATTTTAATTGCTTATACGGTATTACTTGGCCGTTAAGACTATATGTATTGTTTGCCTATATACAGTATATTTATATGTATCTGTATAGCTATATATACAATATATATATATATATATATCACAGCTATTTTTTGTATAATGGCTTGTGCAGGGTTCAGGGACAGGTATGGAGAGAGAGGCTATGACAGGGATAGAGGTAAGCCAAAATCCAGATTATCGCTTTTGTTCAGTACATTATGCTGCTTGTTAGTTAGTTAATTTCCTACTTTGTACTTTGTTTGCAGTGTACATTTGCTTACTTAGATTTGTTCAGGTCACAATTTTTTTTTTTTTTAGATACCCTGTAGTGTTTACATTTTGTTAGGAGTTATGAATGCACTGTAGTGCTTTTATATTATCCCAACTGAAGTGCCTTCTCTTTATATCTTGTGGTATGTTTTAATTTATTTTGCAAATTTATAATCGAATTGAGATTAGTACCATTTCACTACATTTCACCTGTGGGCAAAGATTGTCCTTGTGAACAGGACTGGGCACAGTCGGGTATGGTTGACATTCCACACAAGTTTTTCTACTTCTCTGTTGGGTCAGACTTAATAAAGTCTGCCTAACAGTCCTTTTGGGACAGGAGGACTGTTAGGCAGCTTGTCCAGCTACTCGGAACTCTTCATAGTGCCATGTGGCATTAAAGCGATTGCCAAAATGTAATTTTGCTAATCACAAATTGGCCCACCCAGCTGTTTGCTACCCTAGGTTCTACTGGATGGCTCCATCTAAAAGTCAAAAGTAGCTTTAACTGCTACATACATTTTATTCTTGACTGTTTTTACATACATTTCAGGCTGGCAGAGACAAATAGACATGTTCTGTCCTTAGAAACTTGTCATTCACTGTGCATTGGCTTGACATTATTACCAAACACTTGTAATGGCCATGTGTACAGGCTCTCTCTCTGGACTCTATAACTTGCTAGGTTTCCAGTGTTGTGCTCTGTTCTGGTTTAATGCCTTGACAGATATATACAGTGTATTTCAACAGCCATAGATTTTGGGTCTTTGTTCTGGGATATAAACATGATGCTGGAGATACACGTTGACAGATTTTCAGTTACCACATCACTGTGGTATGTGAATGTGAGCTGTTCTGTTTAACACGGAGTGTGTGTATTATTTGCGGCTATATTTTCTCATTGAATTCTTTGCCAAAGGCTGCCCTTGGTCATTTTGTTTAAAAGTGATGGATTAGGTCTAGTCTAGAGCATGCTTTGTCAACCAGGTCTTGTTGGCACTGCAGTGCAAAGTGGAGTTGCCGAGACCTGGTATACGCTTGCCTAATGTTGCTACTGTTTACCATGGCTACTCGATGTGGGATTTGCATAAATAAGAAGATATATCCATTGATTAATTTACTGTATGCCCCTTTTAAAATGGGGTTTCTCAATTTAATTACAAATACTAAGGAGTTTTAAGAAACAAATTCTGTACCGTTGTCCTCAAGATGACAGGTTTATGCTTGCATTCTCCATATATCTGGGGCTTCGGACTGTTCTTCCTCATTATAAAACTATTACAGGGGTACTATTTTCTGGGTGAGCCCCGGACGCTCCCTGGCACCCTCCCTCCCTCGCTTTGGCGGTTTTTGCACGGTTTTGATACTTGGCCTCTGAATTTTAATGACTTGGTTGCCAGCGCTTGCGAGGACAAGCGCCGCAGTGGTGGAGTGTGATGTTTTTTTGGGATTGGAGGGAGTTCTGCCTCTGTTTGGTTTTCAGTTGCAATTTCCTTATGTGGGGTTTTCGTTATGCCTACCTTTCTGGGAGCCTAACCCCGGTCAATGGCAGATGAGGACAACCCCCAGCCACGGGGTGGGAAGGGGGGGTTTTAGGGCACTTTCTCCCTGTGCCTCTCCGAGGGTGGGGGGGGGGGGCAGGTTCTGGCTCGTGGTTCCCAGTAGGCTGAACTATAATGCCCTGGTCTAATGAATTGCATATTATCCCTATAGCTCCAGGGAGCCTCCGGGGCTCGCCCAGAAAATGGCATTTCATTACATTCAATGCTAAGATATTTTTGTTAGCTATGGCTATGAGCAGTTGGGTTAGTAATCTTCTTGCTCTACTTTGGGTTTCTGATTTAATAAAGTTTTGATCATGGTGAGGGGGGGGGTTTGCATTTCTATCTTTTTGTTTAGGCAACTGTCTGCAAAATTCTTCAGATTGTAGTTTGTGCCATCACTTCTTTACAGTTGCTCTTTGTTACACCTATATTATGATGGTTTATACGAGGGCCAAACTCCTTGTATTTGTGCATGGGGGCGGTCACATTCAGCCAGCCATAGTTTTATCCCCATGCTCGGTATCGACACCAGTTCACCACCTTGAAGGCATTTGTCTCTACACCAGCCTGTGATGGCATCAGGGCTCAGGCTAGAGGTCACTGTAGACCTCTTTAGCATTACAGTAGAGTTGTACATGTACTGCCTTCACTGTCGTAGCGGTCCTAGTACTGTACTTCCCTAAGAATCCATCCTGTACGTTGAAATCGCAAAAACAGCAGTGCGAGTGCCTGGGGGTCGAGGAATGAATGTTCAGTTCCATCATAGGGCTTGGTATTTCTCATCCCTATCCTGTATTTTGATCTTGGGGTGCCTCTTCCTGATGACTATAGGCTGGGGTCTCGGTATAAAGATGGTTTGGGACTTCTGGGATGCTGTGTGTGTCTGGCACCACTGCAGCACAGGTATACTGCATAGACAGTGATTGTGTCTCGTGTACAAAATATTGTTGACCCAAAACAATCTTTAATTATATTAAGAGCAAGATCTGAGGGTTTATATAATGTGTAGGAGAAAAGCTTGGTGCTACATAATTGGGTATGGAGATGATTTGAAGTTTGGTAAATATTTATTAAAAATATTTAGTTTATGCTATATTTGGCAATATATTCTAAAGATGATGTCTTGATCTGTTTACTACTGGTTTTACATGAAAATACAGTATAGTATTTAATATAATGTAATGTATTTTGTGTTGAATATTTTGCGAGGTTTGTATTCCTGTAACTGTTAAATTGTATTGTACTGCATAATCGTGAGCTGGATTTTGAACACTGAAGAGCCTTTTCTTTCTATACAACATTTATCCCTTAGATTTGCTGAACTTAATCAGTTTTCAGTAAGGTTACAATTATTATTTTTTTTTTATTTTTTTTGTAATGGCTTATGCAGGGTTCAGGGACAGATATGGAGACAGAGGCTATGACAGAGACAGAGGCTATGACAGGGATAGAGGCTATGACAGAGACAGAGGATATGACAGGGATAGAGGTAAGCAAAAGCCCAGAATATGGCTCTTGTGTAGTCCATTCCATTGCTTGCTCTTGCCCTCGTGCTTTGCTCTTTTTCATGCATTAGGGATTTGTGTTTAGAAATGCTTTCTAAGTGCATTTAAGGAATTAAGTGGTAAAATATAGATTAGGTAATTTACAAAATACATAAAGTGTTCCAATGTTTATGATTAAGTTCTGCATGGATTTGTACAGAATGATCATTACTTAGTCTTGTGTGCATAGGAATATTGTTATGGCCTTTGTGCATGTGCATGCAGAGAAAAGGGGAGATTGGAATGCACTAAATACTGGATTTTGTATGTAATTATCAGTGTAATTATAGGATGTGAGCTATCCTCGTGGTGGTCCGTCTTCCCAGCACTGTCATGTAACGCTTTGAAACTACTTACGGTTTTGGCCTGCATTACCTTCTCACTTAACTGGTTCCTACCATCTACTGCTGTGTTTGCAAAATTTTTTTTTAATATTTTTTTTTGGCACCTTTGTTTCTGTAGCTTGAATCTGTGACCTTTTGTTCTTAAGGTTGCAAGTGTCTGGAATTCCTCTTGTCAATTCTCATTATTATTGTGTAAGGGGTTATCAGATTGCCTTTTTTTCTTTTTTCTGGCTTTGGCATCTAGGTTATCTTGATGATTTCGGGGCTTTAGTGTCCCCGCGGCCTGGTCCTTGACCAGGCCTCCACCCCCCAGGAAGCAGCCTGTGACAGCTGACTAACACCCAGGTACCTATTTTAGTGCTAGATAACAGGGGCATAGGGTGAAAGAAACTCTGCCCATTGTTTCTTGCCGGCGCCCGGGATCGAACCCGGGACCACAGGATCACAAGTCCAGCGTGCTGTCCGCTCGGCCGACCGGCTCCCGGCATAGTTAATGCCTCTAGCCTCTCTTCATAACTCCTGTTTTTCAAGTCTGGAAGCCATTTTGTAGCATGCCTTTACACGTTTAAGTTTATCGATGTGCTTCTTGACATATGGGCACCATACAACTGCTGCATAATCCAATTTTGGTCTCGTTGAAGTTAAGTTTTTTTTATTTCACCATCTATGTAATTAAAAGCTATTTTTAAGTTGGAAAACGCAGCATATGCTCCTCGGACAATGTTCGTGTCCCTCTGTTGACACTGTTAGCACTTTTAATTCCTTTTCCACATATTTTATGAACCATGTGTGGTCCATTTTCTCCTATTCCACATTCCATACTATGGCATTTAATCACACTGAATTCCATTTGCCACACATTGGGTTTGGTGCCTTCTTTTGATACTTTCTTGTCACACATTGCTCCAAGCACTTATTTTACAAACGGTAATTGCATAGTACAGTCCATAATTCCTTAATCTAAAGTTAATTCATGCTAAGGATTTGCTCTTTTTCCTGTAAACACTGTCTAGGATGGCTGGGACATTGCACTCTTGTTGCCTCTAACATTTTGTGTGTAATTGAACATGTTTACGGCAGCATGTTTACGAATGTAGTTTGTTTGCTTATAGACAAGTTTGGGTGGGGAAAAAATATTGTGGCACGAGCTGGCATTATATTTTGTGTATAATGTTCTACTTTGATGCTTGTAGTTCTGTTTACAACTGTGACTGAACCAATAAACAAATAATTTTTAATATACAGTACCTGTGGTTTATTTTTTAGTAATAAACTAATGTTCATCTGTGTTTTGCTTGGGAAATTCATATCCTGCATAATGTATAGGTCTTGTTTTGGCATGCTTTACTAAGAATTTATCTGCTTGTATTTTTATTGTTAATTGCTACTTATTACTTATGTATTCCATCTTTAAACTGTTGCACAACTGCATATTGGAAGGGGAATATTTTATTTTTTTTCTGCTGCTGTTATTAATATTCCCCTGTGTTTCTCCCCCACTTACATGCCTGCTTAAATTGCAAATTTTGCCATTTTTCACCCGAATTGTTTGTCACTATTTTCGCTGATCTCTTTCCTTTTTTCATTTTATTCTATTTGTCCTTCATATATGTAAACACACGCACATGCCTTGGAATTATAAATTAATAAGCATCATTCACTTCCACAGAGCTCATGATTTATTTATTTATATTTTTTCTGGGGTAGATTACTTGGTTGCTTCCCTAGGCAGTTTGATAAATGTCCAGGATGTGCCAAAATGTTGTCACTCTAATTTTGTATGTGTTGGATTGTTTATAAATGACCTGCCCTTCTCGGAACAGGCTTGGCCACAACGAGACGCTATAAACACTTCCTATCAGTGTATGGATATTTTCAAATGCCCCTGCTATGCAACGAGGGAGAAATTGCTCGGTCCACCCTAGAATGAATGTTCATCTAAACTTGGTCCTCTCCAAGCACTACTTCACTTTTGGCATTGTTCTGCTGACTACCTGGTTGATGGGGTACCGGGAGTTCTTCTACTCCCCAAGCCTGGCCCGAGGCCAGGCTTGACTTGAGAGTTTGGTTCACTAGGCTGTTGCTCGGAGCGGCCCACAGGCCCACATACCCACCACAGCCCGGTTGGTCCGGCACTCCTTGGAGGAAACAATCTAGTTTCCTCTTGAAGATGTCCATGGTTGTTCTGGCAGTATTTTTTATTCTCGCTACTAGTTGACCCCACCTGGAAACTACCTCGGGTCATTAGCGGGTGTAGGCACCCTTTGTCGAGTCACAGGAAGCAGCTGCTGCATCGTGTTGTGGTTACAAACTGTTGCTAAGAATACCAGTTAACCACTGCTCTGCTCTGCATTAAAATATGACAAACCCCTGGTGTGCAGAAAATAAATTCTTTCTAAAAAATGTTCTGGTATTGTTAAAATAGTCTGATCACAGGAAAACTAAAAAAAAAATATTGTATGTGACATACTTTAGCCACGATGGAGCTGGGAAGTTGAGCAAATTATGGGCGCTGAGCGATTTATTTCACCAAGGTCATTAGGCCCTGCCACCCGTGGGGCGGCAGTTGCCGCGAATATAATGTTTCGCAATTATTTTGATCTCTCATTCATTTATTCTGGTTTTTGCTGTCGTATTATTCAAAAGTGTAATTTGTGGAATTTATATAGTTTAATGTGTGGAATATCGCTATGCTGAAAATTATGGGGCTCATATATGTAACATGTATATTATATTCTATGATCAAACTGTTTTTGCTGTTATTACACTATATGCACATATTGTATATACCTATCTTCATGTGTTCACCATAACGAACCACTAAGTTGGTATAGTGAGCCCAAAACAACAAAAGTGGCTGCAACACGGCAGCCAGCTGTCTGACTCCTTCCCACCTTCAACACCCACTGACCAACTGACTCCTTCCCACCATACTGTTTGTTTTTATTACACTATTTACACAAGTTTATATATAATGTGTGTACATGTTTTATTCACCATTACTGTACAACTAGGCTGGTATGACAAGTTCGGGCAGTAAGAGAGGTTGCACCACACAGCTGATGGCTGCCTCCCTCACTGGTTCAAGGCCAGATGCACTTATTCCTCCCACAACCAAACTGTTTGTGGTGTTATTACACTACATTTACACTATATATATGCGTCTTCGACATGAGTAATGATGAAAGCTTGTATATACGCTGGCCTTTTGACTCGTCTTATTCCCTTGATTTTTTTTTTCCCCGACTTCCTGATGTAGTCTGGGGTTTCATTATCCTAAACATGAGGTGGGTGGATACTTGTGATTGTCGATATATATACAAAATGATGTGCTGGATTGGTTCGCAGGTGGATGCTTGGTTACATTTTTTTTTTTTTTAGGCTTGGTAGCTCTTCGAGGAGGTTTTTACTTCAGATAAAGGTTCCTTCTGTGTGACAGAGTTGGGCAAAGTAATCTGCAGTGTTTCCTGTTTATCCTAGTTGCCACCACATGGGCATTTGAGAAGACCCCTGCCATTGATGGAGAGATATGTCAACAGTACTTGGCTGTGGTTGAGCCTGTCTTGGGAAGAGAAGCCCACTGCCTGAAGGAGCAACAGTGACCTGCTCATAAGGGAGCTTTCCATCTTTACTCAGAGCTCTTATTTATTATGTTTTATATATTTTTATGTCCCCATTTTATGCACTGTTCTCATTAACTTTATATATTATAGGTGGACGGTTTGGGGGTGGAGGAGGTCGTTATGATGAGGACCGCCGAGGTGGGGGTGGCGGCGGTTTCCGAGAAGATAATCCTTGGAGACGCGATCGTGAAGCGCCCTCTACAAGGGCATCGTCCAGTGGGGAAAATTCTCTTCCTAAGGAACGTCCTAAGTTAGTTTCTTCAAGCACACAATTGGTTTTGGTTTGGTTTTGCTGTGTGCATGTGTGCAGGATTGAGCTATTAGCTCGTGGACCCTGCCTTTCTAACCAATATCTTTTTCTTCTATTATATCTACTATATATTTATCTCTCTCGCGCGCACACACACACGTACGCGTACGTGCGTACGTCGGTAGTTTCAAAGCGTTATATGACAGTGCTGGGAAGACGGGACACCACGAGCGTAGCTCTCGTTCTGTAACTACACTTAGGTAATTACACACACACACACACACACACACACACACACACACACACACACACACACACCAGGATACACCCCATAGCAGCTGTTTTAACACCCAGGTAGCCATTTACGGCTAGGTGAACAGGGGCAATTTCTTTCACCCTGATGCCCATTTGTTTTTGTCAGGAATTGAACCCTAGGCCCTTTGGACTACAACCTTGAGTGCTGTCCACTCGGCCACGAGGCCTTTTCATGTAATTACCTAAGTGTAATTACCTAAGTGTAGTTACAGGATGAGAGCTACGCTCGTGGTGTCCCGTCTTCCCAGCACTCTTTGTCATATAACGCTTTGAAACTACTGACGGTCTTGGCCTCCACCACCTTCTCACTTAACTTGTTCCAACCGTCTACCACTCTATTTGCGAAGGTGAATTTTCTTATATTTCTTCGGCATCTGTGTTTAGCTAGTTTAAATCTATGGCCTCTTGTTCTTGAAGTTCCAGGTCTCAGGAAGTCTTCCCTGTCGATTTTATCAATTCCTGTTACTATTTTGTACGTAGTGATCATATCACCTCTTTTTCTTCTGTCTTCTAGTTTTGGCATATTTAATGCTTCTAACCTCTCCTCGTAGCTCTTGCCCTTCAGTTCTGGGAGCCACTTAGTAGCATGTCTTTGCACCTTTTCCAGTTTGTTGATGTGCTTCTTAAGATATGGGCACCACACAACAGCTGCATATTCTAGCTTTGGCCTAACAAAAGTCATGAACAACTTCTTTAGTATATCGCCATCCATGTATTTAAATGCAATTCTGAAGTTAGAAAGCATTGCATAGGCTCCTTGCACAATATTCTTAATGTGGTCCTCAGGTGATAGTTTTCTATCTAGAACCACTCCTAGATCTCTTTCTTTATCAGAATTCTTTAAAGATTTCTCACATAATATATAGGTTGTGTGGGGTCTATGTTCTCCTATTCCACATTCCATAACATGACATTTATTAACATTAAATTCCATTTGCCAAGTGGTGCTCCATATACTTATTTTGTCCAGGTCTTCTTGAAGGGCATGACAATCATCTAAATTTCTTATCCTTCCTATTATCTTAGCATCATCAGCAAACATGTTCATATAATTCTGTATACCAACTGGTAGATCATTTATGTACACAATAAACATCACTGGTGCAAGAACTGAACCCTGTGGTACTCCACTTGTGACATTTCTCCATTCCGATACATTGCCTCTGATTACTGCCCTCATTTTTCTATCAGTCAGAAAATTTTTCATCCATGATAGAAGCTTACCTGTCACCCCTCCAATATTTTCCAGTTTCCAGAACAACCTCTTATGTGGAACTCTGTCGAAAGCCTTTTTTAGGTCCAGATAGATGCAGTCAACCCAGCCATCTCTTTCCTGTAATATCTCTGTGGCCCGATCATAGAAACTGAGTAAATTCGATACACAGGATCTTCCTGATCGAAAACCATACTGTCTGTCTGATATTATATCATTTCTCTCCAGGTGTTCTACCCATTTAGTTTTGATTAGCTTTTCCAATACTTTCACTATTACACTTGTCAATGATACAGGTCTATAATTGAGGGGGTCTTCCCTGCTGCCACTTTTGTAGATTGGAACTATGTTAGCCTGTTTCCACACGTCTGCTACGATTCCTGTACACAGGGATGCCTGAAAGATCAGGTGAAGTGGAATGCTGAGCTCAGATGCACATTCTCTCGGAACCCATGGTGAAACGCCATCTGGGCCAGCTGCTTTGTTCCTCCCGAGCTCCTTTAGCATATTTTCCACTTCATCTCTAGACACCTCTATCCGCTCTATGTTGTTCTCTGGAATTCTTATTGTGTCTGGTTCTCTGAAGATTTCATTTTGTACAAACACACTTTGGAACTTTTCATTTAATGTTTCACACATTTCCTTTTCATTTTCCGTGAATCTGTTTCCCATTTCCAACCTCTGGATATTATCCTTTACCTGCAATTTGTTGTTTATGAATTTGTAGAATAGGCCCGGTTCTGTTTTACATTTATCTGCTATCCCTTTTTCAAAATTTCTTTCTGCCTCTCTCCTTACTGCTGTATAATTGTTTCTCGCATCTTTGTATCGCTGGTATGTTTGGGGGTTTGGCCTCTTCCTATACTGATTCCATTTTTGTGTCTTTTGGTCTCTTGCCCTCTCACAATTTCTGTCGAACCAATCCTGTTTTTTGGTCCTGCATCTCTGTTTTGGTATGAATGTTTGTGTGCCTTCCTCGTATAGTTTTAAAAATTTGGCATACATTTCATTTACTTCCCTGCCTAGCAACAATTCTGTCCAATTACACTCATTAAAAAAATTTCGAAGTTCCCCATAGTTGCCTCTCTTTAAATCGAGTTTATCAACTGTTTCAATGTCCCCATTTTCTTCTAGATGATATCTTAAAGCATATTTAATGTCTAACAGGACGTGATCACTCTTTCCCAAGGGAGGAAGGTACTGGATGTCAAAAATCTCTTCTTCTTTCCTGGTGAATACTAGATCCAGTACTGACGGTATATCTCCTTCCCTCATTCTTGTGGCTTGCTTTATGTGTTGATACAAGAATGTCTCCAGAATGAGGTTCACAAATCTGCATGTCCAAAAGTCCTCCGTTCTTGCTTCATAGGCCTCCCAGTCTATTGCTCTAAAGTTGAAGTCCCCCAGTATCAACAGTCGTGATTTATCTTTATCTGCTTGTACAATAATATCTCTCATGACCATTATGAGGCCCTCTCGTTTGTCATCCAGTTCTTCCTTTGTCCACGTGTTGCTTGCTGGTGGGCTGTAGGTATTTACAATTATCAGGTTATCATCCTGATTCCAGACCTGCAATGCCATTATGTCAATATCTCGAGGGTTTTCAAATATTAACTCTTTTACCTTCAGGTGTTTTTTCACCAGTACAGCCACTCCTCCTCCCTTCCTAGTTTTCCTGTCACGTCTCCAAACTGAGTAGCCTCTTGGGAATATGACTTCATTTATTATATTTCCTTCAAGTTTCGTTTCTGATAATGCAACAATATCTGGGACCCTAAGCTGGATTATATCTTGCAACTCCAAAGTTTTTGACCTCACTCCATCTATGTTGGTATATACAATTTTCAGGAACATGTTCCCTTTTCCTTTGCTCTTTACTCCCCCTTCCACTACTGATCTTGTTGCTTTGTTTTTATGTACCATTTCACAAGCTTTCCAGTCCCTGTCACTTTGTAAAAAAAAGAATTTCTGTCTTCTTCATTTCTATCCCCATTTAGACGTTTTGCCTCAATTAAGTTCATTTTCAGCTTTTCTCTATATGTGATATGTTCTCTATATGCTTTAATGTGTAATTACTCAAGTGTAGTATAGTTACAGGTTGAGAGCTATGCTCATTGTGTCCCGTCTTCCCAGTACTCTGTCATATAACACTTTAAAACTACTGACAGTTTTGGTCTCCACCACCTTGTTACTTACTTAGCTTACTACTTACTTACCTTGTTACTTACCTTGTTACTCCACTTAGCTTGTTCCAACCTTCTGCAATTGTTTGTAAAATAAAATTTTCCAATTCTTTTTGGCACTAATGTTTCCTTAGCTTAAATTTGTGTCCTCTTGTTCATGACGTTGCTGGTTTCAGGAGATCCTCTTTGTTAATTTGGTCAATTCCTGTTAGTATTTTATAAGTGATCATATCTCCTCTTTTTCCTTCTATCTTCTGGTTTTGGCATGTTTAATGCCTCTAGTCTCTCCTCCTAGCTCTTGGTTCTCAGTTCTGTAAGCTATTTTGTAGTGTGCTGTTGCACCTTTTCCAGTTTATTTATGTGCTTCTTGAGATTTGGGCACCATACAAATGCTGCATATTCCAGTTTTGGTCTTGCAAAAGTCATGAACAATTCCTTTAGTATTTCACCCTCCATATAATTAAAAGCAAGTCTGAAGTTGGAAAGTGACGCATACAGTACGCTCCTCTCACAATGTTCTTTGTGTTGCTTTGGCGACAGCTTATTATCCAAAACCACCCCTAGGTTCTTTATTAAGTTCTGTTTTCCTTTCCACAAAATTTGTAAGTTGTGTGTGGTCTATTTTCTCTTGTTTCCACATTCCGTAACATGGCATTTATTTACATTGAATTCTATTTGCCACTTAACGCTTCAAGTGTGTGTGTGTGTGTGTGTATTTACTATTTGTCTGCAGAATCAAGCTACATATTAGCTCTTGGACCCCACTTTTTTGAACCAATCTATTTTTCCTCTGTTATATTTTACATTTCTACCATATGCACGCACACACACACATCCCCAGGAAGCAGCCTGTAGCAGCTGTCCAACTTCCAGGTACAGTACCTATTTACTGCTAGGTGAACAGTTGCATCAGGGTAAAGAAACTGCCTGTTTGTTTTTGCCTCAGCCGGGAATTGAACCCCCCAAACGCTGTCCACTTGGCCGCGAGGCCCCCCTCAAGGTGTGGGTGTGTGTTTTTTAAAGTGTAGTTACAAAATGAGAGGTATGGATGTGAGTAGCTCAACCATGGATTGGTTGTCCAATCCAGCAACCAGGAGGCCTGGTCGATGACCGGGCCGCAAGGACGCTAAGCCCCGGCAACACCTCAAGGTAACCTGAAGGTATGGTTTCATCTTCTCGATAATCTGTCATATGATACTTTGAAACTACTGATGGTTTTGGCCTCCCCCACCTCATTTGATTTATTCCAACTGTTTCTTGAGGTTATCTTGAGATGATTTCGGGGCTTTAGTGTCCCCGCGGCCCGGTCCTCGACCAGGCCTCCACCCCCAGGAAGCAGCCCGTGACAGCTGACTAACACCCAGGTACTGTACCTATTTTACTGCTAGGTAACAGGGGCATAGGGTGAAAGAAACTCTGCCCATTGTTTCTCGCCGGCGCCCGGGATCGAACCCGGGACCACAGGATCACAAGTCCAGTGTGCTGTCCGCTCGGCCTACCGGCTCCCGTGTTTACCACTCTGTTTACAAGACTGAGCATTTAAAATGTTTTTTCAGTAACTTTGTATGTATTACAGAGCCCTTCTTGCCATTTATTTTTTAGGATTTTCCTAAGATTTTGTACTTGTTGCCATTAATGTATTTCCTCTGCTATGTAGTCTCAACCGGTGATCTCTCTAGTGTCCTGATTTTATTATTAAAAAAATTGACACAATCGACTTGATAATGGTCCAGGACGGACCGAAACGTCATTCTCTTCAATTGCCAATGTGGGGGTTTAGTCAAAATTTTTCAGCCATTTTTCATTTATTGCATTATTAAAAATTTCCTCTTATTAATTTCTTCATGTTCATAGCACCTAAATGCTGCTGCTCTTGCTTTGTTGAGCTTTAGTTTATTAGTCACATAAAATGTACTTCATTATTTCCTACACTTTACAGTGTATAATTGCTATTTAATGCCTTTAAATTTGATATATAATCCAACCCCTACAAATGAAATGAATGCGACAACTTGAATGTGACCCTCGATGCGACGGCTTGAATGTGACCTTCGGCGTGACAGCTTGATGAGGGTCCAGGACAAACTGAAATGTCTCTTTATTTCATGTGTGGGGGTTGGGTTATCTGTTTTCAGCCACATTATTTTGAAAAATTATTTGAGAACACATTTTCCTTTATTGCCATTTCTTAATTTCATTATTTCATTAAATTTTATTTTAGATTGAATTTAATACCAAGAGGTGGTGCTGGAGGCGAAGAGAAAAAAGAACCTAGTAACAATAGTAGCGATGGTGGCGTAAGTGCCGACAGTGATGGTGGTGTAAATACTGGTGGTGACGGAGGTGTAAATACTGGTGGTGACCGTATCCCAAGTGGTGGCCGTGGTGGTGACGGCGTCCCAAGTGGTGGTGGCGACGACAACCCAAGTGTTGGCCGTGGTGGCGATGGCGCCCTAAGTGATGGCCATGGTGGCGACGACGCTCCAGGTGGTGGTCGTGGTGGTGATGGCGCCCCAGGGGGTGGCCGTGGTGGTGATGGCGCCCCAGGGGGTGGCCGAGGTGGTGATGGCGCCCCAGGGGGTGGCCGAGGTGGTGATGGCGCCCCAGGGGGTGGCCGTGGTGGTGATGGCGCCCCAGGGGGTGGCCGTGGTGGTGATGGTGCCCCAAGTAGTGGTCGTGGTGGTGACGGCGGCCGTAGTCGTGGTGGTGGTGGTGGTGGCGGCAGCAGCAGCGGCAGCAGTATCTTCGGCGCAGCTAGACCTGTAGACACCGCATCTCGTGAAAAGCAAATTGAAGAGAAGCTAACAGTAAAGGAACATCCTATGAAACGGTCAGTGCAGTAGAGTATTTCAAATATTATTTAGCTTTTCTGAAAGTCTTTATAATTGTTTTTATAATTGATTATAAAGATTATAAAATATAATCTTGAAAGTCTTTATAATTTATTGGTGAACAACATTTAAAATTTTTATGGGTTTTTGTATAAAAAAATTTTGATTCTGGTATCAAAACTGGTTTTGCCAGATTCTTGTAGAAAATACTGTGTGCAAAGTAAATAGTTTCTGCAAATAAATTCTGGCCTTGAGAAATCTTGGGATAAGTCCTTGAGAAGATAAGGTTCAGGATCCTTCAAGATTCTTTCATGATTGCATTTGATAAATAGCAATTATAGTATCCACTCAATGATCTATATCAGGCTGTTACCCTACTCTCTTAAATCCAGATCCTCTCTAAATCTGAGGTTATTGTAATATTTCAAACCATTTTCAGTCACCCAAAATACATTTTTCTTGCTGAAAATTTTAATTATACTTGTCCCTCCCTCAGTCCCCACCCCCACCCCCACAGGCGCTCGCCCGTCCCTCCCTCATTCCCCCACCCCCACAGGCGCTCGCCCGTCCCTCCCTCATTCCCCCACCCCCACAGGCACTCGCCCGTCCCTCCCTCAGTCCCCTCCCCCACAGGCGCTCGTCCGTCTCTCCTCCCGTCTTCCCTCCCCCTCCCCTCCCTCCACCCTCACAGGGTGTGCTTTGGTGTGTTTGTGATGTAGTTATGTATTTAAAGGTTATTTTATAAAATTATCTAGCTATAATGTGGTAGAGGAGGTTATACATTCTTTGCCTATTTTTGTTCAAAATTGTTTTCTTAACTGTTACACCTAAAAGTGACATTATCAATAATTGTTTTATTGGTTAAAAATTTCACTTATGTGAAACTGGAATATGATTTGCAGGGAAGGTGGAGTAGGTGGTGGCAGCACTGGAGGTGGCATATTTGGTAATGCTAAACCTGTCGACACTGCTTCTCGTGGGGGTGGTGGAAGCAGCAGAGGTGGCGGCTTTAGTGGTGGTAGCAGAAGTGGTGGTGGCGGCGGTGGTGGTGGCAGCAGAAGTGGTGGTGGTGGAGGCGGCGGCGGGGGTGGTGGTATATTTGGTAATGCCAAACCTGTTGACACCGCTGCGCGTGAGCGCCAGATAGAAGAGAAGCTCCGCAAATTAGATGGCGGCAGCAAGTAAGTACTGTATTAAAGTACTATAGTAGTGCTATTTTTTATGCTTAGTTAATTATGGAAAGTTTTGCGCAGATTTTTCTTAATGCTGCATTATGGCTTTCCTTCCTATAATTGAGTTTTTTGATTTGGAGCAATTTGAGTATTTTCTTGGTATAAATCTGCATTTTTCTTAGCAGTGCTGAAAATAATACAACTTTAGCATCTTCCTGTAATTTGGTTATTTTTGTAAAGTTATTTTTATAGTAGGATAAGGTTGCCAAGACTTTGACACTTTAAGCTACATTTCAATTTATAAATAGAATGCAAATACATTTAGTAAAATTTTGAAAAACCTTTGGGAGAAATTTTTAAAGTTTATAAAGTGTTATCACACATTGGCCTGATCATTTGCAGTTTAATTCTACACTTTTGATTCAATGTTTGAGATACTTTAAACTTCTTATTCTATACTTCAGAGATGAACCTCGTCGATTTGAACGTAGAGATGATAGAAGAGAGGATCCACGGGACGATCGACGAGACATTCGAAGGGATAACTACACCAATGATCATCTGAGTGACCGGCAAAGAGATCAGAGAGATGACAGAACGGTAAACAACAATTGTGGCAAGTTGTTGGTAGAGTAATGAGTGTCTACATTTGTGTAAAATATTCACTCCTGTCTTTCCTTCACTTGAAGGGGGGGGAGGGGGAGTCGTCTAGGATGGACTGAAACATCGTTCTTCTTCCTATTCATGCAGTCCAACCACTTGGGGTGGACGGTAGAGCGACGGTCTCGCTTCATGCAGGTCGGTGTTCAATCCCTGACCGTCAAAGTGGTTGGGCACCATTCCTTTCCCCTGTCCCATCCCAAATCCTTATCCTGATTCCTTCCAGGTGCATATGTGTATATGTATATACAGTATATATGTATATGTATATATGTGTCGTACCTAGTAGCCAGAACGCACTTCTCAGCCTACTATGCCAAGGCCTGATTTGCCCAATAGGCCGAGATACTCTTTATTTTCAATAAATTGTTTCCAATTAGTTTATTTGAATTAGTATTATATTAAGAACATAAATTATTGACTTGTGTTAATTTAGGTTAGGTTAAGATAGGTTAGGTTAGGTAGGGTTGGTTCGGTCATATATCTGTTAGCTTTAACTCGAATTTAAACAAAGCTATCCATTTCATTATGAATGAGTTGATCATTTCATTAGAAAAAATATATAAATTCAAGAACTTGGCTTATTAGGCAAATTGGGTCTTGCATAGTAGGCCTAGTACTTCATTCCGGCTACTATATCTAATATTAAATATAAATAAATAGATTGTTAGACATCATATTGAAACTAGGAATGTGGTAGCCTAAGAGCCATATAATGTTGTATGATAGTATGGAAATGTTCAGTCATAATCCTAATACTGAGCAGCATTTTTACAGTACATTTTTACAGTAATTTTTACATTTTTTTTTACAGTACAGTTTTAAAGCTAAGCAGTTAGCTTTATTCCACCACTTTTTGTTCATCTAATTGGATATATTATTGATCAGATTATTGGTAACTTCATATTTGCAACGTTAATTGGTTTTCTTTACTGTACGTAATTCAGTATACAGTTCATTTTTTTAATTATTTTTTTATCTAAAGGAAAGAAAATCGCATCAGCCAGATGATAGAGACAGAAAGAGTGACGAGGATCATGGTGGTGGAGGCCGCAGTACCGAGAACCACGACTTGCCGCCACGTGTGAAACTTGCTAAGGATGATGAACCGGTTAGTAATTAATTTATCATTAAATCTCATTTTGGTTTAGCGAGTTTTGAACATTTTAAATATTTTTTGGTATAGTATTTTATTGCTTAATTTTGTACTCTTGTGATGACTTATGAAATACATGTACAGTACTTTTCTTCCAAAATGTTAATTCATTATTATTTCTTTCCATTTTAGATTCTTGATACAACTAATAAGTTTGCCAGTTTGGACTTGGAGATTGAAGATTAGTGACAGTCTTGTAATGCTGGAGGGTCGTAGGTTATATGGCCCTGTGATCCCCGTGCTGGCTAAACTGAGTGTTCGTATGTCTCGCCTGTGTGGAGCCACCTTCCTGACGTGCACGCACTGTCCTCCATGACTATCATGGATGCCAAGAACGAGCCAGTGTCTGTTGGTCGAGCCATGTGCCCAGTTTCACTTGTGATGTCCTCGTTGCCTCGGATAAAGGTGCCAGAAGCATGTGATTCACATGTGATTAATTGTCCTTTATTTCCACACTGTAATCAATACTGTGAGCCGAGTTGGTGTATTGTCTGGTACACTCCTTCTTGTGACTTTGAAGGGGACAATCTCTGCACCTGTCGTATTGTAGGACGGCAGAGTTCTTATGAGGCAGATCTACATGGGTATTTGTTGAGGTTGATGAATACAGGTAGTCATGTTTGCCAACAAAACAGAAATACTTCTCTTCGATTTTGTGCCCCAGTATGTGATTTTTACATTTCATGATCACTTTCTTTAATTTTAGTTTTTATTTAAATCTGGTTTTGAAATACATTGTGTGGTAATTTAATTTTCTTCATCGGACTTCAAAGAGCTTGTATATATTTGTATACATACATCTTCCTGACATTTCTTCAAGATTGTGGTGTTTGGTCACATGCTGGGGCACAGAATGATGTCTAGAAGATATAATGTTGTGTAAACTTGAGCTTCCCAGGTGTGATAATGTTGATCTTGAGCTGTGATTATAAAGCTGTGAGCTGCCAATGGCAGTGATAGCAGCACTGTAGCCTTCTCAAGCTGTGATGACTTGAATCTAACAGTTGTGGTCTGCTCCATGTACCCAGGCCAGTCAATTGCCCCGTGTTGTAGGCTGTATCTCTTGGTTGGAAAAAATGTGTGGCATAAAGTACCCAGGCTGTATACGGACATCTCCAGAGGACTAGTAATTGGTTGCATGTCACTTGACAGGTTTCTTTAGTGCTTTGGTGTTAAGCACATACTTGCCCATGCTTGGAAGTGGGCAGAGGAGGACCAGGCTCTCGGGTGACCTTGTAGGATTGGCGGACAAGGTGAGGCACTACAGGAGGGGGAAGTCACAGCTGGCCAGGGATGGAGCCAGTTAGTAATATATTTATTAGGTTAAGTTCCTGTTTGTATTGTTGTATCTACTACTAGCTGTCAAAATATGATAGTGTAAGTATAAGGAAGCTTTTATATAAGGTCTTATGCCTTTGAGATGTTAAGAGCACGTCAATATACGAGCATTGCTCCCTAGTGTTTTTATCCAGATGGGAATATTTCCATGCATATTATTAAATGTAATGCATTATATGCACATGTTTAGATTGTTGGCATACCACTAATCCCTAGTCTCAAATATTGTAGCCATTTATAAGTGTAATACTGTACTTTAAAAGATGGACTTTTTCTACTTTGAAAATGCTCTTGTGAGGTTTTATTGAAGAATAGGCTTAAAAAAGATGTATAGCTTTTATTTTCCCCTATTTTACAGATATATGTTTATTGGAGTTGATACAAAATTGAATGTCTATGCACCCAGGCTTGTCAATGTTACATTGCTAGTGTGTTGCAATTGGAAATTTTTTTAAATGTTGTGTTGATCTTTTGCATAATAAACAATAGAATCATGAGATATATTAATTTCTCCTTGAATTTTTCTTTATAGATTTGCTGAATTTTCCCCAAGGAAAGTTGAAAGGTAAGGAGGCAATTGACTTGTGCTAGTCATATTGGCTTAATGCTTTCTCCTGATGTACAACCTTACCTTGGGGTGCCATACAGGAATATATCCAATTTGGGGTTCTGAACCAAGGGAAAGTTCCTCTAGATTAGAAATATGCAAATGGTCATCCCCCATCTTCAAATGACAAGAAACTGCTAATGGAGGGAATCATTCATCTGTTATCTTGAGATGATTTTGGGGCTTAATGTCCCTGTGGCCTGCTCCTCTACCAGGCCTTTTTGTTACCATTCTCCCCTCCCCCCTTTACATCCTGTGACCAACTCTTGTTGGTCACAGGATCTCATCGCTGACAAATGAGAATACAGCAATCTACATCAAATTTGCATATAACACTTTAGATGCATGGAAAATAAGTGAAACAAGACATTAAAGCCTTGCAAAGAGATGGACAACTTTACAAATAGTCAAATGATTGATAAGTGCTTTTTATTATTGAAAATGCCATACCATACATGTAGGGCATAATGAGTGCTCATCACACCAACAGCAGTCGTGCAGCACATTGATGAACAAGAGGCTCCTAGAAGTTTTGATCTATCATTGAAAGTTGAGCAAATTTGAGCCAGCAGTAAAGAAAGCCAGTCAACCCCAAGAGACGTTATTTTTAAGAAGACAGGTTGCTAAAATATTGGGGAAGTGGGTAGCACAAAATACTGAATTTGAAGATTAAGCCACCCAAGAGGTGGCACGGGCATGAATAGCCCGTAAGTGGTGGCCCTTTCGAGCCATTACCAGTATCAAAAGATGATACTGGAGATCTGTGGAGGCGCAACTGCATCCTGCGTGACGGGAGATGTCTCCCGGACCAAATGGTCTGAATTTGAAGCAAAAGGTAGGAAACACCGAGGATTTAGATTTGCACAGATTTAGTTCGACTGGGGATATCAAGAGCGATTTATTTTGGGTGTGATGCTCATGGGTTCTATTATTATCAAGGAAGAGTTTGATTAGGATTATCATTTGGGAACAAGGTTTTGTACATGTAAATAGCACAAGATATGTGGATTGAGTGCATGTTTAAGGATTTAAACAGAGGGGGCTGTGTGTTGTCTGAAGACAGTTTGTTATAGTTCTGATTCAGATAAGTAACGCTCGCGGTGCAGCAAGATGTAGTTGATGAAAATGCAGAGATGATCGCCGTGAAAATCCTAGCTGTGGTGAGGATGTTGGCAGCGGTCCATAGCCCGCACTAGTAGCGGTCCAGTGAGAGCCCGTGTAGTCTATCGTGGCTGGGTATCGTCGAAACTCTGGGGGTCACCAATGTAACTTACGATTGTTACGTTGCAGGTGGCGAGTCATAATGTGGCTAATGTTGAACAGATCACACACTAGAAGGTGAAGGGACAACGACGTTTCGGTTCGTCCTGGACAATTCTCAAGTCGATCGACTTGAATGGTCCAGGACGGACCGAAACGTCGTCGTCCCTTCACCTTCTAGTGTATGGTCTGGTCAACAACATCTCTAAAATATTTAGCTTCACGAGCAGACTTCCCGAATAAGATTTAGATCTGTACGGATAACATACTAAAGCTGTTCGCTGCATGAAGATCACAACAGATTATCTGTCTACATATATCGCTTACGCAGACTGGACATCCGGCCCAAGCAACACTAGTCCCAGAACAGAGGTATGACTTACGAGGAAAAGCTACGGGAACTTGCCACACGTCCCTGAAAAAACGGTGAATTTTGAAGGTGATCTTTAAGAAATTGACGGTGGGCAAGTAAGTAATTATCAAAAGGCACCAAACTTGACGGTGGGCAAAACTATTTAGCATGGGTGGAACACGAGTAAGGGGCCCTGTGTCAGGCAAGTCCATTACGGGCTCACCATAGCCCGTGCTACTTGGAACTTGTTCCGAGTAGCTGAATCTATAACAACAACAACAACAACAACGAGTAAGGGAACAGGTGGAAACAGTACCCAAATGAGGGAAAAGAGCAAAGGCATTACAACTATTTAGGATTTTGAACGGGTCATAAGGATTTGGGGGTAGGACAGGATGAAGGAATAGTGCCCGACCACTTTGACGATCAGGTATTGAACGCAGACCTGCATGAGATACCATCGCTCTACCGTCCGCCCCAAGTGGTTGGGAGAGCCACAGATAAATTAAAAAATTCAGTGTCTTAACAGATGGAATGCATTATGCAGTGATGGAGAAGGCAGACTACACAGTTTGAAATTTAGACATGATAGCGCCCAATTAAATAAGGCAAGAATCTGTTCACCAGTCTATTGACAGTCTAGAGGTGGGACCAAAGAGCCAAAGCCCAACCTCCGCAAGCACATCTAGGCGAGTATACAATTCTGACGGTGATTTAGGTACCAACAGAATAGGTCCTGTGGAACACTCGTGCACCTTGCGATCTCATGACCACAAGCGAGTATTTAACCTGGCCAGTTCAATGTAAGTATTTGCACTACTTACTGGAATGTGAAGCTACTGAAGCCCTGCGCATCAAACTCAACATTAATCCACCGACAGCAGCTGCATTACATGCACATTCCACCGCGACTACAATGATTAGAAAAGCTGTTGAGGAATGGGACTCATTAGTGAGCATTCTGCATCTACATCCGCCACCAAGATAATGTTAATAAAACAAGATTAAAACCAGTGCACTAAAACAGAAGCGATAAATAAGCAGGGGAAAAGGAGAAATCCTCTCCTCCATTTAAACTTAGACCCAAATATCACAGGAAAAAGGTTATCATGTATAACCAAACTCAATTACGGGCTCACCATAGCCCGTGCTACATGGACACTTCGTCCTTAGTAGCTAAATCTTTAACAACAACAACATGTAAGTATGATACAACTGGAAACCGAGCCTCTGCAGGTCAGCCTCCGGTTTCTCTACAACCTACCTCATTGTTACTGTTGGCCTACTTGTGGCGCTAATGGGTGGTTTTATAGCCCCTTTTTGACAGTACAAGACTATGTTAACACTAGTAGGGCCTGTCCCACTGAGGGAGTAGACACTTCACAGTACTGTCAAGAGTTTACCAAGAGTGCTTGCCACCCACACTGTCAAGCTTCAGTGGCGTTACTGAATGCCAGGTACGAGGAAGGGAGCCGGTCGGCCGAGCGGACAGCACACTGGACTTTTGATCCTGTGGTCCTGGGTTCTATCCCAGGCGCCGGCGAGAAACAATGGGCAGAGTTTCTTTCACCCTATGCCCCTGTTACCTAGCAGTAAAATAGGTACCTGGGTGTTAGTCAGCTGTCACGGGCTGCTTCCTGGGGGGTGGAGACCTGGTCGAGGACCGGGCCGCGGGGACACTAAAGCCCCGAAATCATCTCAAGATTCTCTTAAGATTACGAAGGTGTTGTATGGGGGTTTAAGTCAGTAGCTTAAAAACTAGACTCTGGGGTTTATGAATACCTCCAAACTAGATCCTATCATCCGGGGCTGTGGGTTCAGGATAGCATCATCCAACAGCCTAGTCAGAGACCGGGCCGTGAGAACATGTGTCCAGCAGTACAAAGCACGTTTAATTGAATAAGGTAGGATAAAATGCCAGTGTTTGAGGTAGCATGTTAGTATTTAATTTCAAAGTTTGAATCGAGAATCGGCGCGAGGCATCAGAAAGCGCGCTCTTGGATCAGATGACCCAAAAGGTGACTGGCAGGGCATCTTTTAATTCAGTCTTTTGTAGATGTAGAGTAGACACATGCAGGCGATGAGTCAACGTGGCTGATGTTGACCAGACCACACACTAGAAGTTGAAGGGACGACGACGTTTCGGTCCGTCCTGGACCATTCTCAAGTCGATTGTAGAGTAGATACTTCCTGTTGCCTTGTCTTAGCTGGCTGTAGTTGGCCGGACCTGGGGACGAGAGGAATTTAACATTAGGAATGTCACTTAAATTAGTTAACATTCCACTTTTTACCGTTATGTAAATGCAGTTCATTAGGCTTTTGTTAGACTAACCTTCACTACCGTCCATAGGATGGATGTAGGGGGAACAATTAGTCCTATAATGTGTATGGGGTCCACTACCACCCACAGGATGGGTATGGGGGTCCGCTACCACCCACAGGATGGGGTATGGGGGTCCACTACCACATCAATATGAACAAACAAGTATGGACTGGAGACTAGGATGAAAAAGCTTGAGAGTTCATTAACAATGCTGGAATATTGTTAAAGACTAAAGTAGCTAATATTAATGTGCTAATATTTAATTTAAGAGAATATATGACTGATTAACAGTTATCAATTTATGAAACAGATCTACAAATTTTAAGTGCAATGTTTATAAAATTGTGAAATAGAGCCTTGGTAAGCTAGAGGGGGGGGGGACAGGTAACCTTAGACCTACTGTATTAAAGGTGTATGTGGAGGGGGGGGGGGGATAATATGCCCCATACAATTCCCTGGTTCCCGGTACTGGAACTAGTGGAGAGGGGGGATGGTAGGGGAGGTGGAGACACGGCAATGAGGGAGGGGGGACGCAACAGGGGAAGGGGGAGGGAGGACGCAACAGAGGGGGGGAGGGAAGGAGGGGACCCTCCACATACAGCTCACCTCCAAGAGACGAAGCTGGAACTGTATACCAAAAGTGAGGTAAAACACACTGAAGTGGTTTTTGTATCATTCTTCCTATTATACCCAGCAGCCAACCAAACCCGGCCGCTGATTGGTTGACATTCACGCTAACGCTCACCCCATTGGTTAATATTTTGCGAGTCTGAAGTGTCAATTATCAATGGCCAACAGCCACTCCTTCACTTCCCCCAAATACGAACGAGTCTCTAATGAACCAATAATGATCCCAAGTTTCAATGTTTGAAGTTGTTAATTTCAAAATCTAATTCACAAACCAAATACAACATTCTATTGTAAATGTTGCAACAGATACAACAGAGCAACATTT